ATTAGAAGGATTATCTTGGAAAAAATACATAAATATAAGAGACAAATGGATTGGGGTCTTATAATTAGGACCAAATAAAAAGTCAAATGGGGTCTTATAATAAAGACCGGAGGAGTATTTATTTCGAATGTTGAAAATTGAAATTGAAACCACGTTAAAAATAAATAATTTATTTGACGTACATGTAAGTGGTTTTCAACCGCCTATTTTTTTGTCGTAGGAAAAAAAAAAGATTTTATAGGTTTAGCTTTCAGAGCACGAAAGGCATGGCTGAAAATCACACTACTATTTTATTCCAAACCTAAATAAAAAGCTAAATATTTAGATCTCTGAAGTGTTTTTCCCCTTGGTTTGTGTGTGAGAGAGAGGTTGGGAAGTGGCCGATATAAAGTAAACCAAAGGCTCCTGCATGATTATTTTACAGAAACATTTTGGTCAAATTCAAGAAATTGGAGAATGAAGAATTTTAATATTCTCTAGATTTTGATGTTAGCGGATTAAAATTGACAATAATGATGGTAATCTTCTCTCTCCCCCCTTTGTTTATGTTGAACTTTAGAGGGGAAGGAAAAAAAGGTAAACTGTACCGATTGACGAAACAGAGCAATATGAGCCAACCACTTGCATACATGGCTCCAAAATAAATGCAGAATAAGAAATTTAAGACGAATGTTAAGATAAAATATAGACGGACCTGACCCAATATCTTAAAGACCCAAATGACAACCTATTTCTATATGTTTAATTCTTTGGTAAAATCAACGGCCAAAAAAAATCTTTGGTAAAATCAATAGGGGTTGGGTCTAACAGAATAATTAGTTCCCACAATATAACGAACCAAAGTTTGAATCCTCGCTCAAAGAGATGATCACATTTAGTTCCTGACGGTGTCTCGAATAGGACTGACTCTATTAAGAGGATACCTATACTTTAGAAAAAAAACATATTTGATAAAAAATTAGGATTAGTTGCTATTTGAATTATACTATCACTACCTATAAGATCTAATTAATTAATTTGAGAAGATTAATAAAATTACTCAATTGCTTTAAAGTATTTATATTTATTATTTTTTTACAAGTTAATTTTACTCAATTATGAATTGATATATAATTTAATGATGCACATAAATATATTAAAGATATCATGTAATATATGTTATAATTAAATAATTTAATATTTTTTTAATCTTTTTAAATTAACTAACTAGATTTTATATTAAGGACCGAATGTAGCATTATTGCCTTCTTGTTACAACAAATGTTTATTGGTTTTACATCTCTGATCTTCAAGTCTCGTAATAATCCAACCATCCACATTAACTTTGACAAAATACTACCTTTGTCTTGTAAAATGGTTGATAGCTTCTCCTTTTTCTCTGTTTTTTTCATCCCTGTATTATTTTGGAAGCACTGCCATACACTGAGCCAATATGTACACGGCCTCGGCTTGGCCGGTGTCGTCCACAAATTGACCATTCTTCACGGGACTCTTGTCATTTTAAACTTTGCTAAGAAATGAGAACATCCTCTCCCCCCCCACCAAAAAAAAAAAAAGCTCTGCCTCAGATTAAATAGCAAGCACTCTAATATCTATATAATTGCCTTTTATTTTGGCGTCATCACTTATTTATCTTAGGATTAATATCCATAATAACTTCAGCCGGATTCTAGGTCTTAAAATATGTGTTAGTACCTCCGGTCTTAATATAAAAGTTAGTTGACTAATTTGAGTAGATTAAAGAAAGAAGTTAAGTTATTTATTTGTAAAAAATAGATGTTATATTTCTTAAAATATCTTTGCTAATCAAGTATATTGTCTAGAATTATCATTATTAGAAAGACTATTTTAGAAAAAAAATAAAAATAAGAAAAAAATGAATTAAAATTTTATATTTAAGATAAAAATTAAATAAAATTTTATATTAAGTAGCAGAGGTAGTGTGTTGTTTTTGACGATGCAATGTCTGTACATGGATTGTGTATACATACATGCGAGCCGCCAGATATGACCAGCGGCACTCGTTGTTATTGACTCTGATTTTCTTAGTTGACCGCCAGATACAAAGGCTAATCATAGACAAAGTCCTCAGAGGCTGAAGCATTTTGGCCTTGTTGCTTGACCGGCTAGTTTCTCGTCGGAACCACATTTCACTTTTCTTTTTCTTTTTCTTTTTTTTGAATAAGACAAAATGATATATATATTTGTATATATGTTTATATATAAGACTGAGGAGAAGAAGCGTTTAAAGGTTACAATAAGATAACCGGCAAATAAACTGCTCAAAATAACTAAGAAAAGAGGGCAAGGAAACAACATGAATAGAATGAGGAGAGAAATTAGATAAAAGAGATAAAACTGAATCAAGAAACTTGGAGCAGTGAATCCGTAGTTTTAAAAGATTAGAGGAGCTCTATAATTGCATCTACATGAAAATTCCTGCAATTCACTTTTCTTTTTTCTACTGGAGAAAATAAAAAGAAAAAAAAAATCCGTGGCATTTGGATTTTCTGGTTTGTCATTCTTTCTATTTTCTCATTAAAATATCTATTCACATGTATTAGTTTTATTGAATGAATTGAATAACGAATTGTATGTCAATGAATATTTAAGTTCTTTCAGAAATATTCTTTTAAGGGGAAATAACTTATTAAAGTTCTCTGTTTTTTTTTTTTGGGTGCTGTGGGAAGCAATTAAATTATGGGATGTCGGGCCGTTTTTTTTCTTGTTCAATCGGGCCTTGGGCCTCATCACATGAACTCGAGTAACGGGGAACCTCATTGAAGTAAAATGGGTCTGAAGCCCATGAAAGATGGAAATATAGATCTTTCCGTCAAATTGTTTGGGCACTCCATTGGAACAGGCCCAGAAGAAAAGCACGCACACCAGAAGACCAGGAACGTATTGTTTTTTTGGGTGTGTAAGAGGGCCTAAGGCCCAAAACAAGGAAATCCGTATTCACTATCAGGCCCAAAATCTAAACAATGGGGGAAAATGTTCCCAAAAAAAGAAAGCGGCAACTCCTCTGCAACCTGCCATTCTAGTGAGAGGATGGGAAGAGCAGAGGAGATGATCCATTTCCTACCGTTCTTCTTTCTACTCACAGGCTCATAGCTGGCTGTCGGTGTTCGAATGACTTGGGCGAATTGAAGAACCGCAAGCCAAGCAATTGGGGACCATTTCTTTTTCGGCCAAAAGGTACAGTTTAATTCAATTGATAAAATTAAAATATTTTCTTATGCTTAATGAATAGTAGGAATATTTTACATTCCATACACTAAAAAAAGGATTTTTAGCATGGAAATAAGCTGCTACCTCGTGTCTTTAATATAAGAGTTAGTTAGATAACTAATTTTAAAAGATAAAAAATTAATTAAATTGATTAATTGTAATAAATCTGTATTGACTTTTTAAAATTTCATATTTAATTATGTGCATTAAAATTAATTTTTTTTTGTGGGAATTCTTTACCATTGATAAGAATATTTTAGATAAAACATTATAGATTTGGAGCACAAAATTAATTAAGATTTTATATTTATAACTAAATCTAAGTTTTCAAATAATTCTCATATTAAAAACCGGATGCAGCAATTCATAACACCGTTTCTAAATAATTTCAAGAGAAATTTTGCTTTCCATTCACTTCTGTGTTTTTTTTGGGGGGGGGGGAATCAAATAAAGCAATCCTTGAAACAATTAAAATCTTATTCACTGTTTTTTTGTTTATAATGAAATGCAAGTTATAGGGATATTTACCGTGATTAATTAATATTCACGAGTCTGTATTAAAATGATAATATAGGGTGACAGAGCCTCTTATAGAGATGTAAAAACAAAATCGCTAAAGTATATTTTTAACTTTTTAGCTTTAGACAAAGTTTCATTTTGGTCCCTTAACTTAAAAAAGTAAAATTCTTTAATCTTAAAACTGTTAACAAAAATGATGATATTAAATTTTTGAATGCTAATAAAACAGTACTAAATGCTAATATATTAAGTTTAATATTCAAAACAACCATGATTATTATAAAAAATTATCATTTAAGACTAATAATTTTAAAGTTAAAAGACTAAAAGTGTACCTTTTAAAGTTAAGAGACTAAACTAAATTTTTACCTAAAGTTAAACAACCAAATATATACTTTAACCATCACAATGATCTGATAGGCTAAAATTATGCAGACAGCTAGAGATTTGATAGTTAGCTTTTGGGACATCTAATAAAAGGACCAATACCACAAATCAATCGGTCAGGGCAGGAAATATTCTCTAAAAGCATATAAAGGTGACTTGTATATGCTTTGTCAACTTTTAATATGACGTATTTTTGTTTTCAACCAACTCCACAGAATCTAAGCACAAACATAATTCATATAATTAACGGTAAAGTAACAATCTTAATAATTCAGGCAAAAAAAAAAAAAAAATCTTAATAATTCAACAAATCATGTGTCAACATTTATAATTGTATAATCCAGGCTTTTACTGTTCATAATTTCCCAACTACGATTATTCCCCGTGCTCTTGTGGCATCTGCAATTTTTCTGCCTCCATAATTGTAGATTTTACTTTTATATTTTTTTAATATTTTTAGCATTAAACGCCAAAAACAAAATTGAATCATGTTTAATCATCATCGCCATGAAAAGAATCCTGCAGTGCACATGATCATTAATGTGCTCATTACGCTTCTAAACAAATTGATTTATCTTTAGTGGGCCCTCCCAAAATTGATCCAAAAACAAGAGTTATCCTCTATTTAAAAAAAAATAAAATCCAGAACGATCATTTTTCTTCATCATCTTCTTCCTTTATTTTTAAGAGACTGGTACCTCAAGGACCCATAATATATAAGACTGAGTCACAAACTTCGTACTGGGGAAAAAAAAAAAGTTTAATTAAGTGTTTAGTGTTAGAGTTAGAAATAATTAGTAATTAATGAGTATTATTAATATTAATATTAATTTTCAAATGAAATATTTATCCATTATCCAAAAATGATTGGAAAAAAAAAAAGGCCTGTTGATGACCTGTCACGAAAGAAAAGGACCGTATTTGCAACAGGTTTGTCTGGTTTTGTCTTCGCTCAGTTCTTGCTCTCAAGTTTATATATTGCTCTGTATCTTCCCGATAATGCAAGCAAGAAGAGTGGATTGAGAAGGTTTGGTGAATTTCATCCATGGCAAAGCTGAAACAGAGCAACTCTGCTTTGTGTGTGTCTGGTTATTATCTTCTTCCTCAGTGCTTCCTCTGTTTCAATTTGTGCGCGCGTGGCACCTCTCTTGCAGACCTACGAGAAATCGATCTTCACCTCAGACTTTCACTCCATTTACGACACTTCCAAGTATGGTATACTTCAGCTCAACAACGGTTTGGGTCGGACGCCTCAGATGGGGTTCGTTTCTCACTTTTTCCCTCCGTCTTCCCTGTGCTTTCTATTCTCAAGTTGAAGCCTTGAAGGTTTTCTCCGGGTCATGTCGATTGATTGGAATTATTGATTAGATTTTCTTTCCTTTTTTACATGTTTCTCCATTCTTTTTTTGTATTTTCATGGTTGTTACCTCTTATTTGCAAAGACCCGCATGCATAAATGCAGTCTATCGCTATTGATTGACTGCGAAATTTATTATTAGGCTGTGGCACTGATACATTGCTTGTGGCTGAAGTTTAATGTTTCTATATAATTTTTTGTTTTAGTTGCAGAAATGTTAATACGGGTCTGTTATGACGATGACTTATGTTACATGATTTGTTTTTGTTTTGCTTTTTGTAGGTGGAATAGCTGGAACTTCTTTGCCTGCAATATTAATGAAACAGTCATTAAGGAGACAGGTTCTTTTTTGGCCTCTGCACAACAGTTTATTTACGCATTCTTTCCATTTTCTTGATAAATTTCTATATACGTGACGGATTTTGGTGTCTCATAAGCAAGAGAAATCTTTTGAGCTGCTGATAAACTAAAGAAATAATGTGCGCGGGACGTAGAGTGTGTGTGTGTGTGTGTAAAGAAGCCTGCTAGTTGACTTATCCCAACCATATTGATTGTTTTCGTTGAAAGCCAATTACGAATCTACCCACCTAGTGGTTCCAACCAAGGAACGATGACAGATAGCGAAATATGTAACTGTATAAACAATGAATAAGTGCGCCCCACTTTGGGGGCTGTCAGGACTCTAAATTAAAAAAAATTGTTCAATATGGTGAAGAAGTCTCGTTATTTTTTCTCATAAAGTGACACAAAACGGTGATCACTCATCAAAGGACAGCAACTAAAGTGCATTTCATTCTGAAAATACTCTTTATAAGCATGCATGTGCTTATACGTAATTTCCAACCTGGACTTGTTAAACATAATATCCTTATCTCTTACTTTGTTAAAACAAAGTTTATCTAAGGCTTATTGAAATACAATTACTAGAAAATTGTGAAACTTAATTTTTAGTCTGCACATAGACATTAAAGGATAAGAAAGAGTTTTCTTTCTTGCGTTGGGATAGAATAAATTTATAAGAAAGGGAGAAATGACAAATTCTCTTGAAGCTAATGTATTCAGAAGCATTTCCTTTGGCTGGGGGTGGACCTGGCTCCCTTAGTCTACTGTTCTGCCTATGCTTCATATAACTCCTCATTCCTGGTATGACACATACTTACTTGAAAACAATAAATGAGTGAAGGACTTTGTGGATTTTTAATTAAGTTAGAGCTTAAGAGGCTTCAGAGATCACAGGCGCATATTTATCTCATTATGGTACTGTGTAAGATCTGATATTCATGAGTTTGTGTTGTTGGAAATTGTTGCTTTCTTCCTCTCTGTTTAGTTTTGCTATGTATGACTTGAACTTGAACATGTATTTAGTATGCTACCTGTTGCTAGTTTATTTAGAACATATATATATCATGGTTGTACTTGATATTTATATTTACAAATTATGCACACAAGCATTCGTGCCCTGCACTCAGTCGTAAATTTTGTACCAGACCTGAATAATTTCTTCCCTTTTACTTGCTACAGTCTTTGCTTGGACTGTTCAATTAAAGCATAAATCTAGTAATGCACATTTTTGTGAGAATGTTGCCAATGGCATTGCAGAGGAAGAGATGCTTATTTGTTTTTATTTATTTACGTTTTTGAAAATCAAGGAACACTGCACAAAGCCACAAATAAAGCACTTTTCAGCAAATGATATCCTTTTATTAAACAACTAAATGGTATTATTGATTAAGATGGTGTGTGATATTTTGTCTCACTGATGGAGTGATAATGATAGTTTTGCTTTTACCCTCACCGGTTTGTAACTAACTTTACTGATATGACTTTTGTTTATCCAGCTGATGCACTTGTATCAACGGGTTTGGCTGATTTAGGTTATGTGTACATCAACATAGGTATTATTCTAGCATCTTCTCAATGAAACATTATTTTCTAACTCTTGGACTCATTTTGATATTGTTTCCTGTAGATGATTGCTGGTCTTCTGCAGCAAGAAATTCAAAGGTAAGCTGAATCACGTTCCTTTCAAGCAAAATTAAATCAGCAGGAACAATCTTCTAGGCCATCATCCTTCTTTTTATCGTATGACATTGTTCTTTCACTTGGATGTTAAATAATTGTACCTATTAGCATTTAATGCATCTTGTTAATGTGGCAAACCTTAAAATTGATATAACTATTAAATTACCGTATAGTTAGTTATCTTTAATCCTGAAGTGATGCTTTCCTTAAAGCTCTCTTTCCCTCTCAATTACAAGAGTCACTAGGCCTTGAATGACGGGAGCAGGGAATAATTTCTTCACACTTTAATCGCTCATCTGTGCTCCGTAGTGGCAGATCCTGACGGTTAATGAAGTAGCAAAGCTTGTACACACTCTGTTCATCTTCCATGTGAATGAAAGATCTGATAGAACCTTCAAGCTCTCTGTCCCTCTCAATTACAAGAGTCACTAGGCCTTGAATGACGGGAGCAGGGAATAATTTCTTTATACTTTAATCGCTCATCTGTGCTCCGTAGTGGCAGATCCTGATGGTTAATAAAGTAGCAAAGCTTGTACACACTCTGTTCATCTTCCATGTGAATGAAAGATCTGATAGAACCTTTGGATAATTTTGATATTATTTAAGTAAGAAGACAGCAAAAATTCTCCACTGTTTCAGTGAAAAAGGCTGATCTATGAAACAACAGCAGAATGGACCATAAACATTACTGTTAATAGAGAAAATTACAAAAGAAACAGATGGAACAGTAGAGATGTGTTTTCCTAGCTCAAGAGGCTTGGGGATCTCCAAGCAAACCTTCCATGAATCTTCGTACTCTGCCTCCAGCCTTCCTTTTGGGGGGGGGGGGCGATATTATTCCTTCCAACAAACTCATACTCTCTCTTCCGCCTCACCAACCCTCAAACGGCTTGATGAGGTGAGTTAATGATATTCATGCCCTGATTTTCCCTTCCCACCACCTCATCCATTTTCCCCTTTAGGAATATTTCAGAATTTCAGAATACCATTAATGTTGGTGTTAGTTGGATTCCCAGCCTTGGGCCCATCTGATTCTTATGGCTTTACATAAATATTTGTTTACTTCTTACGTTGTTTGTTTGGTTCTGTAGGGTCAACTGGTCCCTGATCCTAAGACTTTTCCATCAGGAATCAAAGCTCTTGCAGATTATGTACACAAAAAGGGGCTTAAGCTTGGTATATATTCTGATGCAGGGTACGATGGATAATATAATGAAACCTAGCCAGATGTTTGAAAAATCCATTCCAGAATTAAACATGCTCATATTGAATGTGTCCAAGTGACTTTTAATTACCTGCTTAATATTCTTTTTCTTGGTATTAGGGTATTTACATGTCAAGTCCGACCAGGATCACTTTTCCATGAAGTTGATGATGCAGACACATTTGCCTCTTGGGTTAGTTACCATTATCTCATGTTATGATAGCAAACTAGAACTGATATAAATTAGTTTTGTATCATCACATAACTTTTAGGATTCATGTGCTGGTATGTGAGCACACTTGTGTGAAAGAAAAACAGTAGCTGAGAGTTGAATTGAAGTTCCCATTAGAACCATTGTGAAACCCAAATTTGGATCAGTTCAGGTTTGGTTGTCATGATGGCCTTTGGGTTAATGCAAAATCCAAAGGTTGGTTTTGTGTTGTTCTATGCATGTATTTATATTAAGTGGCACACAATCAGAGCCACAGCATTAATTCAGAATGTCATAAAGAAATAATCAAGTCATTCCTGAAATTTGTTGTCATCATTTGATGTTCCTAACTAGGACATGTGAACATTATTCCTTCAAAAATGTTGAAAGAGTAGTTTCATGCTCAAAGATAGACTGAGCTTGAACGCCTATCTTGAGGTGCTTCTGGAGTCATTCTTTTGTAGCTAGACATTTCATTTGCATTGGTGATGTTTTGAGTCAATAGATGTTATTTGGTCCCCAAAAAAAAAAAAAAATCAATAGATGTTATGTTTCCATCATTGCATCATTTTGGTTCACTTCTTTTACCAGGATATAGATTATTTGAAGTATGACAACTGCTACAATCTGGGCATCCCGCCAAAAAAAAGGTATCTGCAGTCTAAGGTAGTTGCTAACGAAGCAACGCTTAGCACGTGTGAATTGATAGTGTTTCCCTATGTTTCCAGATACCCACCAATGCGTGATGCCCTGAATGCATCTGGACGTGCAATTTTCTATTCACTATGTGAATGGTATTCAGCTGTCTGTTCTATCGTTTGATATTTGTTGGTTTTGACAATTGATTTTTCATGCATCTTTTTTCTTTTTGTTCTACAGGGGTGTCGATGACCCTGCTTTATGGGCAGGCAAGGTTGGAAACAGTTGGCGCACAACTGATGACATCAATGATTCATGGGTCAGGTGAAAACTCGGGACTTTGACTAATAGGTGGTGAAGAAATTTAGTTTGGTACAAAGGCACTTTAGATAATTGCGGCTAACTGGAAATAAAAATTATCTTGGACGTTAGCTTGATTCCCTTGATTGCTGCCTTTTTAAATTATATTGGGATTGTTTTCTATCAAATGCTGTTCCAGTAATATGCTGACAAAGTGCGTGTGGAAGATGTGATATCGGAATTACTGGGTAGTACATTGTAATCTAAAAAGAGTTCATTCAATCATCAGGCACCTATTATAATACTATATCTAAAAGGAGAGCCCTTTATATAGTAATAGGGCTGTAACACTGGGAATTTTAAATTATCGGGTGAATATGGTTAGTAATTTGAAATTTAGTGTTTTCTGAAATATGAATTTTACTTATTCCGAATAATCTTGTCATCTACGTTAAGGTTTGCTATTGTAGTCAACCTAAGACCGATCAGATCATCAGACTTTCCTTATTGAGTAGTGACACTGTAATAAGTTGGAGATAGAACAAGTTGATTAAGTGAATTTGTTAGTAGAGGGAATAAGGAGGTTGTTATATTCAGTTTTGTTAACTGATATACATATTAGTGGAAGTTAAATAAGCTTTTTAGTGAATCATTTCTTATGTAAGACTTTGACATGCCTCTTGGTACGAGAGCCAATTGATCTGAGAGGATTATGAAGGACACACGCAGTCAAGATTGTGTTGGAGAAATATAATAGGGGCTTGAGAAAACTAGAGAGAACATTCACCAGTTGCGAGGGCCTGTATTGGTTATGGCTGTGACTATTATGATTAAAGGATATACAGAATCACCGTGGTAGAAATGGCACTACCATAGAGTTGGCGTTGCATTTTTTTTCTAATTTCTGGAATATGGTATTTCAACGTCTATAACAAAATTCAGGATGACTAATATAAATACTTGATGCAATCCCACTGAAAGTATGTATTTATGTGATGAAAATTATTCTCGGATGAGAATAACAGCAAATCTTATCCTACTAAGTGGGCAATATACCATTCATTGAAAGATCTTGATTGATGACTTCGTTAAGTGTCTTGGTCCCGCTCTACATCTCTTTATAGGGCTAAAGACTATCTGCTCCCCTCTCTGGCATCTCCGTTGGCCTTCTTTGCACATAACAAACCATCTTAAATAACGCCTTCCTCCATTTCAACCTCCTAGTTTGTAGTATCGATCCCAAATGCTTTGCCCTTTGTGTTATGGACTTTGTGATAACGCTCATGATAATTTTATGTCTCATCCCATATCAATAACAAGCTTTGTCATTGGATTTAATATATAAATTGTTATTATTCATGTTACAACCATGGAAAACTATACATCAATAGCAACAATTTTCTGACAAGGTGGCTGTACACGGATAAAAAATGGTTTTCTTGTCCAGCATGACAACTATTGCTGATCTGAATGACAAGTGGGCAGCTTATGCTGGTCCTGGAGGATGGAATGGTAAAATTTATGTATTTTTCTAGTAATTTCTGTAAACCAGTTGATAACCATTCTTGTTTATTCTGCATGTTATCTCTCTTGGACAGACCCAGATATGCTGGAAGTTGGCAATGGTGGCATGACTTTCCCGGAATACCGTAGTCACTTTAGCATCTGGGCATTAATGAAGGTGTTGCTTTTAAGTTCTGTTGTTCTTTTTCCTTCCCCTTCTCTGTCACTTCAATTGCTTTGTTCATGGATTGTTGTATATGACCAAATGGTTTTAGTAATCACCTTCTTGTCATATAGTATTTTCCATTCCATTTGTTGCATGGGCAGGAAAGTTTACTGCTGGGTAACATTTTCTTTTACAATCTGATCAGTTTGAGATTGTTAACTAGTTTATCTATGACATGAAGGTAATCCTTTATGTTTACCTTTGTTATTTGTGGCCGTAATTTGTCGAAAGCCAACCATCGAGAAACTTGAAGTGGTCACAATAGATGACACAAACTATGGGCCATAGCCATGTCTTCTCAGTTGTCAAGATTGTGAACTTGTGAATGCAGGCTCCCTTGTTAATTGGATCTGATTTGAGAAGTATGAGTCAGGAAACATATTTGATTTTCAGCAATAGAGAAGTTATTGACTTAAACCAAGGTAGCAACAATCCTTCCCTTTTTCTGAGCCATCATACTATGTGTAATGCTTCTTAATCTTTTTTGGTGGTTATGTTGTATCTTTTTTTTTCCCCCTTTCCCAATCATTTATCTCATTCAGGAATTTGTGGTAGGTAATTGTATTATATTCCTATGCAGATTCACTTGGAGTTCAGGGGAGGAAGGTTCAAGTTTCTGGAAAAGATGGTTGCTGTCAGGTCATATCTTTTGCACTACCTCTTACTGCATTTGTGCAATGAAGCCCGGGTTATTTTATCCCTGTTTCTTCTGCTTCTTGTGATCATGATGATTAATTGTTCCAATGGTGTCTGTCCAAATCCAGGAGTTCACACGCTTGATGCCTCTTCATCTTGGAGGTTGATTAATATGGCTTTCATTTAACTGAAAAATAGAATACGAAGCTCCTAGTCTTAGATGCTCCCTTTAAAAGAATGGATTGAGAACTCCTAGATAATTGTGATGCACCAGTTTGATGTTTGATTTTTAGACCTAGAATATCTGTATTGTGCCAGCAAGACGAGTTATATGTGCCTATACAGTAGATAATGTAAAAAGTTCCATGACTGCTATGAGAAGGTTGGAGTTAAAAAAGCTGCTAGTATGTGGTATACTTGCTCTTTAACTAGACAGGTGCCATGCAGGTTTGGGCAGGCCCTTTATCTGGAAACCGATTAGTTGTTGCCCTCTGGAATAGGTGCTCAAAAGTTTCCACTATCACAGCCTCATGGAATGTACTTGGGCTTCAATCCGCAACTCGTGTTTCTATTAGAGATTTGTGGCAGGTGAGCAAGCCTAACTTCATACCAATGTCCGTAGATAGTCTTTCTATACCATGTTTTTAGGAGCTTCTATTTTTTCATGTTATAATGCTTCACCGTATATACTTGAAGAAACTAACCACTTTCTAATTGTTTTTATTATTGCCAATATACATGCATCCAATACTCTCAATTCTTGTTTTCCTATTGTCGTGGGATATCCGTGGCATTTTGATAAGCTTCCAAGCACTGTAGAACAACCACCCCCCCCGGGGGCGTAGAATCTGCAGAACTTTTCTAAAATGAAACAGATCAATCCAAATTCCAATGGTTGATAAATTGAGATTTCACTATTCATTGCAAACCCACCGTATGATTGAAGTTTCCGCGCAAGGACTCTCTAACTTTCATGGTTTTATTTTGCATCTCCACCATCTTGCAGCACAAGGTAGTAGCCGGGGACGCAGTATCATTGTTCAGTGCTCGTGTTGATGTTCATGATTGTAACTTGTACACTTTCACTCCGTTGACTGTATCTCACTCCGAAGAATAGCTCGTTCTTCAAGTAATTTCGTTGAAGGGGCCTGGCTGGTTTAGCTTCATGCTAGAAGTCAGATAATATCGAAGAAACCCATGTGTTACCCATTCAGGATTCTCTGCCTTTTTGAGTGTTTTATTACTCTTGGTTCTTGCCACTGGCTATTTGGTCATCCTTGTGTGATATGTTGGTCCGATGTACAGAAGTTAAAAGTGGATCGGTTGCCACTATATGCAAATGCTCGAATAAGGCAATGCTAAGATCTTAACGCTGAAAAAATATATCATTGTTTATCTGTTATTTCTGGGTTGCATGGTTCTTTAATTTCTTTCGGGTCCATGGTCTCGATGGTTTGGAATGTTCCAGCATATCATTTGACTTGGAACTTTTTTGGCCTTAGACTTGGAGATATTTTGATGAAAATCAAATCATGATTTTAAAAGTAATTTTATGATATACGAAATAAATATGCGACGGAATTTATTTTGATTTACGAAAAAATATTTTGTAAAAGCACTTTTTAAGTGTTGCAAACACCTTTTTGGTTGGATTTAAGCTATAGTATCATAGACAATTAAAAGACACAAATCAAGTTGACTTGATTATGCAACCAACCCTCACGAGAGTTTAGCATTTGATAGTCACTAGTTACAACGGGGTGTGCAAAATTAACTCGAACTGAATTTGGTTTACTAAGTTGGGTCGTTTTGAATTTCCAGTTTGGTTTGGGTTGTTTCGGTTTGATTCAGTTCAGTTACTTGTTTCCTGTGTTCAGTTGATTCATTTTTCAGCGTTCTCCAATTGAACTAATCCCTGCACACCCTGCAACCATATGGAATAAAAATTTAAAAAATATACGATTTTCACAATTAAGATGTCATTTCTTTCACATGTTAAAATATAATAAGAAATAAAACTTAAATTATAATTATAATGACAAAACGTAATGTAAAACGAAAGGAAGGAAAGTGAACACAGTTGTTTTGAAACCCATCTCTTCTGTTGGCTTGAGTAGAATCATAAGGTGGCAACATTTAAAACAGCAGAAAAGGAAACCAATGAGCCAGTGCTGATCTAATGGCCAATTAATTTCCCGCAGACTATTGATCTGAAAGTCAATTGCAAAGTAAATTTAAAAAAAAAAAAAAAAAAACTACTACCCACAATATAGGCTATTCATACAAGAATGAACCCCATATGCTCTAGGTGATTGACTATTATATATGTTAAGAGTCATGTACAAATTTCTTTCGACTCAAGAAAAGAAAATAAATGCAAAACAGTCCTAAGTGAAATAGCCAAGTCTTCTCCCACCGGAGAGGAGATGGGGCATATATTGGCTATCTAAATAATCCGAGCGGAAGAGGCAAGGGCCTCAAGTCAGGACAGTTCCTCAGCTGTTAAGTCTGTCACAACTATACCATTAGTATCTAACTCTGCATACACTAATAGTATCAAACACATTAGGACTTGCCATTGTTTGACATTATCCTAAAATCCTACAAAATGACTATTATTGCAGTTTAGAGATTGTCAATTCATCTCCTCAGCAATTTTCTCTTTCCTGTTCATGTCCATCTTTGGGACACCCAACAGAGATCCCAGAGTTGCCGAAACTGCAGGTTCTGGCTTATCATGTTTTCCAGGCAAAGGTGGTTTTATCAGTGGCTTGTCAGAACTGTATGTTCCAAAATCAATATTCAGTAAGGAAGAGGAACTTCTGGGTTGTTCGGATTCAGGGTTTAACTGAACAGAGCCTTGGGCTTCAGATGGGGAGCTGGTCATTTGAAAGTTTGAAAGAAGAGGGAATTCTTCAGTTGTGATTTTGAAGGGCCTTGAATCAAAATTCACGTCTGTCTCGGATTGAATCTGCAATAGTTCCTCCTTCTGGTGTGATTTTGGCAGTATATTAGCATCTGCAGAAGTAGATCCTCTCTGCCTGAATACTTTCGTATGCTTATCCTTGTAGTAGGAATTATATGTATGTAGCTATTGGAGAAAAAAGAAAAAAGTTTAAGTCTGCAAGATCCAACCCATTTTTTGATACCAAAGCCAGTTACCACAATATAAACAAAGCAAAGCAAAGAGAATAATACCAAAAAGGAAAAAAGGAAAAAAATACCGTGTCGGGTATGTATGTGCCTGTTCCTCGAGACTTCCCCTTCTCTTCAGCACTGAAAGTTGCTTCAAATTGCTGTGAAGCATTTGGATGGTAGAATGTCTGTATTGGTACGTATAAATCATTACCTAATTGGTAAACCATACCCCAAGTCTGTTGGCTTGACAGTGCATGGACATCCGCTTGAGCGGGCGATGATGGAAAAATTTGATGGGCAACATCAGCTTGAGAAGGTGATGATGGTAAAATTTGATGGGTGGCAAATGGAATGCTATAATTGTGATACAATTGACTATATTGTAGGCCACCATAATAACTGTTATAATCTCCACTGAGGACGGACACTTCGGATCTCCCAGTTCCAAATGCAGGAACAGGAACTGGAACATCTGGTCTTTGTCCTTTCCCATTTCTATCCAGAGTGTTCATGAAAAACTTCTCAAGAGCTGCACCCATGTTTTCCCCTGGAAGTGTAAGGATTTCCCTAAGCTTTCTAGCACCAAAGGAAAGTGCAAATCTTATTCGATGGAAATTTCCTGCCAGCAACAAGTTAATAGTAAGCAACGGAAGGAATTTTTATAGCCTCAACAGGTAAACTCAAAGGACTGGGAATAATTAGTCAGTCTCGGATAAGCAACCTCAATGTAATTTATGTAAATACGTCAATCCATATAAAACTAGTCATAATTAGATCATACATGATACATTAAATAAAAGGGGGGAACCGGTAATTTTGTAGTAATATGCTGCCGCAGTTTAAAAATTCAATATTGGAATGAACTTCCTGATACTTTCTAATATAGCCATATTTTCCAACTGAATCCATAACGGTCATTAACTTCTCCATTAGTTGGTAAGGTTACCTCTGCTGACGCTACGGCCCAGATTGTTGTTGCTTCTTAGAGGATCTAAAATGTTCAAATGCTTAATAGGAAATTCCTGAGCCGCAGTTTCACATACCCTCGCAGGAACAGAGAACATATCTCTGCAATTTTGCAGAAACTCCTTACTGAGCAGCAAGTCATCCCAACCACAGTCTGGCGTCTCTGCAGCAAGCAAAGGAGAAGGGCTTATCTCTACCAGGCACTGAATTGTACAAGTATTCCAATAAAATCATGCAATATCCAACTACATGCAATTGAAAACACTCACCAACAATTTCTGGAAGGGAAGATATGGCTACTGGGCCATTTATACTAAGACAATAGCTGTCCCAATCAAACGAGCTATAATAGTCCAAGAATTTATACAGCACCTGCTAGTAATAGCATTTTAGTGGTTTGTTTCCTCTTGTAGATCTAAACAACATGCAAACTTGGAAGCATATCAGAAAAGTGATGCTTAGAAAGTCCAGAGGAAGGCTCACCTCTAAAGGACCACGAACAGATGAATGAAAAAGATTCATAATATACAAGACTAATGTCTCGACAGCATATGTTGATATCAGGCCATGGTGTGCACCAAGAATTCGGCTCTCATAATAGCACCAGGCTTTGATCAAGATAACTCCACGTTTGAAAAGATGGTTTTTCCCAACAAGCTCATCAACCTGATTTTTTTTCAAAGGGCAGCATTAGATAACATTGATCAAATACGCTGCACAGAAAAAGAACTAAAAGCTTCACTCATTTATGAAGCAAAGGGATGGCGCAAACACAATATTGGGAAAAGAAAACAACCCAAGAAAATGAAAATAAAATAGGTTACTTTATGTAATTCTCCATAGGAGGCAACAAAGGCCCAAATAGCAATTTGAATTAATGTAGAATGGGAGGGGAAGCAACACAAATATAGCAAGAAAATTAGTCCCAAATGTCGCAAAGTGAAAGCTGAAAAGGAGAAGCATACAGAAGCTTGTGATAAGTCAAATTCTTACATGGCATCAAATTTCATATTTACTTCACAACTATGGAAAAGGTCCCTCGCATCTTCAAGTTCCAGCATTACATAGACGCTATAGGCTTGAAGCACCATTAAATGAATGAAATTCAAGCATACATATCCAAGCAGTCCGAGGAATTTATGAATACAACTAACAGAACAAGTATTGGATGTAAGAATTCACTACGATTAATGACATTATACCTTCTCCAGAAAACACAGGGTACTGAGTCCTGCAATCTGATTAAAAGAAATGTCAACGGCTATATTTTTCACAGTGCATTTCACGACTGGGACCTGGCATACATTACCCAAAAATCAATATGTGAAATGAGATAAAGTTGAGAGACAAAAATCAGAAATTCTTTCTCATGAAAAAAGAGAGAGAGAGAGGCACGCATTTTAGCTTAAAAAAAAGAAGCAATGATGGCAAGGGAGATGCTTATTTTCATGTAGGATGTAATATATAGAACAAATTTGAGAAAGAGGTGCATTAGCAAGGTATGCTCCGAAAAAAAAAAAAAAGGAAAAAAAAGAAAAAAAGCAAGGTATGCAAAGGCGATTGGATATCCAATGAGAAACTTTAGGGGATTTATACAACAGGCAAAAGTCCTTTGTTATTTCAACTTTTCTCTCGGAAGGGAAAATTACTACAGTTGAATTCCGCATCATTCAATACTCAATATGGTAGTAGCAACTTCAATCTTTAACTAGACTCCAATGACACCATAGTTAGAAAAGTGCCTCGGAAGAAATTCAAGTCTGAGACATCTTGTAAGGTCGAAGTCGCTTTCAGATACTTCTATGTGCTTTCATCATTTCTACAGGCTATCCATTAAAACTCAGCAACAGCATGGTGATACTTTATATTCAAAACTAACATAAGGATCCTCTCTAACTGATGTTCTACTGGAAAGGAGATAATATCCATTTGAGCCTCTTGGACATGATAAACCACACAAGCCAGGACAAAGCAATTCAAAAAAAAGCAAGACAAAAAAGGAAAGGTTAAGTCCTACAGAAAGTAATGAAATGATTTTGATATTTGGGATAGACAATTTGACTTTAGACCTGTGCACGTATATATTGTATGTCTTTTACTTGATATTCAGAGTCCTCTAAACTTTCAAGTATATTGCAAACAGCTTTAGCTAAATCTCCTCTTCATTCTCTTGACAGAGAGTAGTCAAGTCAATATCTCCATCAGGAAGATAGGTTTTTAGTGGGACTGAGCCAAATGGGAAGACCTGCATAACCATGATGAAATCATATCAGAATCTAACGGCACCAAAAAGGAAAGGAAGGTAGAATGAAACCAAAATGTCAAGAATTTCAATCACATTTGCAACTGAAAAACGAGGAACATTCATTACATAAGACAAAATGGATTTGGCACGTCTGAACCATTTAGAGCAGTGACCATTAGGAAAACAATTTATGAGCACAAGACAAAAATGTCATGCATCCAAATCATTTAGAGCAACAACCACAGGAAAAACACCCAATAAATTATGAGGTCAAGACACTCATCAAAAGAAAGAATAGAAAGATAACAAAATCAAGAAAACATACTCAAAAATATATTGACAAATTGCGGAATATTTGGAAATTTTGCATTTCTCATTGAAAAAGAAAAGTAAGATACATCCAAATATATACGCCAAGGGCAAAAGACAAGAGAATAAAGGCTAATAAAAGCCACACGATCAGAAAAAATATTTAAAATTAAAAAAAAATATTCCCACACAAATATAACTAAAGGAAAAAATTCAAACCTCTGCCCCATAGCAGCCTCTAATCAGACTCTGAACATACTCAGCAACTTCCTTTCGCCGCATCTCAGAAACGACATTTGGCTGAATGATGTATAGTATCTCCTGGGCCCTTTCTTCACCTATCTGCCAAAGTTCCTCATCAATTGACAAGGGCTGTTGGTTGGGTGAGGAGGAAGAGGATGAAGAAGATGAGGAAGATGACGAAGGTGACAAATTTCCTTGATGATCTTCCATTGTCACAGACACTGGAACTTATATCTCCTGCCAAAAAAAGCCTAGAACCACAAACAAGACGTCCCAATAAGGATCCATCCATTGAATGCTAAACAGCACAACAGATTTAATTGAGATCTTTTACAGATAAAACAGAATATGGGTAAGAAGAAATTGATAAAGCCAAAATTACAATTGGGATAGCCTAGGATAGAAGTTAGATGTAAGAAGACACGCTGGTACATAGTAAAATTCATTTTCATAACAAATAGTTGACATAGAAAGGTTCCAGATGGAACCCAAGAAACCAAATATGAAATTGACAGCAAATAAATCTAAGGATTAATATATGAAAATATTGGTACTATATTAATATTAGCAATATACTCTTCTCTTTAGTGTGAAGAATGAGAAATTAGGGCAGAAATTTCTCACACACAATGGAAATAAGCTACAGGAAATAAAAGGAAAATATACTCAACACACTCAAACTCAGTAACAACTGAACACACTGAAAATTGAAAAGATAATGAAGAAGAAAGAAGCCTTCCTCCACCCAACCTGGTACTCAATAGACCACACACCCTCTCCTACAAAATCACTATCTTCCTCGCCTTCCTCCATCACACAACCCTAACAAACTGTCATAGGACCCACATGCTCTCCAATCACTTAGACCTGGGCCCTTGGATATGGGGCAAGTTTTAGTCCCGCTACTCTTATCGAGATTCAAAGTTATTCACTTCATGAACTTGATATCTGATTTACTAAGAGGGAGATGAAACAGAGGGGGTTCAAAAATGAAAATTATTACCCAGGGATATGACAATTATACATGGAAAGGGCTCATTCATATACAGACAATTATCCATGAAAAAGAGCGACAGGAAACGACAAATAAGACATAACTTACATGAAATATAATAATACAGAGAACAGGGGAAAAGGTGTCAATCAAAACTTAACTATCTTACTTAAAAGTTCCTTTTATCTCATGTTACTTCTCCCCTGTGAGACAACAAAGAACGGAACAAGGACCATTTGTATTTTGTATGTCTGATACAAGGAGACTACAAGCACCAGATTCAATCGTTTAGTATAACCACGAGTGATTAGGAATGGACATGTCTTGGCTTATTCAAAGCAAAGAGAATTATAGAAGCAAAAGAGCACCGGAATACAACAAAGACGGCATAAAAAGATGGAAAAGAGCGACAGAATACAACAAAGAAGGCATGAATAACGAAAAAAGTTCAATAAGACAGAGCAAGGGAACAAAGATGTTAATTATGAAGTACTACGTTATTGAAAAGTTCCATTTTGTTTTACGTTATTACAAAGTGAATTCTTCTTCTATAGCAAGACAATGCAGAATTGAGCAAGGGCTATTTGTCTATACAATATAAGGGGACTAAAGGTGGCAGTCTCCATGGTGAAGTTATATATCTTAATGTTTCCCTCTGCCATACATGCAGTACCCTAAAGTAGAATTGATAACTATTAGTAATGCAAATTCACAAGTCATTAATCTTTCAGCATAAATATCTGTTTTATATTATAGTAGTGCTTATGAAATTCTATGGTCAATGTTTTAGACCCACAGATTTCAACAGCTCCACAACCCATGAAAATTTAGCAAGCCTGGTAGCTCATTAGCACTAGACGTTTCAGTACCCAAAAGTCAAAAGAATTTTGCATGTTGCGGCTTTATATCCTCTACAGTATGTAAAGAAAATAAGCAACGCGTAACCCTTAGGATAAATCAAGAATAGATGCGAAGAGTTCCTAGTTAAGGCTTCAGACGCTGCAGCAGATCACTAAGATGAATGATCTTTATAATTATCTAGATATTTGGTTTTGTGTGAATTTAAATTCAGCTCTTCAACTTGTCAAGGAGGGCTAAATGTCAGTCGGCCGAGTCACAAAATGGTTCGTAATTGGGTGAAGCCACAAATCCAATCCACACTCAACCCCAAGACTAAGGAAGTGAATGTCAACGCATAATTTGAAGGGCAATGTCTATGAAATTGAATAGCATGTACATTTGCAAACGAAGATAGTTGTCCTCCTCTTGAATTAGGAATAGGAGTACAAAATGGGAGAATGAACGCCGGGACAAAATCAATAGAGGGAAAAATGTTTTTTGCTCGCTGTGGCTTCGAAAGCTCCAGCAGATCACTAGCACGACTGACACTAACACAAAAAAGATATCAGGATTCACGTGATTTAAATTCAGCACTTAAGCTTATCGAGGAATGTCTGATAATGGCGCCGCTTACCGAATTCCACAGAATCAATATCCAAAACTCAAGATTAGTTCTGCGGCCAGCAATGCCTGAACACCCACCCCAGCTCAACCCTAGGGTTCATGAGGAGAATCAAAATACATTGATTGAATATTAATCACAATGAACATGAAATAAAAAAGACTTGGGGATAACTGCCAAGCGGAAAGTCGGAGGCTATTAATTTTTCTTACGTGAAGCACCATTAAGTTCCTTGTCTCGACTCACTTAGATTAATGGAGGTCAGGCCAGAGAAGTTAGTGGGGGGGTTATACCTTCAATAAACAGGACAATTTGCCGGCCTTTTCCTTCTGCTTGTCCCACCTGGCTGCGTCTCTGAAGCAAATTCCGTTGAGAGTTCTGCGCATCTGCGCTCAGAAAAACAGCGATAGAAGAACATCCTCGTCAATGGCGAAGCAGAAAACTTTGTCAAAACTTAAAACCCTAGTCCTCAATCCCCGACAATGGAGAAATTTCTTCAACACCATTGATGCAGCCGTGGGCGTGGTGGCCCCCACAATCCGCAAGTTTGGACCTTGGGAGCTCGGATTCTGTTGTGTGATGTCAAGTCCTGATCCTCTACTAACGGCTAATATAACAGCACCAATAGCTAATGACAAAAACGAGCTCGTTTAACGAGCCTCATGAGTTACGATCACCAGCATTCAGTCTGGAAGCCCAAACAGGGGAGGGTTGAGTCGCTGCAGATTGAGCTCTCCAATTTGTAGGCAATGGTGGTCCTCGGCCGTGGTTCCCTCTGCTTTTCAAAGCCGCTGGTTACATTGCCGCCAGTGTCTCGGCGCTTCTACCTCTCTCTATCTATTCTCGCAGCATTTTAGCGCGTGCGTAATAATAATTAATAAATAATAATTTTTTTTTTTTGTTTTTAAGAGAAAAATCAGTAAAAAGGCTATGAAATCCATAAATTTTTTTTTCCTGTGAGAGGTAGGATTGTTAATGAGAGTTATATCCTTCCCATTTTAGTTCTAACCTTTTTAAAAAAATTTCCAAATCAATTTTAGGAAAAAAAAAAGATTTACAAACAGGAATCGTTATCAACTAAACTCATTTTAATTAATATAATATCAATTCTAAGAATCTTGGTTATTCAAGATCACATCTGTAAGCACAAATTTCTGGAAATGTTCAATGAACGCAAAGATGTAAAGAAAAATATCTCACACTGTCAAATACTGCAAATGAGTTAAATTTGCTTACACCCCCTCTCAACCAAACTAGAGAAGCAAAATGGCGGAATCCCTGTCAGATGAGGCGCTAAAATTATAACCACGACGATGGATAATGATTGTGAAGAAGCAGCCTTGCCTGGACTGGACCCCCAGTGATCATAAAAGTTGACTGGACCATCCAACTGGTTGGACTATCTTAAAAGATGACATGATGCTTTGACTGTAAGTTATTTAATTAGATAAACACTAAATTATAATTTTAAAAATCATTTTATGATATATTAAATAAACATGTGAAAAAAATTTTATTTCGATTTACATCAAATAATTTTTAAAAGTTTTTTGGGTTAAAGTATAAAAAAAACTTTAAAAAAATGAACTCTAAAAAAAATATACTTTCAACCCATTTGTATTTTGTAACCATATTGTGGCCATTCAAAACTTCATATGTTGGGCTGTTATTTCTTTGTCCATTAGATTTATCATTTGATTTATGTATATGCATATAATTATTTTCATTAAATTTTTATGTTTTCCGTTTAACCCGTTGGACTATGAGATTGAGAACCATGAACTGGCGTTACTGGTTTTAAAAAACATTGCTGGACGCCATGGGAGAGCTTGAGGACGCCGCTGGAGAATTCAGACGCCGTCGCTGGGAGGAATCAGGAATGAGATTTGGGGTGGAGCTTGACCGGGATGAATCAAGTCAGAACGACGTCGTTGCAATATTTGTTGCTCCCGACGCAGAGGATCTGAAGGCCCCTTGATTTCGATCATCCAATGTGGGTCCCGCACGTGTACCACATCATCCATAAATCCCAAAAACCGTTACATTTCCCCAATTACCAGCCCATTTCCCGCCATGTTGGCTCTTGCTCCGAAAACCCTATCTACTTCTCCATTTTCGCTGAGCCCCATTGCTCAAGGTCTGTTCCATGATTCTTACTACTCCGCCTTCAAGCTCAAATTTAACAGAAAATACATATGCGAGTATCAAATTGAGAGGGGTCTGCAATTTGAGACCGGCGAGGCCTTTTACCGGCACGAAAGCGCTACCGGACGAGACCTCGGTGTGCTCGCTGCTGCTCTCCACAAGAAGTCAAATGGGAGTTTGCGTGCTCTTGACGCATTGTGTGGCTGTGGAATACGGTCGCTTCGGTACCTCGAAGAAGCCGAAGCGGATTTTGTTGTGGCAAACGACGGAAATGACAATTATAGAAGCACTATTTTGGAGAACTTGTCAAGGGCAAAGAACGGTTCAGAGAATGAACGGAGATGGGAAATTACCCATTTAGAAGCTAATCGTGTGATGGCAGATTACTATTTGCAGAAGAAGTTTTTTGACTTCATTGACGTCGATTCATTTGGCAGTGACTCTTCTTTCTTGCGGTCTGCTATGATCTCTTTGAAACTGGGCGGGCTGCTCTATGTCACGTCAACCGATGGCTACTCGTCTGGTGGTCACCGTCCTCATCAGTAAGATTTGTATCTTCTATTTTGGTTGAAGTGCTGTTAATAATGCAGTTGCAGTCATTTATATCCTTATTTAAACTCTTGTTCTTAAATATCTCTTTGTTGAACGATTCTGATTACATACTGTGATCATTTCAATCAGTCTTTGCTTGGTTGGGTGTGCTTGATCCATCTTCTAGTGAATGATTATCTTTAGACACTTAACCATTACGGTGACTGAATTGTGCTTTTGGCACAAACAAGCACAATTTTTTGTGCCAAACATGTTTTGCAGGCTATCACATATTCTGCTATATTAACTTTGCGCCACCAGCTGCTAGTTCATAACATTTTATTTTTCTCGCTAGTTCTTTAGCTGCATATGGAGCTTATGTGCGCCCTATGCCATATTCGAATGAGGTTGGTTTACGAATGCTTATAGGTGGGGCTGCAAGGGAGGCTGCAGTGTTGGGTTATCACATCACACCTTTATTTTCGTACTATGCTTATCATGGACCTGTTTTCCGAGTCTTGCTGAGATTAAATCGTGGGAAGCTTCATGACAATAGGTGCTATATCACAGCGTTTGTGCTACATCTTATTATTTCGTTTCTGGGCTCCATCTCTTACTTATTACTCTCTCTATTGCGGCAGACATTATGGTTTTATTGGCTACTGCCACCAGTGCGGAAATTCCAAAGAATTTTCATGGGCTGAACTTGGTCGGATCAGTTGCTCCTGCAGTAATTCAAAGGTAAGTTCTGGTTAAGTTATTATTCTGACTTCTCATAGCATGTGTTTTTTTTTCATATGCTCATTTTTACATTCAATAATTAATAAATGTCATTTTGGATGTAAGGATACATAAGGTACTTCCAATTTCTTTTCTTTTTTAGGTTTCTACCTCCCTTGTGGTTTCAGGACCACTTTGGACAGGACCTCTTCATGATGCTGCATATCTTATGGACATGTTAAATCTTGCCAAGCGTTGGGGATGGGTTGACGGTACAGACAATCTTGGAAAACTTATTAAACTGATGATGGATGAAAGTGACCCCAAGTTGCCATTTGGATACATCAAGTTGGATGAGGTACCTTATTGAATGATTTGGTTGAAGTTACCGCTGTAGCATAGCAAATTAATTTATTGATCCTTTTTTGAACAATGACTTATGGTGATTTCTCTTCCATCCATCCAGATGGCAAGTCGTGCAAAAATGAATTCTCCTCCTCTGAGGACCTTGATAAGCGCCATCCATAAGGTTCTCCTTTTATCCAATTATCTTCTTCCTTTTACCCGTTATTGTGTTGTCTGAAACCGTATATCATCTTTGATAACCTCTTTCTCATACTGAGTATAATTTCATGATGAAATAACTATATAAAACTGGAGATGCTGCATTATAAAAGAAGTAATCGAAGAAATGGAACATCTGAAACAATTCCCATCCCTCTTCAGGAACAAGAAATGTGAGCAAAATAGAAAAAGGAGATATTTATATTAAAGCTCAAACCAATTATGTTTTTTTTAATCTCCTAATTAATTAAAAATGGGTCTGGGACTACCGCTTAGTTTGGCTAACAACTCTAGCTTAAGAATGAGGATTCCTCGCTATCCAAATTTAAGTGAGCTTGTGGAAAGAGCGGAAAGTGGATTTCTCTTTTTATGGGCTTATTTGAAAGCATAAATAGCACTGACCTCATCAGGTCAGTAACCAAAATGCACTAGTTGAAGCATGTTTAATTTGCTAGCAAGTATAGCTTGTTAAAAATATATATTAAAAAAAACATAGAATGCTTTACATGACAACGAAGGCTATCAGATGGATGGTTCAAAAAAAATTATGTATCAACTCAAAGTTTATACTGTTTCGAGCTGCATTCTTGTGTTGCTTAACTTGAAGAACCATTTAATGGAACTTGACTTGTAAGATATGCTATGGGGCGTAACATATATTTCATTGCTCTGCTTAAGGTTGCTATCTGATGAATCAAACACAAAGAATTTTATATGAATATACAAAAAATAATAGCAGTCTATTAAAGAATTGAAGTATTCTGAAGTTAATTTATATTTGAGGTTCTGGAACTTGTCTAGAGTTTATTTCCATTGAGGGAAGTTCGTGATAGTTTTCGTTCACAATATCTTAGGTCTATGGAAGTGGCTGTTGTATTATTTGGTAAAAAGAAAAATGAGACTGAGGAAGTTGTAAATCTGAAGATGGATATTGTTTCTCCTCTTTCGCTTGAACAAGACAAACTTTAGCTGATAAGCAAAAAAGAAGGAAGTTGTCTTTCATTGTATTTCATTCTGTCATGTTACCTTGGTTTATGGTTTTGATAGGACGTGAAAATGTGGTCAAGTATGATTCATGTTGGCTTTTAAATGAAAGCTTAAGAGACCAGAGACTAATTTCTTTTGTTGTTGGTATAATTGCAGAAGGGGTATGCTGCCAGCCGGTCTCACATAGCCACCAATGCGATCAAGACGAATTGTCCTATGACTGAATGCATTAGTATTGCCAAGGAACTATTACTGGTTTGAACTGCTGAATAATTTGAGGGCCCAAGTTACCTACCAGGAGCTGTTGAAGTGTACTCAATGCTATATTGGTGGCATGTAATGGTTGGTGCTTGACTGAAAACCAGCTAAGTGGACAGATGCTCGGAGAACGAAATTGGCTGATTACACTGTTTTTGCAGACTGGAGGCTCACAATTTGGATTGAAAGAATTGGCGGTCTGCGATGAAAGGACCGTACATCTCTGCACTGATGACATGCTTTTTTAGTCTATTAAAGGACCATACCTTTGTTTTCTCCTTGTTAGTGCTAGGTAAGATCAAGTTTTTATTTAATTTACCATTCAAAGATGATACAGCACTGAAGATATTTTCACCAATTTTGTTGGGGAAGTTTCACAAATGTTGAGGTGTCAAATGAATTTTTAAGTCAAAGCTGACCGCATACTTACAACAAGTGGCACATTAAGTTTGAGCATGGCCACGTTATTATTATTATTTTTTTTTGAGGAAGGTGGTGTGTTGTCAATGTGTCTGAACTAATTTCTTAGTGGCCAGAATCGGCGAACTCGTGTCATGAGTAACGTGGAAATAACATGAGACATGCAATGTTGTATTGAAGAATGAAGGATCGTGTGATGATATGGCTGAATCGGACTTGGATGACATTAATCAAACAACATTTACTAGAGGAAGTTGCTTCTTTTAGCGTGCAAGTTTGAATCCTTTTTTTTAACCCGCCCGAGCGAGTCTTAAATGGTTTTACTTGATTAAATTTAATTGGGAAGATTTGGACTAACAAGGAAAAGTCCAAATGCAGGGAATTCAAGAGGTTGAACTGTCTGTAATTTGTGGTCGAAATCCATGGTATTCCTAAAGAAGCCATGACTAGCTGTAAAATGTTCTGTGATGCGCTCGACAGGCTAAGCAAAAGGGGGGTGAGGGAGGGTGATGGGTTGAGTATACCAGTTAAGAGTTTTATTTCTCCTTTTCCTTTTTTTTTCGCGAATGAAGGCTTTAATACTAAATTCAGGGATAGCAAATTGGACTACAACTAGAGTCCTAGAAAGATTGGATCCTTTGAAAAGTTCTTCGGTGCCGCCACTGATCACTCGCTTCAAAGATATTTTGATTTGATTGTGGTCTTTCATGTGATGAAGCAGGCCGTCAAGCACGAAATCGGAACTCGTGAGGTCCCGGGATGATTGCAGTCTTGTTCACATTACATGCAGATAATTTGAAACAACACATGATCAGCGATCTTCCCCACTAACCAGCTTTCCGTCCCCGTATCATGTGACCAAACTCAGCTATCATCCAACCAGTGGTTCCAGTGAGTACCTGTTGTTGGCCCAAAGAGATCCACTATTCATCGAATATGCATTGAAATTTCAGAAAATAAACAACGTGATCCCTTGAGGCATTCAATGTTTAACCAGGATAAGATTCTACGCTCATATACCGACTATCAATCGCCGCCGGCGCAAACCACATTCAAGGACTCACTTCCATGCATTAGAATCCTTGGAATTCTCAACCAACAATATCTCGATCAAACCACGGAAGCCAAGTCCAAACACATTCTAGCATCATTTATCAATTGTTACCTTTTTAGGTGAATTATTTATTATTTGATTCAATGCAAGAAACAACGGCCTGAAGAGATAAAAAGCTTTCCCATTTGTCATTTTGTCGCAAGAGGGCTAAACATTGAAATGGTTATCTGAATCGGAGAAAAACTTCAGATAATTTATGTAATTTCTCTAGGTTCATGCTCATCAAAATCAAATCATGGGTCGGATAAGTATCTGCAAGCGTAAGCCAGACATTTTTAAAAAGACAAAGCATCCCTAAAACAAGCAAAACTGAAATTTGCATAATCAAGCAACATACAGAAATAAGTTTCTCACATGGAGTTCACCAAAACTAAGATTCTAGAATTGCTTAAGTACGAGCAGCAGCTACTCCAGCAGGGCGAGGAGCTTGACCAGGTTGACCAGGTCTTGGTGCATCATCCTTCAAAGGAAATAATAAATTCCATCAAAAATCAGCAACATGTGAAGCATAAAAACTATAATTGACAAAATGGAAGAATGTGATATCAATTCATAAATTACAATTTCACATACACGCATTATGATATTACTCCTCCGATCCTAAATATAAGACCCTCAGTAGTATGAGGGTCTTATATTTAGAATCAGAGTATTACAAAAGTCCCTCATAGTCAAATTATCAGCCAAATAATTCTAATATACAAGCATCAGAAGTCAAATACAGCCAAAATACAGCTTTCTCGACTCATGACTCAATAAAGACAGCAAGTAAATAAACCCTCCTAAAAATGATCAGTGAAACGATGAAACAAATTAAGAAGAAAGAGCTGAAAACTCAATTCATATTAAACAAAATTAACCAATAAAAAGCACAATAACCGCGGAACCTCCCCGGTGGGGATGAATGAGGCTCGTTTCAGTCAAGATAAGATGCGGATATTAGTGAGTTTCGACAAGGTTGCTCATTGATGCCACGAACCAAATAGGCTAAGATATCATGTTCTGAATATGTGGTCGCGGGTTAGATAAGTATTGCTCAGTTTTCAATCAAGGCATTGCTACTTCGGAGGAGTTCAAGGTCAAGGACAACCTATTGAGATTGAGCAAGAAGACACAAATGTCCTATTAATTATCTTATCAGAAATTTAGGGATCAATCTCGAATTGGCCTTCGCAGTATTCTCAAATGCTCGTTAAGGGAGAAGGGGGAAAAAAGAGGCTTTTGAACGTAACATATAATCAACCGACTTTAGCAAACCAAAAGTAAAAAATGTCGTTTTGAACGCTATAATAACACTAGTGACAAGGGATCAAAACTATAATTAAATAAAAAAAAATCTGTTGGATGCGTCGTTAAAATTAACATACCCTGCGCCTGATGAAGCGCTGTGGAGGCTCACGGTTCCTCCTATCAGTGCGAGAACGAACTCTCACGACATGCGAATGAATAGCACAGGAAACACAATACTGCATCTTAACATACAGCTTGGGGAGCGTGTATTCTACAGGATGACAAATATTCAGTTTAAGTAAAAGAGAAGATAAAATTAAATATATAGACCAAAAAGAAAGGAAAAGATCATTACGTTCATAGACACATGCTTCCTGAACATCCCTAACAGCGGCTTGCTCAACAATGTTCCTCACAAGGAACCTCTTGATTGCCTTGTCCTATTTTCCACGAGAATCAGAAAAGCAAATGTCAAAAACCACAACTTCTCAGATTCCCAAAAACATATCGAACGTTCAATCACGGGCTCAATCAACTCAAACAAAGTAATGATCTCGCAGCCAGGAAATAGGTCGTCAAACATGAGCCACCACAATTGTGAGTGATATGAGCAGTGAGTGCAATGAAAAGCGTCATGCGAGGAACAACTGAATGTAGAACAGAGTATAAATAATTCCAGTGAAAACAGAAACAATTTACTGAGTTTGAATGCTGAATACCTTGGGACAGCATTTACCACAGTTGGAGCATCGAATGAATTTAACATGTCCACGCCCATGCTTATTGCGTCCGCCGTTCCTTCTCTTGAATGTCTGTAAGAGGAATTAGAAGAAAGTCGATGCAAATGAGAAAGATCAGCGAAACTAAGATGACGAGAAAGCCAAGAGTCTGGAGGTAGCTTCAGCAAGGAGCCTACCATTGTTACAGTAGAGATCTGAAGCTCCCAGGCAGGTCGTCGCTAGCTAGGGCTTCTGGTAGTGCTGCCAGCAGGATAGAAGATTAGGGTTTGAGAAACATTATATAGGGTGGCATGGCCAATCGGGCCGGGTGTATTTCTGTAGTTTCATTTTTCTTGGGCTGATTTTTTTTTCCCCAAATGGCCTGAATGTGTTTTTAACTTCCTTTTCTTCTGCTGAACAATAGAACCATTATTTGCTCCTGGGGTAGATTTTCTGGGTTAAAAAAAAAAATTATTTTCTGGTATATACTCTTATATAATCTAAAAATGGTTACAACTCACGTGATGTAACATTATCAATCAGAAATTAATATGGAGGCCAAATTTACTATACGATTTTTTTTTATGACGCTTTTTTTTTTTGTGACACTTTATGACGCTTTTGGTGATCGGGGTATTTGCTTGTTAAATCTCAAGTAAATAAAACCAATGGATAAAAATAAAAAAAATTTCTTACTAGTGTTCAAAATGTGAGACCTGCCGTGCATATTCTCCTATCATCTTGTTCAATATACAATGTCAGCGAATTTGTTAAATCAGTATAGATTATTTAAAATTAGAAAAGAAAACAGAAAAAGAACATAACTTGAATATAAATAGAAGGCTAAAATATATTTTTAGTCTTTAAACTTTGTATAAGGTTTCAATTTAATCTCTTAACTTTAGAAAATATATTTTTAATTATTTAACTCTAAAACCGTTAGCAAAAAATAATGATATTAAGATTTTAAACATTGATAAAATATTCTATATTAAATTTAATTTTCAAAACAATTATAATTGTTATAAAAAATTATCATTACATTAAATAACTAAATCTATAATTTAGCCTAAATATATATATCATAGTCCCAATTTGATTATTTTTTGAATAAATTAATTCTGACTACTAGTTAATTGATAGATTTTATTCATAATTTAAAAATATTAACTTTATTTTATTTTAATTTAGTACGTCAATAATTTCACAATTAATTTCAAATACATATAACATCATTTTAAACTTGTTCACGATTATAATAACAAAGATAGGATTTTTCAATCAACTTTATCCTTAATATTATTTTCTCATGTCTTTTTCCTGGACCATATGTCGAGACTCTGCATTAAATGAAACCAACGCATCAATGTTAACGGGCCAATGAAATAATGTACTCATATTCATAGACTAACCGTCGATATTAAATTAAAATTTCTTTGTTACCAAAAAAAGATTAAAATTTCTTTGTCCTATGTTGTTCATTTGACATATATTCTGTTGGCGCAAAAAAACAGAAAGACATACTAGTATATTCCGTAAATAATTATAAACTTGTCATCTCAATCATATATCCTACTTGGCCATCATGCAACACCGCGCCATATCAGCTTTCATAGCTACGCTTTTCCCCCCTTCTTTTTAATAGACTCATAGCAACACTTATATAAAAAACATGGCTAGAAATGAAGAATTATATCCGGAGGTCAGAAAATCCATCCATTGCAGGAGATACAAGAAACAGCTGGTATATTACTCATTGTTCTGAAGTAGTAATAATACACCAAACATCTCACTTGGGAAGCAACCTGAATGACAATGGGAGTGTACCATCTGCTGGTACGTTTTATTCCATCTCAGGATGATGCTCTTCAGAGATGTAATCTCACGCACTTTCCAATCAGAGCTTTACATTAAGAACTCTCTTTCTCGTACACTTCACTGGCATATTTCCAATTCATAACTTTCCATATGTTCTTCAAATAATCCGGCCTGACATTCTTGTACTGCAATAAGAAAAACAAGCAGCATATTTCAGGAAACCGTATGAAAAATGTAGACCTAGGAAGGCCTTTTGTTTCTTTCCAATCGGGTGGTTGAAAGCAAAATAACATCGATACGGGTGGTGTAGGGAGAAACAACTCAGTCCAAAATTAAGCACTCTGTCAAAATGGAAAACATGCTGGATGCGAAGTCCCTCATCCTTACTTTTGCCCTCATAAGAATTTTACAATGAAGGGGAGAACAGGCATTGCATGAGCATTACAATGAAGGGGAGAGACGGTGGAACTGGTTTTAAGAGAATCAAAATGTTCTATACAGAGTACAGGTCTTCATTGTAGAACAATACTTTATTAAACTTATAACGTTATGTCTCATATGCTTACATCCCAGTATGCATTTATATCTTTTTTCTTACTTTTTCAAGGTCCTACAAATTACAGAGGATTCAACTCTTCTCAGTGGAGTTAATTAGTACATCAGCCACCATACAATAAACGGTTTGTTGTCATGTGGATGGAACTAGAGATAGCAAATCATCCAAACTTCGATAAATTTGTCAACACAAGATACTTCTTTATGTATCTTGTGATTAACAACATCCAAGAATAAATACGTAAAAAGCCCTCAAATATCCAGTAATAGTAGCCTTTACGTAACCAACAGAAAACTCCAAATTTTTACCTGTAAGTAGTATGCATGCTCCCAAACATCTATACCAAGTAGTGGAACTAGACTTGGTCCCTTAGTTACCAGTGGATCCTGCAACAAAGATGTTCATACTTACGTATGGAAGTAATATGTCCAGAGAAATCCATATACATTGAGGGCAATATTACATACAGAGAAAATTACTCCAACTTCCCCTCCATTTTCGCAACTCACACAACCCAACCCTGAACTTAAAAATCATTATATCTAATTTAATCTGTAAGGAGCCAAGAACATCTCTGTTAATTAATTGGACTTCAATGTGATGTTTCTAGAGTTGAACGAGTGTTTTAGTAGGTTTTGGTCTTGAAGGGGTGAATATTAAAAAAGGCAAAGGAATCAAGGTCATAGTTGGCAGTAAAACCCATTTCACAGAAATTACTGTTAACTTTCCTAAAACTGATGTGTTGACTCTTGGCATCGTGTGGTATAGGGAGGGGTACTCCTGGCCAGAATTTTGAGGAGGGTACGGCAGTTTACCTGATTTGCAGTGGTTTCAACAACAAGCCTCTTCAACTCTTTGTCTAGACCAAGCCACTGTAATAGCAGTAAAATGTGACAATAAGTATACAAACCACATCTTAGAATAACTCAGGAAAAAAACCATATGGAAAGGCGCTAGATTTATGGATATTTCACAATGTACAAAACTTACCACCCATCCAGACCCCTGTAAGGCTGCTCCTTCTGCATTCATTTTATGTATCAATGCTTCCCAAGAACCAAAGTGAGTATCGATGGCCCATCCTAGGGAACCTTTGGGAGGTTCACCACCTCCTTCCTGGAAGGCAGAGTATTAGGATGAATGAGCTACAGAAAACAAAAGGTAACCATCAAAGAAAATAATGATAGTTGCACACTTACACGAATAGGAGTCAGATTTTTCCAGAAAATAGAATGATTGATATGACCTGTTCATAGATGGTTAGCAAGGTACCTTTGAACTAAGCTAAAGACGATAAGGAAAAAGAACCGAAAAAAGGTCTCTGATCCTTCTTTAAGATATTTATTTGGCTAATCCATAACTAATTTTTCGATTTTTCCTTTAAAAAATCAAAACTATAGAAATGTCATCAAATAAACCCTCAAGTTCCGGTGAATAAGGCCTACAATGCAGTCTTGGAACCCAAAGAAAAACACAGAATATGGATCACAGACTTCATTTGACAATTTGTTATTATAAGGGTCAACTAAGCTGTTATCTGAATTAACCTTGTTGATTCCTTGGGAAAATCACAATTTCACAGGTCCTTCCAGCTCGAACCCATGCCCATGTGTTTCAGTCAAAGCATAAAACCCAAAAGACATGGGGGAGCCAGTATCTGAATTAACCTTAAGTCCTTAACTAAACTGAAACTTTTTATTTATCAATTAATTCCAATCTATTTGATAGCAAAATCACTCGCATAAATGGACCATGGAATTTCAAGAATTTATCAGCTAGTTAAAATAGTATTCATATAAACGCTCAGTCTGAGTTTTGAATTTTCACAGGGAAAAATACGCTCAATGATACAATCTTCTGTTGTCTTGACCGCATCGGACTGATGTGTATTAAAAATAAGCAAATGGTCGTTCGGTTCTTTTTGATATAGTAGTTAGGTCAACACAATTGGTAGAATTACCAAAAGTAAGCTGAATCAATTAGTATCAATCTATCCATCAGCTCACTCCTCATGGCAGCCTTAGGTTCAACAAAACATGATTTAGTCAACACAAACTTATGGACAGTGACTGTAGAGTCGATAATCCACTTCACTTCATAATACCCCCATATTTTCAACCCCACACCCGCAAGAAAAATAAAGGGAAAAAAAGATAAAATCGAACCTCCGCCGTTGAACTTGATGGCACTCTGCAATTTAACGACGGTAGAGGAATCGCCCTTTTCCATAGCATCATGAAGCTGTTCGAGGGCTTTGTTGTAGTTCGTGATGTAAGTCTGATGGTGCTTCTGGTGATGAAGCTGCATGATTTCGCCGCTGATGGCAGGCTCAAGTGCGCCATAGTCGTAAGAGAGGTCGGGTAGAGTGAAGGTTTGCAAGCCGCGATGAGATTGAGCTGCGGTTAACCCTAATCCCATTGATTTGGGGCCATTCAGAAGCACAGAAGCCAGGGGTTTTTTGGATAGCAAGGATCCCATTGCCATCGCGAGAACGAAGAATGGGGATTGGGTGGAGAAGGAGGATAATCACGGGATTTGGAAAGACAGTCTCACGACAGAAGCAGCAGAAATGAATAACCCTTGGTGCAGCCACTAGCAGGGACACGCGGACCCTGTTAAAGAATTTGCTAAAGGGACAGCCAGGTGATTATATCAATTATCAATCAACCCATACCAGAAGCTGAGATTGCGTCGGCAAAACCAGGCATATTGCAATTTTAATCTTCGGGCCCCAGGGGCGGCGTGGCAACCCACGGATGCTTCACACTATCAATACGCGTTGGCCTTCTTTATAATATTTAATATAGAAATTAGTTAAAAATATAATTTGATTTTAAATATATGACTAATTTTTTTATTTTTTTATTTATTTTGTCTCTCAAATAATTTTTATGGTGATTATACATAAAAAAAGATAATTTCAATGGAAATAATTAATAAGAGTAGTTTAAAAAAATAATACTCATCTATTACAAATAACTAACTTAACTAATTTCTTAATATTCATGTATTAATTATACAGTTCTTATATGAAGAGTAGAAGGTAATATTATATCATATATTTACATCCATTATGAGAATAGTTTTATATATTTTATTTTTAAAATATTATTATTAAACTATATTTTTGTACGTTTACCCATATTTTACATCCTCAAAAAAATTATCAGCAAACATCCGAGTACGGGTTCAAACATATGGATTCAGCTTTTGGCAACCAAAAAACCAAAAAAGGCAGTCTTCTGTTTTAATCTCATGGGAAGTCCATGAAAGAAACATATCATTTCCGGTATTTAATATAAAAGTTAATTAACTAATTTGAATAAATTAAAAAAATTATTTAAATTAGTTATTTATAATAAATAAGTATTTTTTTTAAAATATCTTTACTAATCAAGTGTATTAGTTAGAATTATCATTGTTACAAGGACTAATTTTAAAAAATAAATAAATATGATAGATAAAGAAAATTAAGATTTTATATTTAAAACAAAATAAAAACCAAACAAGTTCGATACAAGATGATAGCATATGATTTTAATTTTACACAACGTATTGATTTAGACTATACTCATTTTAAACAATAGGGCTATTTTGTTTGCAACCTCTTGACTTAGGATAAGGATAATTCTAGTACTTCAATAAACAACCATTTCCCTGATAATTCATACACATGGCCATAATTATGGTTATAATGTCAATCGTTTTCAAGTATTATTTATTAGCTTAGACATTTTTATTTGTTGAACTATAATTTCTTCACTCAATCACAATAATCCTCCGCCTCTTAACAATTGCATCATTTATCGGCATCACGCAAATAGACCATTTTTCCTTCACCGCGCTTTGAATGCGTTGTCAAACCCGCAGTCCAAATTTAATATTTTAATTATTTTTAAATTAAAAATTATTTTATAAAAGAGTCATAGTTAAGATATTATCTTTATTGTAGATTTTATACTCATTAAAATAATTATTTAAAAAAAATTAAATCTGGACTATCCAGATTAGACTATTAATTATACCCAAACCAGTTCCTTTTTAAAAACTACTTGTCTTTGTAGCCCATGATGGTCCTATAACTACTGCTACAAGATGAAGAAGGAAAATGGCTTCAGCTGCTTACTGTGAATTCTGCAGAAGGCTCTTGGGTAGGGTTTTGTCCCCCCGAGTAATTGTTAGCAAAGAAGACGACTAATAAAGCAACTTGCCCAAAACTTAAAAAGAAATAACTCTTCGAATGGAACACGATTATGATATATCAGAATCATAAACAGAAAATCAAACAAAAAAGATCTACATGCTATTAGGGGAAAAATCAAAATTTGCATCTATGTATAGAGGAGTATAACATCCCCTGAAAACTATCACCAGCAAAGGTTGGCCTGAATGAGCCATATTTGTTAGTCAATTAGCCCCTAGAATTGAGACTTTTCCTTAGTACTACTGCTGGCTAGCTATCAACTCATATAGTGCTAAACTTTATATACTACCCAGAGACGCAATTCATACTTGTAACCATTATAAAGTTTAAGAGAACTTACTAATTCCAACGATATTATTAATCCTCTATAAGCCCTACCTACAGATTCATCAAACATACAAACTAGTCTTTCTCCTTCATCCACAGAGGATTTTTTGGTCCAACAGTTTCAGCCAATACTCCTGCACCTCCCTTTTCCACATTAACCAGGGGCTCGGCTTCACTTTCCTTCGACTGGACAGGTTAGGAGAAAACAGAGAATCAGATCACAAAGCAAACTCAAGATTCAAGCTCAATCAGAAAACTCAAGATGTGCCAAGAACAGGTCATTCAATCGGAAATACTGATTCATAGTTTATTAAGCTGACTTGAGTCAAACTGTTGGTACATACGATTCTCATATATTAAAAATATGAGTAATGTGAAAAACAATTTCAAAGGTCATTTTGTAGTTTTAGTTAGAAAAAAAACTAGTGCCAAAGAGAGCAACACCACCCCTAAAACCACGTTTTCACATGGTGAAATTTGTCGCTTGTGTTTCCCTGAGGGTGAAACGTGCTTTTTCGGGGGACGAACATCATCCAAATACGCCATAACACCGTCAAGTAGATATCAAGTTACTAGCCCTTAAAGTTTCAAAAGTTTTGAAAATATTTTCCCATTAGCCTTTAAACTGAGCATAACTAGACACTGATTCACCAATTTTTAAATTAAACAGACCCCTTCGACCCAATTCTTATTACCATGAGACTTGCAACACGCATGTCAAACCAACCTGGGATGCTAGTGTTGTTGCTTCAGCAGCTTTTTGCTGATTCTCCACGGTGCAAAAGTAAGAATACAGAATCATCCCAATCAGGGCCATCAAAATCCCAAGGATGTTCCTCCAGCTGAATGGATCATGGAGTAAAACATAACCAAATGCTAACACAAGGCATGTCTTGAGGTGTCCGAGAACCTGGTAGGTGACAGGAGATGTCTTGCCAATGACAAGAAATGTACTAAAATTTACAGATATTGAGATAAGGCAGGAAAGAACAATGAATGCCTGCACGCGGAGAGTAACAACTGAGAATTCATTTAAAAAGAAGAGAGTTGGCGAGCAAAACCAAGTACATCAAGCCTTTTTAAATCTTACCACCACCAGTGTTGTATAATTGAAAGAAAATACATTTTGGTTGGTCAAGAATTTATCCAGAAATGGGCCAGAGATTAACAAGGTTCCCGCTTGATATGGGCATGACTGGTACAGAAGTTGAGTGGAAGAAACCTTAAACTTCTTCTGAATAGTATTTGTCATCTGAAATGGGCTGGTTAAGATCTAATAAGATATGCACATGCAGAGAAAAGGTCTACTTACGCGTGAATCAAAACATTAAACTCCTAACATGTTGAAAGGACATGAATGACAGGCACTTGCCAAAAAAAGAGACTATTACGAGGATAAGGCAAACAGAGAGAGAAAGACAGCTTCCAGGCTTTATCTAGAGCATGCAAGTAAAGACTTGCACATTAAATAAAAGAAGACCTAAGAAAATAGGATGCACTTGCTAACAGCTCAAGTACCCCAGCACCAAACATGAGAACATTACATGACATATCTTTCCCTTTTAGCAAACAGCTAAATTATCAAGAGCCACAAGGTTTATATGGCCAAAGGTAGTGCACATACTACAACATAAGTAGGGCAAATATGTCACACTATTGGTAAAATTTAACGTTTTAAGTTAATTGGGAAATTCCTTGAGGATACAATCTGAGCAACACATGTTGTGATCACTGCAAGAAGAGATAAGAAAGAACCCAGAGCATTGAGCTGCAAATCAGTGACTGTCGCAATCCCGACACCTGCAAGGAGGATAGCAAGGGCAAGTTGGATGCTTTTACTGCAAAGACAGAGAAAAGAAAACAGTTAAAAAATTGATGAAACTAAAATTAAAGGCGATTTCAATGAGGCAGACAAAGTATGCAGGCTATTGAATAAATTGACGATGAACCAAACAACGGAACTAGAACCAGAGGATGTTACAGAGGACAGCGTGGTAGTTTGCATGTAGAATAATATCATGAAGACTTGAGAACTTTGTGAGATATCACAAAAACAAATTAGAAAGAACCAGAGAAAGAGACGGAGAGGGGAAAATGGCACCTGAATTTCTTTCCCAGAAAAAGGGTCTCCAAGAAAACAGTACATGGAATGATAGCCAGCTTAGTCATCTGTAAGCAAATAAAAGTAAGCAGCTCAGAACACGCCAAAGAACCTGCCTAAACAAAAACCAAGATATAGTGCACAATAAAGACAGGAACAACGCAAACTTGTACCTGATAAAAGCCAACAGAATTGAAGCCCAAACTCAAATTTAAAAGCCCGATTGAGATTCCATTTAGAATCCCAAATCCCACTACAGCTTTCTGTTCAAAAGGCTTGTGCTCAAAGAATTTCAATTTTAATGCCACATGGAGAGAACAGAATGTGACAAGAAGATGCCAGCTTGTCAAGGTAGTAGCTGCATGCACACCAAAGGACATGTAAAAGCCCAGTTAAAAATTCCACATAATGAAAGTCATCAATAATGTTAGCAGCAGCATCTGTGACGTGATAGTTTTTCCTTCATTGCGGAAAATTGAATAAAATTTAGGGAATTATGTTAAGAAATGCCTACCAATATAAGATACTAGTTGGAAGCTTACATATATTCCTATTCTAACGAGGCCAACATATATCCTACGCGCGTGATCTTTACTGATTACAGAACTTTCAGTAGGAAGACAAAATCCTTCACTAGGGAGGAAATGCGATTTTTACCTATACTTCCAAAGGGCCATATTTCCCCCACTCTTCAATTAAAAATAAGAGGAGGCTGGTGACACACTATCTCACATTCTTAAGGCCAATTTCTAGTTTCTAGTAAGCTAAATCAAAACACGAAGTCAGCGTCCAATTTAATGACTCTGATTTATTTTATTTTTTAAGATGAGAAAAAAATTAGCGATTAGGATTTAGGAATGGCATTCCCATATCATCAGCAATGTCAATGACTGGAATCAGCCCACCACATAGACTCCCACTTGGGGCCTTGACACCTATGCACCAGGTGCTAGCCATGCCCAAGCCACCGAAAGACTCAATAACCCTTGAGTCACACGCAAAGTTGCTACTCAGTGCAAGACTTGAGTGGCCATAGGAGGACCTGAACATGCATCTAAGGAGTGGTTTAAGTCTTACGCGGATCCTTGCAACCACTTATGACAACTTGCATTGGCAACAACTTGGAAGCTTGATAAACAGTTAAATACTTCTACAGCTACTAAGTAGGTGAATTGACCCTTGTTAACTATCACTAAAATAACATAGAAGTTGTTGACCGGGGAAAAAAAAAACATAGAAGTTATATGCGGAAAGAACACAAGTAATTTCAGCGAACAGACTGTAATCATCAAGGAGAAATGAAATGCGAGCGATGAAGTAAAAAAAATCAAACAACCATCAGTGTACTTACCAAAAATAAAATGCAATGTACTCATTAGTGCTTTATTGCAAATTACAATCGATACCGACGACACCACAGATAGAGTTAAGGCCCCGATAGTCCCCAGCTGAAATTTCTCTCCTTCCCCCATCTTTGACTTTTTTCCAATAACTGATAGCTGATGGAAGAAAAACTCCCAATTCAAAACGTCAAAAAAAAAAAAAAAGATAACCAGACAAATTGCCAGAAGAAGACATTCAAGCTAACAACATAAAAAGGTCGGTCAGCAGCAGCAGAATCAGCCAACCCCAGAAAACAAAGAGACAACTTTGTCCATGACGCAGATAACTAAACTTACAGACGAGATATATTGAGCAGTAAAACTAAAAGGAGCCTTGACGTAATGTTTATCCCACTAACAGAAATAAAACCTGTAAGATAAGATCCGGCAATTATAGATAGAAACAGATCATTGGGTTGTATGAAACGACGGGTGATCTATAGTATTGGGTCACGGAAGTCAAGGTAGGAAGGCAGTCACTGATCACTATGCCAACCAGAGAAGCTGAGACCAAACAGAGTTCACGGAAATTGAAGCTGAACCTAACGATTTATCGAAAAAGAGAAATTAGAGGAAGCTGGCGGTGATTGCGTTTTCTCGTTGTCTTGCTCCTAATTCCAGGAAGGTGTTTGGAAACTGGAAGTGGGTTTTGTTTTCGCTTTCGAATAAAATTTAGCATATCATAATAAATTGATGCATATTATCAATGCCAAGTCATTTTGGGTACGCGCTTGCAGAGAGAAGGGACAAAAGCGGAGACTACAGAGCATAGGTACGAATTAATAAATTAAAGTCATAATCATTATCATCATAAGTATCGAAGCCTCGTGTCACCGGGATGACTGATGACTGAGGACGCAGCGTTCTATTTGTTACCAAAAAAAAAAACAGTAAATGATATACTAGATTACTAGCCCATTACCCTAAAATATTTTGAACCAGTTTTGTAGAAGGGACGTAAAATTGGAGTAACATGTTTTAAATAATTTTATGTTATATAATGTGAGAAGAGTTAATCTTATGAAACTTTAAAGAGTTTCTTTTAAATGATTGTGAGATTTGCCAAACAAGTACTAAGTGAGCGTGGTTAAATAATACTGTTTTTTTATATTTTATATTGCCTATGATAAATAAAAGAATAATAGTAGTAACAAAAATGTGAATTCAGATTTTAAAAAAACAAAAATGTGAAAAATGGTTTCAAATAACAAACAATACTTCAAACTAAAAAAAAAAACTGAGTAGATATAAGGAGTAAACCGGTTAATTTGAAAATGTTAATAAAATTTTATTACACAGGGAATAAAAATAAAATGACAAAGAGGTGACATATTTACGATTTACTTTTCAGATTTTTATATAAGACCTATTTAACTAATTTGATTAAATAAAGAAAGTTAGGTAAGTTACTCTTTTTATTTTTTGGTCAAAAAAAGTTTAGGTGAGGTGAGTCCCGGGAGCTCACAGACTAGCCAGGTAAGTTACTTAATTATGATAAATATAAATATTTTTCCTAAAATACCATAATCATCTCTCTTAATATTCCTCATTTTTCTACTTGATTATGATTGAGGGAATATCAATTGAGACAATTTAGAAACAATTTATAAATATGAGAAATAATTTTTATATTTAAAATTAAGATCAACTCAATAATTAGTTTTTATATTAAGAAGAGAGAAGCATCTAATTGCTATATATTTGATTGAGATTTAACAATATTTGTCTGTCGGCACTCAGCCCATTTCCAGATATAAAAGTCCATGAGGTATAATAATGTCTGGGGCCAAATTATCATGAGCATAACCATTCTTTAATGCAAGTCATCTAAGATTAATGACTTTTTTTTTCCTTTGTATGTATATTATAGTTGAGAAGTATTAATAATAATAATTCTAAAAAATTATTAAATATGATAAATAAATCTTATATTTAAAATTAAATTAACTCGATAATTAAATCATATATTAAGAACCAAAAAAAATAATTACCATATATTTGATTGAGATTTATAAATATTTGTCTGTCGGCACTGGGCCCATTTTAGTTATAAGAGTCCATTAGGTATAATAATGTCTAGAGCCAAATTAATATATTATCACGAGCTTATCCATTGTTAATGCAAGTCATAGACGAATTGATGACTTTTTTCTTGGGGGAGGGATGCACTCAATATTCTGACCCACCCTTCAAGAATTACAAACCAGACACATCTGATAGAGTCATGATGCAACCCATATGGATAGCGATCCTACTATTTACGCTGCTAAATTCCCAAATAATCAAACCCGTGACCCTTTGTTAAATGGAAACAACTCTTACTAGCTGATCTACGTGCTCGGTGGTAATGGTTTTTTTTCGTTTGTATCACTTATAAACATATTTTTAATTATAATTTACAAAATACAAAATAAGTTTACAAGAGAATTTTGGTCTCAACCTACATAAAAATACTTATAAGCATTTAAAATAAGCAAATGCAACAAACTCTAAGTTTATCAATTCCCTGACCAGGAAAATGCACTTGGTGCCAGATTTTTTCCTAGATGTTCTGAGTCTTTTCATGTGTTCTTTTTAAAAGGTGTGGTTAGAACTTTTTTTTTTTTAAGGATATATAATTTAAGTTTCCATCCTATTTCTCATTGTGTTCTCTAACCGATCTTTTTAATTAATATCTGTTTGTCTTCTATATAAAAGAGGAGAGAGTCATACATCATGTCCCGTTCATTATGCAAAAGTTCAATAAAAAAGGGTAAAATGAATTACTAGAAATAAAATGTCATATGTATGGTTTTTTTTAAAAAAAAAAAAAAAAGAAGAGCAAGCAGTCACAGTCTCAAGTTACAAATAGCAGTAAACCTGTCATATCCTGCTTATAAATATATTCTCTTGCATCACCCAAAAAAAAAAAAAAAAGTTCTCTTGCTGTTAAGTGATAAGGCTACTGGATACATGTATGTGTGTGAAAGAAACAAAATCGATCCAGTGTGAATGATAGGGATTTGATTCTTACCTCATGGAATAACTTAGTCCTAATCTATGACTTAACCTTGTGCAAATACGACGATCACTATTATTGCGATGTTTTAAATTCTAATGATCTTTCAGTCAGTTTAGCCATATATTCTAAACACGATTCATGCGTTTTAAACCCCAAAAAAAAAACCCATGTTAGGTCTATTAAGAGCTAGATAACTAATTAAAGATATAAAAAAATTAATTAAAATAGTTATTTATAATAAATAAATTTTGTATTTCTTAAAATATTTTTGTCAATCATGTTTATATGCACCGAAGATAGAAACTCCTAAACATGTGCAGTTACCATAAAAATTATTGGGAGACAAAATGAATAAATAATTGAGATCAAGTAGATTAAGATTTATATTTAAAATCAAATTGAATTTGTAACTAATAAAAAATATTGTATATTATGTTGTCCGTAGTTCAACTAGGTGCTCTTTTCACAATGCTGAGTATAGTGGGAGACAACCCCATGACCTTTTAAAAGAAGAAAAAAAAAAAAAAAGAGATTTGCACAATTGACCAATTCTCCATAAATAGAAGTAAAATTTACATTCCAATTCTTAGATGGATCATGGATGGCCAGTTTTAGTAACAATTCCCATAAAAAAGAAGATCTTTTTTCAAAGTCCCTTAAAAATCATGCTAATGGCTTGTGCGCAATCAAGTCAGCCATATTTGACATGATTTGAATTCATTATCCCACAAATTCAAATTCCTAATTGCATGTGTGTCATTATGAGTTGGCCAAAAAAAGAAAAAGAGTGTCATTACAAACTTCTAAAACCACCACTTTGATTATTAATATAAGTGACTTGCAACACAATTTCTTGTATTAAGAAATATATTAAATTAAATTTAATTTTTTTTTCTTTATTAAAGTCTTCTCGCTTTATATTTATAAATCATTCACATATATCTCTTTTTTTTTTCCCTCTCTTTTTAATGAGGATTAAATAAATAAAAAACTAAAAAAATTAAATATATCATAAATGACGTATACTTAAGATCAGAGTTGTGTATCATATTTATTTTGCTGAACCAAACTCACTTCTCATATTTCAATGCATCAACTTCATTTAAAGTTCAAATCCTATGTTTAATTATACGATTCATATAAAATATAAGAGGGATAAACATGATTTAGAAAGAAAGAAAACACACGCTAAAATAATCATGAATTTTAATTCGAGATCAAAGACTAAACAGAGTTAGATAAAAATTTTAAAAAAAAGAGTAAACAAAGTTCAAAATAATCAATCCTATTCAATTAGGCTTCCTTAACTAGGAGTTTAACAATGTATATAAATCAAGAACACAATCATGGCCCAAAAAAATAAATAACACAATGACCACACTGTAAAAAATCCGAATCATAGAGGAAAAAAGTGCAAGAAGAAAGTTCTCAATGTTCTTAAATAAATGATTACATGCTCATAGAAAATCTGTATTGTTAAATATTTGTTTTATATTATTAAATATTATGTTTTGGTCTTTGAGGGTAGGCATTATGAGAAATCTGATTTTTTCCTTAAAAAAATATTTTATTAACCACCTCCTCTTTACTGAATATCTTTCATATACCACAATGTCATTGGCTCATTTTTTAGTTTTTACATTTAAGAAAGGATCAATCTGGTCAAATTTATCAAAAAATAAAAAAATCAGGTCAAATTAAAAACTAAGAACAAAGGCAGTCAATATCCGAATTAAATTCAACTATAAAAACAATTAATAATTTAAAGTGGAGGGTGCCTAATCACGTTTATAGTAGCTGACGTTACATCTGGGCCCTTCTCGCGTTGAAAATCCCCTGTCATTCGATGAAGTTCTCGTATTAAAAGTTTCGTTGTTTCTGGGGGTTCCTCGAAGACACAGAGCCAGGACTCTCGTGAGTCGTGACAGTTTATTTTTCAACACTTGTTTCCGGCGAATTGTTCAACATAACTCTCAAATCGTTCTGAAAGAGCGAGAGCAATACCAAAAATTTCTTCTTGTATTTGTGATCTCCGATTCATGGAGAACTCACAAGACTTGAACAACATCGAGGGGGATGGGGACGGAAGGAAGTCCTCTGCAACTTCATCGCCGTGCAGCTCCGTGGGATCAGGTGAGCTGCTGCCTTTTGACCTACCTTCTGTGTATCTCTGTTTATGTCGAATTATCGCAATTGATCTCCTGATCTCCTACTGGGTATCTTCTTTGTGGGATTCTGTTTGGGTTTGACATTCCAAAGTTGTAGCTCAAGTCTTTACTGTTCAGTCCTTAGAGATTCCGAAGTTTATAGCTTTCTTTTCTTTGAAAGAATTTCCTTTCGCCGTCATATCTATCACTTCTCCGGCTGTTAGTGACAAATGAACGAAACCTTCTTAGTAGGCTAAGGCAGGTTACTTTTGATTTAGGCCCGTCTTTTGGTCCCAGTGGGCTACTAATCTGTTCAGCTCGCTTATTTTTCTTTCTAAGACAAATGCTATGTCGGGAGACCCAATTTAGTATGCCAATACTACATATTGATGGTTTGAATTCGAAAGTGAAGCAAAAGATGAAACTATGAAAGCAAGTCACAAGAAGGTAAGATGCAGCAATTGTGATATTTGAAGTTACATGGAGCAAGTGAAGCAGATTGGATTAAATTTTTATAGCGAGGTGATAGGCAATTTTTGTAACGTAAAAAATTGAGAAACCTGAAAATTTCTATGCATAATTTTCATCCCTTTTAAAAACAGGAAGCAAAAGGCTCAGGAAAATGAAAATTTTTCTGATGACGTTAATGCTTATTTCTGTGCCTATTCACTACCCACCAACTCTCGTTTATGCTACGTTGCTAATGCTAACATTGTAGAGGCAGTTGTTCTTGTTAATGTACTTTACAAGTGATTGATTTTGAATCTTCTGCAATTCCAGTTAAAATGGTCTCTCTGCTTCGTTTTCTAGCTATAGTTACTCATGTTTGATTTATCTTCTTTGCATATGCACACGTTGCATTTTATGGTATCATCTCTGGCCAGAATTTTGGATTTGAAATATTGGGTTAAGGTTTTACTTAGCTTACATGGTATTGGATCAAACATTTATTCATTTTCTCCCCTTTTGCTGGAAGAGCATTCTTGTTTGCTTGCAATTCAATGGGGATATGCATATTTGACTCCTGCTTTCTCCCTTTTCTTTTTTAATCTCTAGTTGCTGATATTCTACTGTGGAAGAGGTGGCATATTTCCCTTGGCGTCATCGTTGTTGCAACAGTTGCATGGGTCCTACTTGAGTGGACCGGTTTACCATTTTTAACAATTTGTTCAGATGTCTTGTTGATTTTGATCGTGCTATTGTTTCTCCATGCAAACTATGCTGGCCTTAGAAACAAGTATGGCTAAATTCCCTTTAAGTAGTTATGTATGTTTCTAGTTTATAATTGTTGTTGGCACTAACAGTGTTAATGGGCACCTTTTCCTTATCTAGCAGACAACCACCGGCATTACCTGAGTTAGTAGTATCAGAGGAGATGGTTAATAATGCAGCAGCTTCCCTTCGGGTTAAAATCAATAATGTGCTCCTTATGGCTCATGACATCACTTTGGGAAAAGATTTTAGAATATTTTTCAAGGTTAGTTTTCTATCCGTTCAGCATTTTGAGAAAGCTCAGAGCTCTATACTTTAGGCATTATGACTTGGATAATGCGGTCTAGGCCGTTAGTGGTTCTTTTTCTAAAGACGGATTTTTGTCTTCATAGATAAGAAAACTAGGTTGAGTGTGACAATGGCCAAGTCCCCATCAAGAACAATAAATACTTTTTTAGTCATTGTCATGGGACATCTGATGTATGATTACTTCCCGAGAGCCTTCACGGCTGAATCAGGTCATAGTAATTTTTCATTTTCTCCCAACGGTATCAGGCCACAATCTGGCCCCATAACCCATTTTATATAATTCGTATCTTGTATTTTTGCTGGATAATTGCAATTTTGTTTTTAAACAGGAGATCATAATAATCCTCTGTAGTGTTTTAGACTGAAATAAATAATGAATCAACAGAAAGGTAAATTAATGAGCTGTTTTGTACTTGACAGGTAGTGGTCTTTCTGTGGCTCTTGTCTGTCATTGGCAGCACCCTTTCTTTTTTCACTCTGGCATATATCGGTATGCTTTCTCTGTAAATCTGTTGATTAAATGCAGCTTCCGGTGTCTTCCACTGGGACTTAAGATTCTTAATAGGTTTTCCTGTTGTTTTCTTATTATTTTTACAGTTTCATACGATGCAATGCAAATAGATGTATTCCACACTCTTGTGAGGTTTCCTTGTTTTTCTCTGTTTTCACTTGTTTTTGAGGGGGGACGATGGTGGTCAGTTGTGTAGAGGGAAGACATGCGCCGTACTATAGTGTAGTAGATGCATGACCTTTTCACTTTTCAGTCTCTTGCTCCTTTTCCGTGGTTTTCAATTGAGCTGATTGGATGTTTAGACGCTCATAAGTATGGGCAGGTCACAGTTGACTAATCATGATCTATTAGCAGGTCTATTTGATATATGAGATTGGACTGAGTCATTTGCTTTAATGATTTTATTGAGTAGCATTTCTATTGTATATCTTTTTTCCCCTTGAAAGTTGATACGGAGGAAGGGATCTACAAGGTGCTTAAACTATTTTAACCATCTTATTCACGGTTATCCCTTTTTTAATGGTGACAGGAACACTTATAGCGTTTATTGTTCCAGTACTGTACGGCAAGTATGGAGGTTATGTAGATAAATGCTGTGGGATAATCCACAAACAATTTTCAAGACATTACAGAATAGTAGATGAGAGCCTTTTCAACAGACTCCCGCGGAACGCACCTAGAGAAAAGGACTCATAATTCAAGATTCACCTACTTGTATGTTTGGTGTTTGGAAATCAGCTAGTTCTCCATGTTGTTACGGTTGTTAACTTCTTTCCTTCTTTTTCACCTCGCATGTAGGAATCATTTTTTTGTAGTTAGATGCTATTCTACAGCTCTGGATTCATCTGTAAGCTGGGTGCTTTCATTTGCTGGATCCACGACTTAAGAGGAATGTACATAGGCTTGTATTATAGATGGTTTGAGAAGTTAATGGGCAGATTTTTTGTCTTTTATTTTATCTTATCTATTTTTGGGTAATGGAAATAGCAGGAAATTGTAGTGTTTTTCATTGGCAGTGCAGTAAATTGCTCAAATTTCACCGTTTTTATGATCTAACGGGCTAACGGCTTTAGAGGAAGATGCCAGTTTAATTTGCAAAATGTGTCGCTTTGTTAGTTGAGCTAAAGGGAAGATATTGCATTTGCTTCGCCTTTGTTTTGCCATTTGAGATTTTTTTTTTGGTCAAAAGTTTTGCCATTTGAGATTAGAGTCGCATACTGTGTGACTTCGATTTCCTCCATTTTTGAACATCAATGGCTGCACATTTAATCTCTAAATTACACTATCGATTTCTCGTCTGTTTGTATATTGAAATGTGACTCGTCCCACTGTTCCTGATTTGACATCGAAGCAGTTACCTCCTTGTCATTTGTATTCACCATCCCCTGACAGATGATCATTTTTTCGTCTGAAAACCCTTGTGCATTCAATTGTTGATTTTTCTATATTTCGTAAATTAAGTCAGATTTATTTCCAATTCCAATAACCTCGGCCTATACAGTTCGAGAGAGAAGAGGATAGTTTATGAGTCAGGAATGTCTTTAACCTTGAGCGCTTTTGTCTAAATTCGGATTCACAGCCCCAAATGGTTTCCAACATCATCCAACGCGCGTTTGGTTTTCCCGAGCAAATGTGGAGACTCCATATTCTAATACTAATTTTATTCTGCCTGTACAATAACAATCTTAATATCTTCCATTTGTTTATATGACTTCTCTTTGAATCTGAGTCACGAATGCAGTTCCTTGGGGTGAGTGACTGGCGATTTTAGTTAATGGTGTTTTTGAGGAGTAACATGACAGCTTTTTTCAAAGCCATTGGACTGCATGAACAGTGGAGATTTGACCAATTGACCGAACCGCACCTCTCCGGCAATCACCTCTCTGGCAATCAGGCGATCCACTTCTAATCATTACTCAATAAGATTAAGATCAATTTAAAAAATCCCATAAAAAAGAAACTTAAAATTACTAAATTTTAAATAAAAAATTCCTACAAAAATATATTATTATTTACGAATCTAGTGCAATAAAGAACCATTAACATCTAACCACAAATGATTTAAAATTTAATAATTTCAACCTTCTTTTTGTGGGATTCTTTTCTTTCTTTTTAGAGCCATATATGACATTCCAAGTTCAGAAAATCACTTTTTTCCCAACATTCCTTTTATCCTCCCATTCCATTTCACAAATCAAACATGCAACAATAAGAAAACTCTGTAGAAGATAAAAGAGCATGAATTTTCATGAAACAGAAAACTGATGCTCAGTTGCCGAGTTTCTACATAACAGCATCATGAACATAGGAGTTCAGGGAGGCTCCAGTAGGTCTTGTTTACAATACCACAAACCATCGCACAAGGTAGCTGCCAGCCAGCATAACACCAATAAAGTCCAATTAAAGAATCCATTCTCCCTCACTGGAAAAGCAAAAACCAAATTCCCAAGTATAAGGTCCTTAAGCTTCAAGTTTCGTTTTTCTAGTAAAGAAACTTCTGAAAATTGACAATGGAAGCAGCAGGTCTCCATATTATTCAGGTACTCAATAGTTGATGAATCCCACTACTCTTTCAGCAACTCGCTCGCTTTGTTTATCCAAACATGATAGATATCAGGCGAGAACAGAACGAAGTGAACCTGAAATCAACATATCAATATCAACATATAAAATTAAAATAACTGAGCATTATTACTACAATGGTCATTTATAGTACTGCTCATTTACTGATGTGATTCTTTTTTTTTTTTTTGTAACAACTCATTTTCATTTTAAATTCAAATATTTTTTTGGAAGAATTATAAAACCAGTCCGGATAGTGCACAGGAGTCAAGCCTGCCACACTGTAAATAAGATTCTGGAAAATAGGCCCCATACAATCATAAATACAGGATGTTGGGAGTGTGAAGTTTTACTACATCCACAAAACCAAAAAGTGCAGGCCTCAGATACTGATACCGATAAAGAAATAAAGCGAATTGGACTTAATACCTCCTTCAAGTCATCTCGAAACTCTCTGATGGTAGATATTGCCACTGCGGCAGCTTCATCAAAAGGATATCTGAAATTAAGTACCAGTCTAAATGAGTTACAAACTTGCCACAAAACCTCATTTCCAAAGTTCTGACTCTCCGCATAAACTTAGATTCATTCATGAAACGACTATGATATTAAAACTCAACCCAAACTACCAACACTTATAGTCAAGAACTTTCCCGTCGGCCTTGCAGTGTGATCATTATTGATAATCAGGCATGCCAAGGGATTTGTTTACGAGAACTCACCCATAGACGCCACAAGATATGGCTGGAAATGCTATATACTGAATATTGTTCTCTTTTGCAACCTTCAAACTATTCCTGTAAATCAATTTGAAGATGAAACATATTTACCATATAAGAAATGAAATAAACTACGGCTGATAGCAAAAAGAAGAGTTGATTTGAGAGAAAAATATGGAAGATGAACTGCAGTCTTTATGAACATAATAGAACTACCTGTAAGCACTTGCTAGAGATGCAGCAGCATTACTATCTGAAGTGTAGACTGGTCCAACGGTATGAATAACATGAGAAGCAGGCAGCTTAAAACCTCTGCATATTCATAAGCACAAGGCCTATATCACGCAGACAGAAAATGATGGAATCTTAGACATTATATCAACTTAGAATCGAAAATCTAGAACTTACGGTGTGATCCTAGCTTCCCCTGTCGGACAGCGAATTCCAGGTCTAACTTCTGGAACATTTAAGCACGCTTGAAGAAGATCTGGCCCAGCAGCTCTGTGAATGGCTGAAAGAGGGGTAAATAGTGTTAATTGTTTCAGTTCAATTTTAGATTGATTGGCCTTTCCGGTTTGGCGGTTTTACTTTTCTCGGAAAACTACAGTACAAAATGAAGCAGTTATAAATAAATCACCTCCATCTGCGCCGCCACCTCCAAGCATTCTCTCATTTGCTGGATTCACCTACGAGATATCAAACAAGAATATTCGATTAAATCATACAAAGGTACAAGGTTTCTCCGATTTACTTTAACTGATTCAAGCCGCACAGTAGCAAATTATTCGGCCCACCATTTATTAGATATCAAAGAGTAGAAGGCCAAATTTTACTGATCAATCAGTTCATAAAGTTCATATAGGGCTACTTTAATTTATCATATTCTTCAAGTAAGAGTATAAGGGAAAAAATATACTATTGCGTCGGAGGAGCCGTTGATAGACCACTTGGTGATGTCTCCTTTCTGAATGACCAAAGCATTCGATGGAGACAACGGGAAGCGAACAACATCGTCCCCTCCACTGGACTGAGTGGAAACCCTAGCTGTATCGTCCATTCTACAGAGTACAGTCGAAGGCGATTTCGATCGAGATGATGGGCAAATAGTTAGAGAAAATCCAAAGTAGGTCCGAAAATTTCTCGCGTTAGAGTTTCTATTTGAATAGGTCCGGTTATTTTCAAGAAATCTGAAACCCAGAGCTGCAACAACACGAACTGTTCTGCAGCAAATATTCACCATCCTTCACTGGGCTTCTTTTGTAGTGCGAGGTCTGCTCACTTACTCAGAAGTCAGCACTGACGAGAATGGCGAGCGAGAGGATTATGGTGTGGGTGAGAGTAGCTTGCGACCTCTACGTGGAGGGCTACGATTTGTTGATTTCGTTGAAGAGTTGGGCGCAGATCACATGCGGTGACTATTCGTTGCTACAAAATTTATCCACCAATGTATTGCCACGTGGATCCAGGACGTTGACCAACTGGCTAGCTTCCGACACAGAGGTCCGACTATGGTATGGATCTTTGAGGATTGAGGCCGCGCCAGCGCGGCAGTTTCCTTCCCTTCCGAATAATCCATTTTCAGGGGAACGAAAATGGGACGATCTCGAATAGATGCGCTCATCTCCGTGTTCGTTACAGTGCACCCGCACGAGACCTCGGCCCTGTTCCACTCCTTCTTCTGCTTCTTCTTTGTGAGCCTTGCCTCGGCTTTCCTTTCAATGAGAATGTCCTTGTTCTTAATCTGTACGTGTATTTTCCTTATGGTTGCTGAATTGTTGATTTTGACCGCAGATTTTGAGTGCCTATTTTGTGGTTCTTCCGTTGCGGGATGAGGGGGCCATCTCCTTAGGCTTGTCAAATTTGCCTGGTCTATTTGTGGGATCTTTACTGCTCACTCTAATTGCAGCGCCTGTTTCAACCCTCATATTCTCTCTACCTAATCTTTCCAAAAACAAGGTATGAATATACTTCTGGAGATGATTCCTTATTGCCGCTTATATAGACTGAAGTGAACTTCTCTCCATTAAGTTGTTGGGTTGGAGGTGACAAGGTTAAGGTTACCTTTACTGCGTTTGCCTGAAACGATGAAATGTTAATGTTACAATAAAATGCAACCAAAGTTAACAAAATATAAGAGAATAGAAAATCACTGACATTTTTGTTGCATGCATTTGATATTTGACTATTTCCATTGTGGTTTGTCCACGAAGAAGCATTCTTTAGAAGAGTCAAATATATAGGCCTATTAGTTTATGTTCTTCTCACATCATGTTCTTTTGATTGGTGCTCGTGGGAATTCCAGGCTTTGGTTTTGATACATAGGTTTTTTAGTGTATCACTTGTACTGTTCTTTTTCCTATGGCGCTCCTCATCAGCTGGATATTCAGCCTCCAAATTGATGGTATGATAAGAATCTCTCTGAAAGATAATTCATCGTATTTTGTATTGCTCATGCAAGATTGGTTGATTGTTTGGTCCTATGTCAAATTGCTCTTTTTGTTACCAGGAGCCCACAGCCTTGACTTTATCCTTAAAACATGAAGGTAAGGTTGATGACCAAGGCAACTTTTCATCTTCAACAGGTTGGGGAAACCATGGATGGTTCTATATCACTGTTCGAATAGGATTGTTTCTTTGGGTAATGATATGTTATATTTTATTATTTTCAATTTTTTGGTTTTAATTTATAATTTTTTTAGTTTCTATACCCTGTTACTAAATACTTGAAAAGACATTTCAATGATACAAATTTCTGCTCTTGTGAAGGTTGCTTTGCTTAATCTGATTACAATTTCTTCAACTTGGGCTAGGGTAATTGATGTGACGGACAGTGAGGTTTGTACAGAGCTGCGACATTTGTTGTTGTGTGTAATTGTTAGTTGCCCATTTAACTTGTTTTGTGTTCAGTCAGGTTCAAGATTATTTGGGTTTATTGGTGCTGGTGCCACACTTGGCCAGCTTTTTGGGTCATTATTTGCGACAGGAATGGCTTGGTTGGGCCCATGTAGGTTTGCATGCTCCCTATATGGACTATCTTCTTCTTTTATTCCGTAGGCTTTAAACTAAGGATTCATCTACTGCAGTTCTGCTTTTGTTTGCTGCATTGTTAATGGAATTAGCAGCACAATCTTCAAAAGGGATAAATATGCACATGTTCCATCTCCAAGAGGAATTAACTCCCATCAGGTCATTATAAAATTTTGTATGGTTTACTCTATTGAATACTGGACATAAGCTTCGAGTTTTAGGGTTCCTTTGGCGTATAACAATTTTCTGAGCTGGTTACTATCTGAGTCTTAATGAGAAGTTTTCCTGTGTAATAAAGTTCACAGGGTTTCTAGTGCACTCCCATCCAATTTTCAATTCACCTTTTCAACATCTGAGATAAAAATGGAGTATAATTGAGAAATTACTTTTATTGCATCAGTCCGTGTTTTAGTAGATTGAAACCCTATCAAAATGCAAGCTTTATTTACATATTATTAAAGGGATTATATTGCCAAATGTAATTGATTATTTATGCTACTTGATATGTTTAGATTTACTTATAAGGCATGATGTCATTTTGTTACAAATTTATATTGTATGGAAACTATAGGGTTACGTTTGTAATTTAATACTTTAATTATTATTTTGAATTTAGAGAAGCTGATCCTGACCATAAAAATGAGGTGCATGAGAAGAGTGAGCATACTGTCGGAAGTTCTCCAAAGTCATCTACTTCTGCAGCAAAGCTACAAATTTGGGCCATTTTAGATGGCCTCAGGCTTATACTGTCATCAACTTATCTGTTGCACGTGTCATTATTCCTCTGGCTGAGTGCAGTTATCTCTTCATTTTTCTATTTTCAGGTAAGATATTCTGCCATGTGATCCTAGCTATGTTTTTCATGATCCTCATTTGGGTCAAGTTGTATGAAGGAAGAACAAATGTGTTTCTGTGGACTGCCCTTGAGTTTAATATTAAGTGCACGCACCCCCGCCTCAAACCCCCCCCCCCCCAAACCACAAGAAAAAAACAAAAAAACTACACAGATGAAGGTGTGAATTTTTGCCTCTTGACTTTCAGTTGATTCTTTCCTCTGGACTTGCATCATTTTATCTTTCTTTCCCTCTGCAACTTGTTACATAGGGCCAAAACTGATATTTACTAAATTCATGTATATTGACGGTAATCCTTAGTTAGGCCTAACATTTGGTTTTGGGGGAAGAAAAACAGAGAACTGTCTAGCATTACTACCCATGACTTATGAACATTTGTTTCATTCTTCCATTGAATAGGAAATTCTAGAGAAAGTTTTCCATCCATTATTTGAGGTAAAAATAACTGGAAAGAGAGAGATGATGCAAAAGAATGCTTTTCTTTCCCTTCTCCGATTTAAGAATGTAATATTTGTACAGCTTGTAGCTGCTGACGAGTTTGGCAACAGTAAAACCAGATATTTGTTTCCTCCAAAATTCTTGTCTGAAGTACATGACGGGACAATTTGATTAGATGAAAGTTTTGAGGTGTTCCTAAGTGTTGAATAGGGAATGATTCCCATAAAATTCAAAAGTCCGCATGCCTAAATGTAGACCTTGTGTCTTCACTTATTTTCTATTCATCTTTTTTCTAGCTTGTTTTGGAGGGGCATTCTTGCAATTACTGTCATTTTCACCCCTATCATGATCTCAAAGTTGTCCTTGTTTTCTTTCTTTGCCAAGAAAGTTGTCCTTGTTGCTACTTGGTTTTATGACATTAAAAACACACACAAACATATGCCCATATCATGTCTTTACTAAACTTTCCCCTTGTCTGCAATAATAGAAAGTCACAGTGATTGCCGCAACAGTTACCAGCTCTGTTGGGAGAAGAAGATTGTTTGCCCAAATAAATAGCTTTATTGCTGTTTTTATCCTTGTTGGACAACTAACCTTAACGGTATGCAATTTTCAAAAGGACTTGGTTCTTTTTGCTTGGTGTTGAATATCCTTTAGGGTTGATTTTAGATCTCTACTTTAAAAAGTAAATAAATAATTACCACATTTTTTATGCAAAAACTATTACATTTTTGTATTTTTTAAAAATTATTTGTAGCTTGACTACATGTATCTTTCCCTTAATCTACTACAGGGGCGCATTCTAACTGTTGCTGGGGTGACTATAGCTATTTGCTCTGCTCCTTCTGTTGGCTTTTTAAATTTGGTTGCTCTATTTATCTGGCCAACTTGGGTGGTTGTTGCTATTTGTGAGACGCTTAGGAAGGTACTGCCAGGCATTTCTTTCTGTTTTTTTTTTTTTTTAATGCTTATTGATGCTATTGTAATGTGTTACACATTGCATTCATCTTTTGGATTTAGTGACTAACATTATTTGTTGGGAAATGCCGATTTGGTAGATAAAGCAATCATCTGTCCAACTTGTGTTTATGTGGGTTCCATAGTATGTATCTATAATTTTCCAGGTTGTTTCGTATGTTGTGACGAGGCCTGCTAGAGAACTTCTATTCACTGTAGTGTCACAGGATGAGAAATACAAAGCAAAAGTATGACCTCCTTTTCTTCTCTTTAAATCAATGGTATATAGTGGGCATCTTGGATGGCATCTTCTCAGCTTGTAGGATCTGTCATTTATTACATTTTAATTTTTTAAAGCCAAATAATGGCTGTTACTGGGATATTTTTCTATTGCATTATTAAATTTATTTAGCATGAACAAAGAATTCAATGGCCAAATTTGTCAAGAAAGCACTTCAATGACTATATGGTGGTGCAGGTATGCATAGATGTGTTTGTTCAAAGACTTGGAGATGCTACAGCAGCTGGAATGTACAAGCTGCTACTTGGAGCTGTTGATGGGAAAACATCAGCCGTTTCCCTTTATGCCCTGCCTGTATGTGTGAACTTATCCTTTTGAACGCCTTCTCATAAATAGTTGACATGCTTATAGATAGGCTTGGCCTACACAAAAAAGGAGGGAAAAAATAGACCGAACTAACTAGGGGGAGAGACATTCAAATATGCCCCGAAACTTGTTATTGACATGTTTACATCTAGCTTGACTTAGGGCCAAAAATGAATTGAGCTATTCATGAACAGTTAAGGCTCGGCTTGTATAAAGAAAACTGTTTCAGTTCAGCTCATTTATTAAATGAATGAAATTGAGCAATATTAAGCTTTGTTCAATTGAAGAGCTAAGCCTGAAATCCTGATGCCTGGATAATTTATTTCACAAATAGTTGGTTAAATATAAAGCAATATAAATATTCCATTGTTGTGTGCTTATATGTCATTATATTTATTCTATATTCTGTTAAATATAAATATTTTTTTAAGTGTCATGAAAATTTATCAAGCTCATATGGCTAATTTGTGTATTATTTTAAGCGAGCTAATAGAAGCCAAGTCTGAGTTCTCATTTAAAAAAGCAGGCCCAACTTGATCATTTTTCTTGGCCCAAGAAACAACTTGATCATGTTTTTGAACTTGTTTAATTTCACAATCCAAGCTCAAAACAACTTGTTTATCAAATGAGCCAAGGTTGATTACATGGGGCTCCGGCTCTGCTCTGCTTTGTTCAAATCTTTAACTTGACCTACTCATCTGAAATTGGGAGGGCCAATTTAAGACTTTTCTTTTCTTTTCTTTTTGATAATTTTTTTTTATAACAATAATTAACTTAATTTTTTGGTTTCCTTATTGCTTTAGCTTTCCTAGTTATATGAATGCTCTCAAATTGTAAACACCCATGACTTTTTAAATTTTCAATATCTTATTCCTGATTTTCTTTTTCCTCACTTGGTCTTCAGTTGTGTTCATTGTGGATAGTCACGGCATTTTATTTGGGTCATCGGCAAGAACAACTTGCAAAGCCCCAGACTTCCTCCGCTTCATAGAATTCTTTGGAGGGTACATCTACTGTTGCTGCTATATACATAATCAGTGAATCTAATGTGCAATACTTTAGTCATGATACATGTGATGAATGTTTAGATAGTTGAAAAGTCCTTGCTATCAAAGTTAATTTCTGCATACTCTGTGATCCTTGATTGGTCCAGATGCATAGAATGCGAAAATTGACTATAGCTGCGAAAAGAAGTGCTTGGTATCCCTGCAAGTATCTCGCTCTCCATGTGAGTAAGATTGGCTTTATCATGTATGCGCTTCTGAGATTCTTCTTTTTCAATTGAGAAGGATCCCCACGAGGAAGCCAAGGTAGATTTTGGGTTAGGTTGATTGTACTGTACATATATATGTTGATTTAACATACCTTCAGAGGCAGATCTATTTCCTAATGTCCTATTAACAAGGGAGCTTCAGCTTTAGGATATCTCACTGCAGACCAGGCATTGTTATCCGAAGAAGTCCAGAATTATGAGGAGTAATGGATAAGACAAATCTAATATATTTCCGGTTTTTTATTCATTACATCAGAAATTTGATATTGCCTTCTGTACATGATCAAAGAATCTCCCTCCTCTTTCGTTATAGACTCTTGACACAGAGAAGCCTGTAGCTGGCCAGTCATGTACAATTTTTACTGATCAATTATTAACGAAAATCCTGTGACGGCAGCTTGGCAATTATCAAATCATATTTGGTCATAAAATAAGGAAATGGATATGACATTGAGTCCCACTGATTCAATTTGTGCTGTAGAGCAAAATAATGATTGTTGCCCCTCTAGTTTACCCTTTCTTGTAAAAAAGAAATTGGGGTTTGGGATCATTCTATTGTACTGCAGAATTAATTCAGAAATTTTCAGGGGGTGGAAGACACACTTTCAAGGCATTCTGGGTCTTGCCTGTGATCTTGTCCTACACAAGAAAGCATTGAACCACTAAGCTAGAGTGTTTCTCTATAAGGATGTTCAGATTACAGCGAAACATTATTAAGATAGATTTTTTTCCCCCATTACCAGACGTAGATATTGCTTTGTCGCAGGTCCTTCTTTGTGGGGACTATCAGGAGCACACTACAACAATTCTTTCTTTATCTCAGTAATTTGTCTTGACACGCCAAGACCTGAATGAATAAACTATCTCCTCCTGTTTGAGTCTGATATTTTGTGAAGAATGAAAGCAAACTGAGGAATCTATGATATGAACGTATGTAATGTCTATGGAGGGGGATAGGATTCCTAATCCCACTGTCTGTCTCTCTCCCTCATGGACATAGTGACAGGTAAGCAAGCACTAAGAGCCTTGAAAAGCTTTGTGCCTTACCCCACTCTTGAAATTTGTACCATTGTGCTCCTAAAAGGCGTTGGCTACTTGGTGCCAGCGGTAATGCCTCTGTTCTTCCTCAGGCCGTCATCATATTTATAACTCAACATCCTTTTCAATCTTACTTGTTTACTGAGCGAATGATGGTTTTATCCATTAAAAAAGGTGAGAGAAAAAGAAAGGGAAAGAGCAATTATGCATAGTACTCGAAGCAGAAGGTCTACGTCGAAGCACTCAGCAGAAAAGAGTTGCCAGCACTATTGCCATTCCCCCCCCCCCAAAAGAAAAAAGAAGCTTTTTTCTCCTTTTTAACCATTTTAAAGTGACCCCGAAGTTGCTTTCTTTATCGTCATCACCTGCTACATTGACATGGAAGCTCATGAAGCAAAAAGAAATGAAAACGGACCCCGCATTGCTGTTACGACTACTATTTCTTTATCCATTAACTCTCTTGTGTTTAAAATTTGAAATGCTGTATTTGTTTAAAAATTATTGCAGCCAGACGTAGTTTATTATATGAAGGTTCATTCAGTTGCGTGAAGCATTTTTCCAGATGTGTCCAATATTTCGTGATTCAAATGTTTTCAGGTGTGCAGCAATTTAAAATACTGTCTCAATATCTTGAAGTATTTTTCCTAGTGTGCCGGCGTTTTAATGATAAAATTAAATCACAAAATATTTTAAGATGTTGAATGTATTTAAAAAAAAAGCTTTAAGATGTTGGATAAATCACAAAATATTTTAGAATACTATATACTTGAAAAAAATATTTTAAACTGCTAGAGAATCAAATAATGAGTCTGAGCTCCATAAAGTGGCAGAGCGATAAATTGTAATAAAGTTGTTCCGGGTGATAAGAAACCAATATAACTTTGATGTAATTTGTTTGAGACTTGAAAGGGGGGAAAAATCACCGAGAAGAAAAGGTCTATTATAGACTTTACAAAGTGATGATATGATGGGGGCAAAGTGTTGTAAATAATAAGAGCCAAGGCGTGTGTTAGAAAAGATGGTGTCATCTCAGATAAGAATCGGAGGAGGCGTCGCTATGAGCAACAAAGAGGCCATCCCCAAAACACCCAACTGTGTGTCCAAACAGAGGCTTTCGTGGTTGAATAAGCTAGCGACACGTGTGCACACACGTCTCATGCAAAATCCCCAATTTGCATTTGAGATCATCAACTAACCAAACTGGAATATGTCCCCCCCCCCCAAAAAAAAATTCCTTCCTTTCTTTTAATTCTTTTTATTTTTTGGGGGGTTAATTTTCTTTTCTTTTGTTTTGTTTTCTGGGTGTGGTAATGTCAAACACAAAGACAGTTGAGTGACAATGCAATTTGATAAGCCCAAAATATCACACTTGGTTTTGAGGCCAACGAGGGTGATGAGAAGGAGAGAGAATTATATGCATATGCCATATCTCTTTGTACCTAAGGTACGTGTTCCTCTTTCTTTCTTTCTTATCATTTGCATTGCCTCATGTCATGGCTCTTGTGTTTTCCTTTGGTCACAGAATCCCATTCACCTCACCTGCTTGGATGGTCTTCATTTCTTTGCTTGACTTAATTTTATTATTGGCCCCCCACTAACGTCTGTCTCTATCATTTTTTTGACCCAGTTCACACTATAAGATACTTACTCTTCCTGTTCTTAATATAAGATTCATTTTGTAATGAGTCTTACATTTAAAAACAGGAGAGTACTATATAAGTGTTTCAAGGAGAAAAAAGGTGTTAATATATTCATCTTTTCTTAAATATATGAACTAATAAAGGTGTTTGTTTTGGTCTTAAACATATATATACACTTTATCTCAAACTTATAATTTTTTCAAACTATCCTTATTGATTGCATGTACAAAAGAAGATTTTCATTCATGAGATAATGATCAACAGGGGTATTTTAAAGAAATTAAAATATATTTATTATAGATAATTAACTTAACCATGTTTTGATCTAATTGTTATATTTAAAACCGAAAAAAGTATTCCTCCTTTTACACTACAAAATGGGTTTTATATTTAGGACCAGAGGAGCATATTATACGAGCACCATGTTCTCGGCTCCTTTTAAGCGTAAAACTACTTCTCATGCTGCAGGAATATTCATATCTTCCTTTAACTTTTTATTTTCCCCCTTTTAGTTCTTAATGCTACCATTCTTCATCAACACCAACATATATAATACTCCTCCTCTAGTTCCTAACATAAAATCTAATTGTTGAGTTGGTTTTAGTCCTAAATGTAAGACTTAACTTATTGTTATTAATACTTCTTCAACCATAATCAAGTAAGAGAAGGAAGGAGGATATTAAGGAAGATGATTATAGTATTTTAGGAAAATATGTCATATTTTTTATAATTAACTAATTTATCTAACTTTCTTAATCTAATTAAATTAGTTAAATAAGTCGTATATTAAAGACGAGAAGAATATCAATTATATAACAAATTTTATCATAGTTCTCTACCAAAAATAAAATTGTATGATTCGTAGTTTATAAATATTACACTTTGTTTTACAAATTTTGTATCTAACTTTTTATGAATTTGTGGGGCAACTTCATTTTCCCTCCCGGTGTTATTTAAGCAGCAAATTGCAAATATCTCAGACCAGCCAGTCTCTGGTTCTCTCTCTCCCCTTTTTTTCTTATCTTTCAGACTTCACAAGCTAATATGATGATTTAGATACTAATGTTTTATAGATATATTATTCATTTGTTAAATTTTAAAATAAATAAATAAACAGTATGAATTATTATAGTTGATTCGAACACTCTGAAACTAGAATAAGAAGAAAATGTAGACAAATAAAATTAATTCCGTTCAACTCAATAAAAGAATCCAGCTTTTTCATTGTTATAGGATTCCAGTATGATCTTTGTTTTTATTTTCATTTCTAGTTTCTATTTAATGTTTTATATACTAAATAATTGTTTTTTTAATATATCACACATTCTGTTCATATTTCCTTTTTCTTCCACATTCTGCTCCTGAGTGTCGTTTGATAGAGAAGAAACTTGACAAGCTCTGACTTCCAAGGGTCCCCTCACGTAATTGGAATATATATAAATATATATATATATATATATATATATGCGCGCATAAATTAAGAAAAATAATGATTTTTAATATAGCAATTTTTTAAAAAAATACTAATTTTTTCTGCTCAGTATTCTTAATTGATTATAAATTTTCCAACTAACAACTTTTATTGCGGACAATTTTAATATTTTATGAGAAATAACTAAGGCTAAAGTGAACTAAGGAGTAGTAATCACTATTCCAATTTTTCATTCTTGGAGTAGAATTAATTTACAGGGACCACAAGTCAATCTATATTGGATAATGATAGTCTACCCTTCAAACCGTCTTTATCTTAATTAATCATTCAGTGGAAGATACTGAACACGTCTCTGAAATGAAGTTCTAATTTGGAATAATCAAATGGTTTAAATTAAAGATTGTGTGATCCCAAAAATTAAATGTCAATTTATCATTTTCACGAATGTGGGTGTATTCATTTGGACTCTCTGATTGGTATTAGCTTTAGTCATGATATGCATTGCTTACCTAAAGCTGAGGTGTTAATTCAGCCACAGAGCCCATAATTTTTTTTTTATTTCTGTTTTTTTCCAAAAAAAATAATATTGTTGATTTTGATCCGTTGGTTCTTAAAACTTACTTTTTATATTTTAGGAGTATTTAAGTTATAAAGTTCCACATATATCAGAGCAAGGTTGTAAACTCACGAGTTTAAACAAACTCGTGATAATGTTATAAACTCGAATCATAAATTTGGATCGTAAACTCATAAGAGTTTACTTTTCTTAATAAACTAGTATTAAAAGTATATAATCAAATAATTAATATATAAAAAATGACAACGATTTCATTTACATACGTTTTAAATTTAAATAATTAAAATTATGTCCATCAATATTCATAATCTATCACATTCAACAGAGAAATTTCTATAAAATTCATATATAAAGTTATTAAACAGAATTAAATTCAAAAATTTAGCACAAGTTTAAGAACGAGTTGACATGATTTTATAAGTTAAAAATGTAAAAACAGTAAACTCGGTAAATGAACTCGTAAATTTAACCGAGTTTATAGTTATCACGAGTTTAAGAACAAATCAACACGATTTTGTTAGCTGAAAATATAAAAACATTAAACTCGAAAAGTCAACTCGCAAGTTTGACAACAATACATCAAATATTACTTACTTTCTATTTTCTTCAAGTCCATAAATGATTAGACTATTGAATCACAAATATATATTGAATTTCAAATTCGTATTCCTGTGCATGAAGATTCAGATATGAACATGGGAAGCTTTATAAATGTTGAGGCTGATAATTCATGCATGTAATCATTTTTGTACAAACATTTATGTATTTTTTTGGTGAAGCATTATGTATTATATATACAATACTTATATATCATTATATATTTATATGTCCTAACAATTTAGAATATCAATAAAACCATGTAATTATGTTTAAATTTTTAGTTTTTAAGATATTTACTTGATAATTGTAAAATTTTGAATATAAATATATAAACAACACACATTGTTTCACAAGGGATTATCCAATTTTTAATATAATTTCAAACTGCTTGGATCACGTTTTTACGCTGCAGGCCAATTTATGTTTTAAAAGATAAGTAAATCTAAATCATTAAATCAAATATAAGCATATCATGTCAGTGATCCCACTAACAAAAGAGTTTTTTTTAAAATGGAGAGTCCAATGGTGGCCATTTCCCTGGCATTTGGAGCTTGCTATGAAAGGAGAATTTTCATCTAAATAGGAAAAATATTTATTTTTGAAATATTCATTTATTTCACTTTTCCCTAATCATCTCCGCAATTAAAGCTGAAAAATCATCTCACTTCGCCAAATTTCTATTCCCACGTTATCCAGGCTAAACTACCTCTCTATTCCCTTCCCCAAAGGGTCAGTTTGATATTAAAAAAGAAAAAAGAAGAAAGAAAAATTTTAATGAGCTCAATTTAAAAAAAATGAAAAAAAAGGGTTATAAAATTTTGATAAAAAGAAAATGTGAGATAAAAAAATTAATTAAAAATTTTGCTTCCCAATTTTCCCTCCATTCATTTTTCTCAGAGCAAACATGGGGTAAATCTTCCACTTTCCACCGTCCCATTGGTCACAAACTTCCTTTTTTTTTTTTTCAAACTGATACAACTAGACTAGTTAAATAAAATGTTTGGTGATTAATAACAAATTTCTTTATATAAAAGGTAAATATTACATTTCTTAATATTCACTAACATAGACATATAGTACCTTTAGTCATATCATTACTTGTGACTAATCCCTTCTCATGCTTAAAGATGGCTTAATACATTTTTTTAGTGTTTTTTCCCTCCTTAGGCTCGAATTGTTAGCCTTTGATTATTATTGGCACACGAGCTTTAACTTTGAATTGTTAGCTAGACTAATATAGCCTCTTATCAACTAGATTGTTTGCTTAAAATGAAAATTTTGATTTTAACCGGAAAATAAATCTTATATACATATATCATACAGGGAAATGATATGGTTTTGAGTTATATTGTAAAACTGATAAATTCAAAAACAAAATAATCAATAAAAATTTTCAATATCCCTTTCACAAACAAATCAATAAAAATTACAGTCTGCGATTGAAGCAAAAGCATTAGCAGGTAGTGTCATACTTGTCACTTCAAGTGAAATAATTCCAAGGAAGAAAGGGTTATTAATCAAAATTTTAGTCGTCACAAAATCAAAAATGTGACGGCAAATTATTATATGATGCAATAGATGGAGAAAGTATATGATATAATGCAATATCCTTCAACGAATCATAATCAGAATTACTATATAGCATGATTAATTAAGATTACCTCTATTTCATTATATGATTGTAGCACATCAGACATAATCCAATCAATAAATCATCAAATTAGACTAAATGTACAAGGATGCAAAGGCAGAGGTGAATAATAACAAAGTGATGAATGTCAAGGATCTTGGCTAAAAAGGCAGAATTGAAAATTCAAACCATTTCAATATTAAATTTTATTAATATACTTTTTTTCAAAGCTCTGACAACATATTCCTTATAAAAGTTGAAAAATCATAGTATCAAAGTAAAGGGATTTTATAAAAGATAAATCCACCTAGTATAATCTTAGTAAAACTAAAAAGATGTATTTGTATTTATTCATACATTATATTAGCCAACAACAGTATAAAATACTAATTTCAAAAAACTCTAATAAATATGGTTATGTTCATTAGTTGTAAAAATATCAATAATATAGTAAATTACTCATCATATTGAGCATAATGCAAAACATAACGCACACCAGCATGTTTGTGCATGATTAAGATTGATTTACGTCATGTTGGAAATTAGAATAGTTCACAAAATTCAAATAACGTGGGAATATAACCATCCTCAATATTGACACATCAGAATAATTGAAGAAATACGGAAGGCTTCGAATAGTTAATTGCTTTTAAATGTCATTTTCATTTTTGTGTCATCTCAAGAGAATTCCAGGGCTTGACAGCTTTCTATTCCAGTTAACCAATATTAAACGAAAGAAAATATTAACTGCTTTGTCTCATATTATTTTTTTACGACCTAAAACAGTTAAAAGTCATAGTCCCTTGTGTTCCTATTCGGGATCCATGGACTCTAGAAAGTTTATTTAATTTGTAAATCCGGATTTTATGATCTGATTGAGAGGCAATGATGTTGGAGAAATTGATCAAATGATATAAAAATAAGAGGAAAGAAGGCAACACAAATGTCACAAGTTGTTTTTGAGTGATTTGTGGAAAACTATGATGAAAGGCTCAACATACAATTATGAACAAGTTGGTAAATTTTTAAACCAATATGATGGCGACAACTTTGAATATAAGCGTATGCTTGTGATGTAATTTAGGTGGCTCATTTGACCCAAGGTTTCCAAACACACTCGAGGGAAAATTATCAATACTTGTCAAATTTTGTGAAATCTAGATTGGAAAATATTAACATTTATAATTATCTTAAAAATTAAATCTATTGACATTTTTATTAAAAAATTAAAATGAATTATTTCAAAATAAATGCTCCTTAATATTCCATAAGAAATTAAATTTGGTCTTTAATTAAAGATAATTATGTTTTAAACCATTTTCCTTCAATATATGTCCTGAGGTGTAGTTTTTCTTAAATTCAAAACTTCGAGATCTAAACTAATGATATCACAACATTTATTTGTAAATCAGTCCGATTTTTCCATATTTTTAATTAACAGATAACTCGCTTACAATTTTCATTATAATATAGTAATTATATAACTATTAACATGTTTAACTTTTATATCATAAGCATGATTGAATTTCTCCTTATGAAGAACAAAGATTGATTGAAGTACACAATAACTGGTACGGCATATATGTTGTATATTTATCTTTTTAAACTCTGCAAGTCTACTTAATATTCATCCAAGACCTATGTGGCTAGCTAGCTCCTGAAATTTTATACATATTGATTTAATTCCAAGCCAATTAGTCTAGTCCAATACTATATTGAGTACCGGTTTAAAATAATTTATAAATAGTTTTTAAATCATAATTTATAGAATATAAAATAAATATATGAAAACAATTTTATCTCAGCTTACATAAAAATTATCTATATTTATATTTTTTAATGTCATCCAAACAGGTCCTGAATAGAAATCCATACACCAAGGCTTATCTAACTATGTGAAAAACGAAGTATAACTTTGACTTCATTAGGGTCTGACATCTATCATGCTTTGCCAGCTACAACTTGGAGGGGGGAAAAGAAAAAGTATTCATACTTACATAAACTCCCAAAAAGAAGAAGGGAAGGGGAAAAAAAAATGAAATGTGGGTGAAATTTATGTATGAGCCAACAATGAGTAAGAAGGGAGAAAGAAAGGAAGAAAAAGGAAAAGGTACATGTTGTTGTTGTCGTAGGGCACTGCCCTAAACTTCTAGTGCCTTTGGGACTGCATCATTATCAGGAAGTTGATGAACCCCATTGGTGGCAGTGACCCCAGAAGCAGGAGATGGTGCCTTACTTTTTAGGACCCCAAACTTCCTCAAAAGTTCTTCTGCCCAGTCCCAAAGATTCAACACTATGAACGTCCCGATCCCTCCGATCAGCCCATATGCTATCGAATACGTCAGCGGCATCAGAATCAACGTCATGAACGCCGGTATCGCCTGCTTCATGTCCTCCCATTCTATCTCCACCACCGACCTCATCATCAGCACCCCCACTAGGATCAACGGCGGTCCCACCGCCCACGCCGGTATTGACGCTAGCAACGGCGTGAAGAACAGCGCCATGAAGAAATACGCCGCCACCGTCAGGGCCGTTATCCCTGTCCTGCCTCCCTCGCGAATCCCCGTTGATGACTCTATGAACGCTGTTACTGGTGACGTGCCCAGAAGGGACCCCACCACGATCGACGTGGCGTCCGACATGAAGGCGAAGTACTGACCCTCGAAGCCCCCTTTATCGTCGGAGAAGCCGGCGAATCGGGCCATCGAATACAACGTGCCCGTCGTGTCGAGAATATCGACGTAGAGGAAGGTCACCAGAGCTTCCCAGAAATACCCTTTGCCTATGTCCTTGAAGCTTAACGCACCGGCCGTGCTCTTTATAGTGTGTACGTCCACGACTTTCTTGAAATACTCGTGGGCCGAGTCGCCGGAGACGGTGTTCGGGAACGCCGTCACTTTGGTGTTACGGAACCACGACACGACGGTGACGAACAAGATGCCGTAGATCATAGCGCCTTTGATGTTTTTGACCAGACAGTAAGCGATGATAACGAAGCCCACCACGCCGAGCCATAATGTCGGGCTTTCCATTCTATCTCGCAGGCATAGGATATCGCCAGAGACAGTCCCTCCGGGGAGCAAGCTAATGGTGCCGTTAGCGGCGGTCATGACAGGCGCGAGGGAAGCCCGGGAGGAATCGGGGCATCCACCGAGGGTGAGAAGGGTGGACGGGCTGTACCCAATTAAGCCGATTCCTTGATTGTTCTGGAATCCGATGAATGCGAGGAAGAGTCCGATTCCGGCGGAGGAGCTGATTCGGACGGGTTTTGGCACGAGTTTAGCCAGTCTAGCGCGCAGACCGACTGCGGAAATAAGCAAGAAGATCAAACCTTCAATGAAGACGGCGGCGAGGGCGCTCTGGTAGGAGATATTACCCGACCCGTGAAAGCCAACAACGGTGTAGGCGAAATAAGCGTTGGTGCCCATACCCGGTGCTAGACCCAAAGGAAGGTTAGCGAAAGCACCCATTATGATGCAGCCAATGAGGGAGGAAGCGGCGGTGGCGACGATCAAGTCTTTGCGAGTCTTCTCGAGGCAGGCGGCGTAGCCCGGATTAACCGGGTCGAATTTACAGGAACTATCGGGCTGAATGACACGGAGGGACGAACCAGTGCAGTTTGAAACAGGGACGGTCGGGTCAGAACAGAGAGGGACGCAGTCGGAAACAGAGCAAGTACCGCCGGAATCAGTCAGGATGGAGGCGTTGACGGCTAAGATGTAAGCCATAGTAAGGAAGGTGGCGGTGCCGGCTCGGAGCTCGGTGGTGAAGGTGGTGTTGCGCTCGGAAAGCTTGAACTTTTTGCCTACTCTGCTATTCGCCACGTAAGAGTTGAGGCGAGACAGAGGCCTGGGACGAGAGTCCACTGGCAGTGGCGGTAACGCCTCCATCTCCATGAAATCCCAGAGCAGGATTGATTTCCTAGGCTTTGTACTTACATATCCATATATATATGTGCGCGCGCGAGCATGATTCCCGATAATTTCTGATTATATCGGATCATGGGATGGTGCGATTATTTTAAACTAGAAAGTAGAAACAGAGTGGATTTACAGAGACAGAAAAATGGCAAGTTTTGATCTGTGAAAAATATTTTTCTTTAGAGGGGATAGATTCCGGGTGAAGGGTATCTTTTCAATATGGAGAGGTATCTTCTCATGGGCAGAGTCCTAGTTTTTTTTTTTATTATTATTCTGTTTCTTAATTATCTGATTGTTTTATTTATCTTTTTTTTTAATTATATGCTCACAAACGTGTGTGAACAGAGATGGACGTTTCTGAATTTGACATATCGATTTGTTTATTCTTCTTTATCCTAATTTCTTTTTTGCATTATCTATTATTAACCGTTGGATGAATAGTGCGATAACCAGAGAGTGGACCACATTGGAGATACTGTTTAGACTAGACGACTTGTTGCGGCTTGCTGCCTACTTCCTTGATGGGTTAGGTTTCATGCATTTTGACTCTGACTTTCTTTTCTTGCGTGTTATATATTTATTTATATATTTATTTGTTCTCTCAACCAAAATTAATGTGAACGTTAATACAGTGTTTCTCGCTAATATATGACTTCAAAAAGAGACGAAAACGTGGGACAATACATAGGCTACGTTTACAAGGGATGTGTAAGAGGGAAGGGGACAATTCAGAGCAACATGTTTAGTTGACTTTTCTTTTGTTTTGTCCATCTATTTTGTAGGTCGAGGTTTTTGGTTTTTATATACAGGAAAAGAGAGAGGGACTTTGTTCTGATTCGCTGCTTGCGAGGTAGTATTCCATATATGACGATTGATCCGAAATTCATGGTCTTAAAAAAGGGCTTCCTATGTTCTGTTTCTGTGTTCTGTTTCAAGTACGTGCTGAGAAGGAATGGCATTATTAAAATATGGGACACTTTTCTGTCATGACGTGATTAATCAAATATGATATATGGCTATTTCCCCTCTGGCTTTGATAATTAAGCAATAAAATATAAGGGGTCAAACCCAAGAGCACATGTTGATGAGTTCTGCGAGAAATGTGTAAAAAGAAGACAACTTTAAATTGAAGCGATAGTGTGAACTGTGAAGAAGCAAGCAGCCGTCTCTTATTGATAATTGTCTTGTTTATTTTCAGGAAATTAGAAATTATTAAAAAAAATTACAAATTGTATATGGTGTGGATATATCATACTTGACGATCTTATCTGGTTAGGAAAGCATTTATTGTGAAGAGATACAATAATTGAAAAGGGGGCAGTAAGTTGAACTACAAGTGCCCCATTGAGGCAGGCATTGTAGTTTTCAGAATTGAATCTTGCAGCTACTTTTGTACATCAGCTAAGGATTGGTCTGCCCATCTCTCTGCTTTTTCTCATCTGGAAAACTTTTCACTCACATATCTCATTATTAAGTTTGATCGCTTTTTAACCCAATAATATATTAACTGATCCTTAATATAAGAACAAATTAGAGATTAAATTTTATTTTAAATATAAAATATTAATCTATTTTGTTCTCCTCATTTTTTAGTTTATTCTTTAAATTATCTTTATTAATTGTATATGTTAAGAGATTTTCATTCAAAGACATGATTAAAATATATATATAAATAATTAATTTAACTAATTTTTTTATCTATCTAAATTAATTAAGTCATTTTTATATTAAAAAGAGGAAGTAATATGTCACAGACCTTAAAAGTCTACTGAATTGGATAAATCATACCCAACTGGGACATCTTTTTCTATTCAATTAATTGACCTTTTACAGTGCAATATTAATCTACTCCTATTTGGCAAAAGTAACATTATTTGCTTACCAAACCCCAAAGAATCCCAACATCAATAAATGCTGAGAAGCATAGGATCCCAAGCCTAATAAATGAGCAAAACCTAGTAACATTGCTGTTCTCCTGCAAGATCCATTAGGCTTTTTATCCACTTGGTTAATGCTATCATGTATAATTTTTTTTTATACCAACTTTTCGTACTAATTTATGGTAAAAATTACTTAATAAACAATTCCCAAAAAGGAATGCCCTTGAGAAAGTCTCAATGTGAATTTGGTTCTAATGAGTACATGTTTTGTTTCAATCCCATATTAAGTTTCAGCGGCTGCTAAACTGGGATTTGAATTTGAGCCATATAGTTAATTACATGATTTCCAGTTTTTCCTCCGACTTTGGATTAAGAAGGACATTGAAAGAAAGTAATAAAAGGGAAGCGAATTTATAATTTTTGATATTTCATTCTTGTCAGTCTTCGTTCCAATAAGAACTCGTCAACAAGATGGGTCTAGCTACCTCCTTAGATAAACATAGGTGAGTCGGAAGATTTTGGCTATTGGAAGAAAAGATGAACCAGAAAAGAAAAAGACACATGCCAACCACAAGTGTCAATTGGACACCCGAGATAACTTATTTTAGGAGCGATGGTATTAAAGTTATGGTTATTCTGTTTTTTTTTTTTTTAAAGGGTGTTTGTTTCGACTTTCAAGTAGCCATCCAATTATATCTCTGTCCTCAAACGGTTTGTAGGCTTCCCTATCCTAACTTTATTGATGGCAGAAGGTATCATAGTAATGCAAAATAGTAAAATATTATGGATAATCCCTCCAATTAATTCTGGTTCCTCATGCAGTAGCTTGCTAGTGCAAAACTTTCCTCTTATTGATCATGACGCGCACAAGGCAAAAAAATCTAGAGAGATTCACCAAAAAGTAGAAATATTTTTGTTGAGCTTATTTCAAGCCATTTCCCCCTTAAAATACGATTGGATAGGCTTTTAAAAGTTATATTAGACACTGATTGCTATTAGAAATTTAAAATACCTGGAAAATAAAAATAAACTCAGTTTAAGTTGTTTGGACACTTCCTTTAGAGTTATTCTTTCACACAAGATAAAAGTATGTTAACTCCCAAAGATTTAATGAACTCTTATTGCGAAAAGTTAAAAAAAAAAAAGAAAGAAAGAAAGAAAAAACATCAATAGGGAAGAAAAAAAAACTAAAAATTCAAGGGCTGGCTTGCTAGCATCATATATTACTCACTTGAATTCTCTTGAGAATAAGCGATGTGACACTTTTACTGGCATATATCACGCGTTAAATGCAACGATTTTTCTATGGAAGATTTTTTTTTGGACACAATACACAGGATAAATACAACAACTTTAGATCCGGTTGGAACATATATGGATATAAATTTTTCTAATATATCTCTATTTCCAAAATTTGAGTTTAATTTGGAATCTCACATAAGAAGATTGATCAAGCGTGGAACCACTCGTAAGTAAGATGGGTTGTTTGTATAATTTCCAAAAGCGGGTGTGTCTGCACTAGAAAATGTTGTATATAGGCTGGGTGGGGGTCATGGTGATCTAGAATTGGGACAAACATCTTCAATTAGAATATCTTTGGAAAGTGATGGTATTGGAATCAAGAAAGGTTGTAGGAAGCAAAAAATCACGAATTTGAGATATGATTAGTTCTTGCCAACTAGTTCATAATCATGTCTTTAAGGACGTAAACATGCTTCTCATTTGTTTTTCTAAGAACTTAATCATTAATTTCTCCCGCTTTACTTGACTGCTTTTAATGCATGATCAAGTGGGATCACTTTTCTTTTCTTTTATTCTTTTTTCTTTGCCCGTCTCTTTCTTAATTCGTTTATTTTAACACTAGAGAATTCACTAAGAGATTTGTTGTTACCCTAGTTGAAAAAAACAATAACAATAAACAAAGATTCGAGTATGATTAAATGGGATCTTTTAATTTCTCGAGACATTTCTTATTCCTAAATCATGAGGGGTTTCACTGAATCCCTACCAACTTTAGACAAAGCGAAAAAGATCCCACTTCAAATCAAAACCCAATATGAAGGAAAAATGATAGTTTATTCTGATAAGTGTGCCCCACTGTCTTTGCGTTGTGGGTGTTTGAATGGTCCTCAAGCAAATCCAAGCAGCATAAGGGATTAGAAGCAAGAAAATTTTAAAAAAGGCTAATTCCCCTCCCCCCCTTTTCTTTTCTCTTTCTTGTTTGCAACTAATTTTTCTAACTTTCATTTTTTTTTAAAATGAAAATTTAGGCCAGCTGAGTTTTATGGATTCACAAAACAAAAAAAACGAAATTGGATTTCATGATTCAAAAAATACCCATTTATAAATTACTCATCAACGACGTCCTCATAAGTGTGTATCAGACCAATCCTTAAACCAGCCTCTGGTGCCACTAATACTTCTGGCTTTACTTAGTGAAAGGTGATGGAGGTGGCGTGAAAGTATGGGCTGGCTTGAACCCTCTTAAATCCATCTATCATGTGTGTGTTTGTGTCCATCTGAAAAAAACCAAACTTTCTTTCTTTCTGGATGTAACATGAATTGGTGAATCATGTGAAGTTGGAGATGACTTTAAGGTCGTTGTCTTTGGAGTAGTTAGATTTGTACCTGTGAGTGCTTTATATCACCCCTAGAATTCCATGGATGCTAGTAGTCAATTGAGTGAAAACAAATCCCAGATTTTGTCACAGTGATGAAGTTGTACCAATGTTCATGATCTTGATTTGTCTTCTTCTCCACTCAGTTAGTTACCATCAAATGTCAAGCTGATGAGAGCTTTTTCCTACAATCAAGGAATACAACAAGGGATAACACAGAAACTTGATAAAGTTCAGTTCTTTCTCTGCCTAAATTATTTTTCAACATATGTGATACGTATTGAGAATAAAATAATAGAAAACCCTCCTTTCGGCCCATCAAGTTTCAACTTTTACATCTTTTGCCAGCTACCCACACTCATACAAGTGCAATGTATATTAATATTTTAGTCTCAAAGGAAAACAGTCCACTTTTTTGCTGAGAGGATTGTGCAATTAAAACGCTTCTAATAAAATAAAAAATGGCATTTTAAATTTGTTTAAATAGTCAATTAACTGTTAATTAGAAAAATGGGAGACAATAAAACCAGCTCCCACTAAAGCAGAGTCTGAGTTTGGCAATTGACAAGTGGGGAAGACTTGACAAATGGATTTTATACTTTAGATTTGTGGTTTTATTGGTTGAAGGGGTACATTTATATATGTGGAAACAGAAGGAGCACCAAGGGAAAAAGGGATAAGTTGGAAAATAAAAAGAGGAAGAAGGGATATGTCTTTGTCATTTCAAAGGCTTGGCAAGTGAAGGGGGATCCAACGGTTCAGGATGCTTCTGGGGTTAGTGGCATACAATCATCCCATTAGGGATCACATCTCTCGTTCTCTGCCTCTTATTTTTCTTTCAATGTGGGCATATACAAGAGAACATTTTCTTTATTCATTTATTTATTATTCTCCAGGTATTTCTCATCGTTTTAAGGACATGTGGGCTCATCATTACTTCCTCTGTTTTCTTAAACATTATCACTACATTTTATCAGCAGAATGGTTCAGTACTGCTCGCTTACTTTTCAATCCACGATCAATAATGGAACATCATATCAACATATCAAATGATTAAAGAAATTATTTTGTTATTATTTTCAGAATGATTTAAATATTCCCTGTGCAATACACAGGAGATTATTCTAATTCAAATAACTTCTGGTTATCTCCTGCACTATTGATTGTGTTTTTAATTCGTTGACTGTCTTGACAGTGTTTTCCTGGGTCTGGAATGCCAACTTTGGTTTGGGAGATTGATATGTCTCGCACTTTTGCAATGGACTGAATAGATATCAAACAAGGCCCAAACTTGGATTTTGACTTGAAGTAATCAAGAAGGTATAGCGTCCTAAGAAAATGCAACATTAAGGCCCTTCTAGTAGTAAGGATTTATTTTGAATGTTATCATTTTTTTGGCTTAAAATAAGGAAATGATGATATTTTTCAAAATTTCTTTTTGTTCTACTCTCGATTTGTATCAAACAAGCCAAATTTTAGAACTTCCACAACCAAAAGTTTAATTTCAGCCTCCAAATACAACAGATATGGAATCCTTTGTTAAAGACCAGAAATTCAATTCTGCCAGTCACACATGTGCTCAGCTTCATGTTCATTAAACGAGTGATGATTATACTATGCGTAAAAGATGATCCGCCCTTGATCTCAAAACAACAGAGAAGATTCAATTAAATATTCAAGAGTCTAACTCAGTGATAAGGATATTTCAATGGCTCAGTGATATTTCACCATTCAGTAACCCATAGACAATGAAAAATTATGTATACTGTAAATATCAACCGATCCAGCAAAACAGTAACCTATTGTCATAAAGATTAAAACTGATCCAGAAATTGAAACTAATGGCATCATGAAAGAGTATAAAACAATGGTTGCCACTAACTACTACTGTTGCTGTTCATCTTGCCAAGCCCATACAATTTCTCTGAGAGCTGGTCTGATCTCCTCTTCTAACATCTTCTGGTATTCTACTGTGTTACCACTAGATTGCTTCATCTCAATCAAATGGAAAGATGGGGTAAACTCAAAAATTTCAGCATCAATGGACAGAGGCTCCATTCTCCCTTCACTAGATTTCTCTAAATTCAGCAACCCTCCATCTATTTTCGTTATCTTCAGCCCCATAACATGAGCCATACCCTCTATCACAGAAACGATAGACAAGGCAGAGTGCAGTGACGTAAATTTCACATCTTTCCTTTCCTTGTTTCTTGCAAAAAGCCCAGACAAATCAAATCCAGCTGATAGAGAAATTATATCAAAAGCATTCAAATTAGTAGGTTGCACCAATGATTGCTTAGCCTCAGAAGTAGCACCACTTTCATTCTCAGATAGACCAAGACTTGGATCAGCCTTGACTGGATCCTCCACATCTGTAACTGATGTTTTCATTTTATCAGCCTTTGAACTGAATCCTCTTTTAAACCAAGAGCTTTCCTTAATCTTTGATATGGGAATTCTAGTATCGGGGTTAGGGTCAAGGATTCTGAACAACAGCTTGCGTGCTTCAAATGAAAACCAGATTGGACATCTGTACTTTGCTCTGCATATTTTCCTGTACAATTCGATAAGATTCACATCACGGAATGGCAACTGACCAGCCAATAAAACATATAAGATCACCCCACAAGACCATATGTCAGCTTTCGCTCCATCATAGCCTTTTTTGTTTATAACTTCAGGAGCTACATATGCAGGAGTTCCACAAGTTGTGTGCAGTAAGCTTCCTTGGCGATGAGAGTCAACAAGGGCACTCAATCCAAAATCTGCAACCTTGAGATTTCCATTCTCATCCAAAAGTAAATTCTCTGGCTTCAAATCCCTATGATAAACCCCATTGCTGTGGCAACAATCTATCGCGCTGATCAATTGTTGGAAGTAATGCCTTGCCAAGTTTTCATGGAGTCTGCCCTTGGCAAGCTTCTTAAAGAGTTCACCCCCTTTGGCATATTCCATGATGAAGTAAATCTTGGTTTTGGTGGCCAATACCTCATAAAGTTGCAGTACATTTGGATGTTTAACCAGTCCCATGACTGATATTTCCCGCTTTGTTTGATCAACTAGCCCAGCTTTTAGAATCCTCTCCTTATCAATCATTTTAATGGCAACATTATCACCAGTTCTAAGGTCCCTTGCATGGTAAACCTTTGCAAAATTTCCTTGACCTAGTAGCCTGCCAAACTCGTACTTTTGCATCAGCACATTCCCCCTTTTCTCCATTTCAGGTACCACAAAAAATAAGACACAATTTTTGTCACTTCTGTGTTTGTTAGCTAGAGATTCTCAAAAATAATTCTTTCTTCACCAGTGATATCTGCCAGCACGAAAGGAATGCTGCCAGAAATTCATCCTGTATTTGCAACTAGAGAGTCATCTGACTGTTTCGAGCCTTAATCTCATCAAGATGCAGTATGGGCTGCCTCCCAAACTGAGATGACCAAAAAGGCGTATTGAGATGAGAAACTAGGGAAATTGCGAGGTGAAGAGAAAAAATACTCGAAACAAAATCAGAACAGGAAACTTTTCATAATCCAATAGCATGGAGCATTTAAACAATCAGATGGGTGGTGATCACACAATCCATTCAAGATAAAGAGTAAACAAAAATAGAATGAAACTCAAAAAAAGAAGTAATAACAAAGAAAAAGAAGTACTCCAATGATCAAACAGAATCACAACAATAGAAATTCCGTAAAGCAATCACGTAACATGTAGAAACACTCAGATACGCGATCATTATAATCCCACTGAAGGAAACAAAAGAGAACAAGAGAAAACCACAAAATTTGACGTGACATGGAAGAACCGTCAGGATCATTAAATACCAAGCAAAGAGAAACAGAACCCATCTAACTCTATGTATGATCATCCAAGCACAGTCTAACCATGAAACTTTGACAGCAAGCATATAAAGTTAAAGCTACAAAGATAGAGAGAGACGAACCAAAGAAAAAAAAAAATTACCGTTGAAGGAAAGGAAAAGGGTGGAAGAAATCGGAACGAAGGATGAGAACAAAGAAGCAAAAACCAGTGCCAGTATATTGCATCTTGGGAAGCCAAAAACTTAAACGTATTAATGCAATATGAATTTGTTCTATAAAAGGAGAGATATGTTTCAGGTAAAACGAATACGGTGAAGGTGCCGTGCGTGGGTAGGTCACCGCACTGAGCTTTCTCTACCTTTCAGAGGTTCCATCATTCGCGGAATTTGAAGGAATGTATTTTATATAATTTTTAATGCGATTAAGTGTCCATTTTTAAGGGTACATGCCCCAAAAAATAGTGTTCCGTGAAAAAGGGGGGACAAAAAGGGAAAAGGCCTTTGTTTTTCTTCTCAAAATACAGGGAACCTCTTCTAGGGTGTGAAGTCACCACCAGATTGCCATCCTCAGCAAGTTGGATTTTTGAATTTCTTCTTCTATTGCTTTTCTGCTGTCCATGTTATCTGCACGTTTCATTTTATTTTTATGATTGTTTTCCCTTCTTTTGTGTTCTTGGTGAAATCTTGTTCTTCTTATATGCTATTGTTTTTTTTTTTTTTAGCACTGTTCTTATATGCTATTGTTGATTACCCTTTTTACCAATTTGCATAGATTTCAATGTCCTTATTAAATCAATCAAGATATGTATAATCTTCATGTGCAAATCCTCATTTATTTTTTTCTTTTTTTAATTATTTTAGCATACACTTCATTTTCGTATCACATATTTGTAAATTTTTATTTACGACAAGTTTTGAAGACCTATCTTATCTAATTTTTTTAGTAAGAAAATTTGATAATTCCTAGATCAAAATTTTAATGCTTTCTCCATTCAATTAATTTTTCATGCAGCTTTGGGAGTTAATTAACCATTAATAATTTTTCCCAAATAACCACACATGATTATCAACTCGTGATGAAGCCATCTGACCTGTTTGTTTAGTTTAATGATAAGTAAATTTCATATTTGAATAAATAATGTGTTGTTTACAGATCGGATGAAAAGTATAAGTTATTTTGCATTTAGTCAAATCATTAAAACAAAAAAACATTTTAAGTAGAAGGTGCTTCTCAAATAGTGACAAGGTACTCAAAACATAAAAAATCTCTTTTTTTTAAGATTGCAGTTGTTTTTCAGACAAGCATCGAATATTTTGTTTTCATAAGTACACTTTTCCCTACAAAATGTAAGTGATTTTTCATTTGGAAAATAACCTGATACAAACGGATCTACAGTCTACACCGAGGCATTACATGATATACGCGCGCGTCACAGAGAGAGAAGGTAGGCCTCAAGAATTTTTCTTCTCTTTCATTAATTCTAATACTAAAAATACAACCAGATTGATCAATGAGCTCGCGGATTTCAAAGAATAAACCCTTACCTAGTAGTTTCCTTCCTACAAGAAGAATGACACAAGAAAACACAAAGTTTAAAAAAATAACAATAATCAAAATTTGCCTCTTAGTATCTGATTCCTTTGGCAACCTCAAAGAAATGAGCAACATTCTCCTCAGGCGTACCTACCCTAATGCCATGACCAAGATTCAATATATGTTTCCCCTTGCCAGCTTTTATCACAGTGTCATTAATACGCTTGGTGATGAAGTCCTTTGAACCAAAAAGAACCCCAGGATCAACATTACCCTGAACTGCTATATTTGGTCCCAATCTCTTCCTACCATCAGCCATGTCAACTGTCCAGTCCAAGCTAACTACATCAACACCTGTCAAAGCCAGCCTCTCCAGCAAGCCACCCGATCCGCTTGCATAGAGGATTAGAGGAAGTTGGGGGTGGGTTTTTTTCACAGTATCTACTATCTGCTTCAAGTAAGGCAAACTGAATTCTTCAAAATCCGCTGGACTGAGCTCTGTTGCCCATGAGTCAAAAATCTGAACAGCTTGAGCTCCACTGTCAGCTTGGTATTGAATGTATCTTGCCATTGATGTTGTAAATTTTTGAAGTAATGAGTGGAGGATCTGTCAACATGTCAAAGTTCGATATAAATTGAAGAATCTATTAATTTCAAAACACAATACGTGATTTGTCTACAGAGATAGGTAAAGTTATCAAGTGATAATAAGATTCCCAAGCCTAAATCTACAGTACTAGACCTCTCTATCTGTTAGGGAATATCACCCAGTTTTACTTGATATAGCTGCAGCACCAATTAGAGTGGAAGGGGTTGGTAATGGTCAGTACAGTTTTAGTATGTCAATTAATGAGATAAAAGAGGCACAAGATTAAGGGCCCAATGCAAGTAACGGTTTTAGGCCGGCATAATTACTAGAGACGGTTAAAAGATTACCTCAGATTCTGAGAAAGCCAGTCTCTTAATTTTTGAGAAGTGTTTTGAAGAACCACCCTCAACTACATATGAGGCTAGGGTGAATGGAGCCCCAACAAACCCAAGGACTGCAGCTTTGTTATCAACCTGAAAGCAACACTAAGGTTGTCAGATTAAAGAAGACAATAAAAGAAAAGGGCATTTTAAATTCATCGGTCATACAGAATAGCTTTAAAACAACAATGATATAAATTAAACGGTTAGATATTTGAAGTCTCTGCTAAGCTCCACAAATTACTTTCGAGACATGCAACAACAACAAATTAACACCAGTGAGACAGACATACAGATTCAACACATCATCTTGATAATAGCCACATGCAGAATGGATAGTTCATTTATTGTTCATCACCTATACCCTTATAAGCCTTTAATAAATATTTTAACGCACTACATCCCAGCACTCATGACAGCCATCGGTCATTCATACAATGCAGTGTGTCGTATCCTCAAATATACATGAAGAATTTCCAGTACATGACGAAACTAAAAAGCTTTTGTCATTAAAAGAAAAGTAGTGAAACGACAGATAGCAGGCATCCAAAGATGGAAACTTCGAAGAAAAGATCAGTCAGACCTCTTTCCTCAAAATTTTGAGTGCCTCTCCAACATAAGGAACTGACTCTTCAGGAACAAAGTCTCTCAATTGATCAACCTGGGCAGCTGTGTGAATAGGATCAAATATGACAGGACCCTTACCCTTCACAATATCAAAGGGTATATTCATTCCAGGAAGCGGGGTAAGAATGTCTGAGAATAAAATCACCTGCATTAAAAAAAGCCAAGGAACTTGATGTAAGCAGAATCCTAGCAATTACCCAAAAAAGTATAGATACATTAATGTGAGCCATAAAACCATCTTACCCCATCAGGCTTGAAAACATTCCATGGTTGTAGTGAAATTTCTACAACAAGATCAACATTTTCTGATCTTTCACGAAATGAAGGGTACTTCTCACAGATAATTTGGTAACTCTGGTTAAAAAAGATTGATGAATAAGATTTGTTATTAGTAAGGAATATGTATATATGTCAATTGTAAAATGCAACCACAAAGAGCAAAACACCTAGAATTAAATTTGGTCGACATGGATGATATAAAGTTAATATAATAAGCTGCTGTCTTTCTAAGTGTTCCCAAAAACATGATTATTGAAAAACTTCCGAACAGCCAAGACCCAAGGTTATTTATACAACCAGAACCGTAAGCTGCGCAAACCTGCCTTCATGTACCTCCCAGCTTGCCTCATGAGCCAAACCGGTGGTCTTTCAACATCTATCCCGCGAACAGCATTAAGCAATAGCGGTTCGGCAGCAGATGTTTCTTTTGGTTCAGCAATTGTCCCTGGATGTGATTTTCCAGAATTTAGCTCAGAAACTCAAACCAATATGCCTTGTGAAGGGAATAATTGATATATTAATACAAGTTTGATATAAACTAAATGATAGTTGGAATGTACTGAAAACGACAACTAAGAACACAAGGGAAACTGAAATAATATGTCTATGCAACTACGGTTAGCTGCATTATGTTATATAGTTTATTTTTTGAAAAGAAATCTTGAGTTATTAATTAATCCCAGGACTATTTGATAGCATAAGAAATTTCAAATAACTTCCTTAGACAATGGTGCCCGGTCCCATTGGCATGAGTAAATCATTCACTTAGTTGAAAGCCTAGGAAATTAACAGATCGAATTAGTGAAAGGAACAGCTTTTGGATAATAAATATACGTCATATCAGATTTCGAATAAACTCATCACTGAGGGGAAATTCACAGAGCTCTAAACTGAATGTTGATGTAAACATGATTTAGTTGACGGGGACACAAGTTCCAAATATCCCGGAAAGGGGGGAGAGGATCAATCAGAAATTACAATGGGCTTTCTCATAGGAGCGCATTTCAAATCGCGAAAAGGGTCGCAGCGCAAACAAAATATTACCTCTCAGAGAGCAGAGAATTGGGGACCTGGATTTGGAGGAAAAAGCGAACCGTGATCCTCTAAGCGTAGACGAAGGAACAGAGGTTGGTGTAATGGAAGCGAAACTAGTGTTGATGCAGGACATGGTTGAAGCTGAAGCAGGACGCGAAGTGTGCTGATTGCATTTGGGTCAGCTTCTTTCGAAGGCGCGAAAGAGGTCAATGAGAAAACAGGAAAGATAAGGGATATCGCTAACCTAATCCCTGTAAGAATCCTTGAGACAGTGACCTTCGCCATGTCAGCAACATCATCAACGAATTGAAATTAACCAACCCTTTACGCTCTCTAAAGTCCGTTTGGTACGAAGAAATATGAGAGAAGAGGTGGAGGAAAAAAATTTTAATAAGCTCGATTTAAAAAAATTAAAAATAAAGTTAAAAGTTTTTAATTTATTTTTATTACTTTTTATATTACTTTTTCTTTTTATTAAAATTTTAAAATTTTATTTTTTAATTTTTTAAATAGAGCTAATTAAAATTGTTTTCCCTTCCCCTTCCCTCTATTTTCCTCATAGTAACAGTAGTTTGGGGAAAGGTTATGAATCCCACACAGTGTCACCCGTAAATGAAACAAGGATAAAAATATTCATAAAGTACTTATGAATCTCCTCAACCATAACACTTTTGACAAAATGTTGTTTTGGGTATGTCAAGAGGTGGTTGGCCAAAAAAAAGGTATGTTAAAATGTAGTTAAAATTTGCATTTTTAATACTACTTCCGGTTCTTAATATAAGACCCTGTTTGATTTCTATTTTGATCCTAAATATAAGACCCCAATTCACTTCATCTCTCATATTTATTCAACTTTTTTCAAGATAGTCCTTTTAATAATTATAGTTCTAGTTAATACACTTAATTAGCAAGAATATTTTAGAAAAAACAACACCTATTTAGGACAAATAACTAACTCAACTTACTTCCTTAATCTCCTCAAATTAGTCAACTGGCTCTTATAATTAGGACGGGAGGTAGTACATGTTAAAAATTAAGTATTCCTAGTTATTATTAACATTAACTTTTCATCGTCCTTATAATAAGCATTGGAATGGGACTATAATGGCTACTAATTTAACAGTAATAATTATTAAAATAATTAGTAGAAACTAAGTAAAACGTCATAAATAATTCTGCTTTTAAAATATAAGTGACTATATATTGCTGTTAAGAGCAACTAATTACTAACATATATATATAATTAATAAACATCAATAACCCCCCTTTCAAAAGTCATCGCCACTATTACAAACGACCATTACTAACATGAATGCATTTAATTTTTTTTAATGTGGATAATAAATTTTGCCTAGTCTCTCTTTCCCACTCACGCACGCGCATCTTTTATTTGTGAGTACAATTTTAGCATTATTCCTTCCCCATTTATGACCCCACCAAAAAAAAAAAATTGGAAGATGATTTATGGAGAGACTATCAGACTACGAATGTTTAACATTCGCTCTTTCGTTCCCCGGAGGCCATGTCAGATATATACCTGAACCACCACATTTCCCACTACTAAGAAGCAAAGTCAAAAGAAAAAAACAGAAATAAAATGAGTCACCTCAGACCGAACCGATTATTGCAATAGAATCAAAGTACATTTACATGAAAAACGAAAGATCACCACTACATAATTACAAAGAAAAATTTCAGGTTGGAGATGGAGAAAAATATTAAAAAATGGTGTCAGTTGTGAGTTTCCTTTTCGGAGGAGCATTCTCTATGAACTGCTTCTGCAGATCCATAAATGAGGAACCCTTGTTAGCAAACAGTCTACGCAAGTTGATCACAGAAAGTTCACTAAAGCTAGCAATAGCAAGATCAGCCTGTCCCAGATGATACCTGCAGGGTGAAGGAATTTCCAAAAGCCGCATGAGTAATCTCATCAAAAGTTTCAGTAATGAAGTGCTCAACAAAATGAAAACTGTTAAGTGTTTTTCATTTCAATGGGACAGAAAAACCATATCATAGATTAAATTTAGTCCTTGCATACTGATGCTGACCCAAATACTAAATTTGAATACGATCTAACTCCCATGCATCAAAACTCTATATGCGCATGCCTGACATGTCTAAGGAAATTAATTTGGACAAAAGTTTAGGTATAACATTTATGTACCTGCTATAAGTTCTCTAATAAAAAAATGGCAAGTAAAAATTTCTACAACTTGTATCATGTGATTGAATCTTTTAAAGAATCCCTCCATTGCCATGTATTTTATTAAAGAACTGGATAAAAAATACCTCAGTAAAACTTTATCCAAGTTTTGTGCATTTTACTTTTGGAGGAACATCTTGTTAGCTACTATTGTACATAAAAGTGAACTACTCACGCAGGATGTGCGCCAATCAATGCTACAGCCATCATGGTACAGTTATGGGCAGCAGTTACTCCACGAGGATCATCTTCAAAAACCACACATTTTGAAGGTTTCCGATCCAGCTGAAAGACATTTACTCAAGCAGATCAAAGACTAGCAAAATATTGTATCAAGAATGAGAATATATTCGTTCACATTGCATGTTCACAGTTAACCTCCTCAATTATGACGTTTAACTTCCCTAATTATAATGTTGTCGCAAAGTATAACACTTGCAGACTGACTATGAACAGAAACTGTAAGATTAGTTTCAGGCTGCCATACTTAGGTAAGTTGCTAATGTGTTCATTGTTAAAATAAAAACAGGTAATAATACCTTAGTATCAAGGTACTAACAATAATTAAAAATGTTCCGAGCCTCAAATGCTTTATCAGGATATAATCATCAGGCTAGAGAATACCTTGACAGCAGCAGAAAGAAATCGGTGAGCTATAGACTCCATTCCATCTTCTTCTGTCACAGTTGCCTGCAACCCAAATTGTAATCAGCGAAGAGAACATAAAGAGAGAATGTAAAGATATCAATCATCTTCAACGTCGAATTCAAACAAGGTGTTAAAATTCTAGCTAAAAAGTGGCATCCATTGGTTGAACCCTGGAAATATGTAAGACATTCGTTGAAAACGTTCTAAATTTTCCAATCTTACATAGCAAAACTTGGAATTTGTTAGGAGCAACAACCGATTGATTTTATTCAGGCATTTAAAGCTTTTCATAACACATGGGCCAAAAGTCAAACTGAAGTGGAGCTCATTAAAGGAAAAGAACAACAGCCACATTCAACTTGCAACATAATTTATATATATTACAACTCTAAAATGACAATTCTAGCCTGAAAATAAAATGACATGATCTTTTGAGTCCACTATAAGATTAAAAAAACACTAGTACTCAATACTACCAACTAATTTAGATTCACACTGGCTCATGCCTTAATGGGGAAAAAGACTCTCCTAATGTGGTTTCTCTCATCTACAAAGCTCAAGACCTCACTTAAGGGGTGTTGACTCTCTTACTACGCGACCCAGCTTCCATTAGCTAAAATCAAGTGTCATTTGTTATTTATATCAAATTGCTATTTCTGCAATGCTATAATTGTGAAAACATGGTGTTTTAACCATTCTCATGTGTTACCAACCTGGAAATACTTTTGGAGTCCCATTCGTTCCAAAGCTTCTGTCATGCTTCTTCTATCTAGACTTGAAACAACAGCACAGGGGATACGAGCTGTATACACAGCTTCCAACCAGTCCTTAAGTCCTTCCACAGGTGTTTCAAGCTAGAGAAAAATATGGGCCAAAAAAATGTCAGGTTCTTGGGTCCATGAGGCCAAACAACATCATCAGGGAGGAAAAACTTACTTTGAGAAGATTATCATGATATAACTGTGAAAACCTCAACTTCAATTTGTCCAGTTTGTTTTCTGTCTCATCGCATAGAAAATGCTGCAAGTTTAGAAAAGTGAATCAGAAAATATAAGATGTGCTGAAAGCAAGATTGGAGAATTTTGATAATAAAACCTTCAGAAGAATATTCTAGTAATTGAATGCCACCAGATTCAACAGACCGTAACTCAGGACAAAAGATAATGTTTCCATTTCCTGTTCCCAGTTGTGGAAAATAAATTTTTTTTTTTCGTTTTCTTTCATAAATTTTATAAGATATTAAGATCAGAAGCAAAGATGATTTATTAGGTGACGAGATAACATACACAGATAATTGAGACAACCATAAGATCAATGTCAGATTTCATAATGAGAAACCTGGAATTACATGCCCAACAGCAAGGCCCTGGACTAATTGACAAACTGGTCAAGATCAGATATTTTAAGCAACCCGAACCAATAAACAAGCACAAAATGAAATTTTGGGCAACCTGAAGCTCCTCCGCATTTTATTTGTTATTTTTCAAGAAAGGTACTCATTGGGCTAAAGTCGGTCTCTAAAATTGGTTTGCTCACTGTCTTCAATAAAAGATTACATTTAATGGCTGTTTCCAGCCCAAATTAGCACGTTATCTCGAGAATTTTAGTGTATTTGTGATTTTCACAAAATGAAAATTCTTGGCACGAATGCAAAATAATAATAATATCTATCTATAATGGTACAACCACAATGAACTTCATTAGTTGCAGAGTCATAATAAACATGACCATGAATTAGTTGTCATAACTGCAATGTTCTTCCTTCTAATATCCCTTGCTTCTAGTTGGGGATAAAAAAAAATCCCTACTTTATTGACCCGAAGGGATCTGTAATTTATAATCAATAGAAATTGTGTGATTGATATGTTATGCGATACACGTTTAGATAAGCAAATGCATGTTTCCGAACCTTCTGCAACATGTGATCAGCACCAGAATATAGCAATGATCGTTCCACATCACCATCTACAGGAATATCCTTCCCTGCATCAGAATCAAAGTAAGACTCATAATAAGGCGCATGGACTTCACAGTTTATTTAGCCTGTTTAATATAAAAATGGCAATGTCATTTAGCTACTTTATTTATAAAGATGCAATAAAAGGGAACGATATTGCAAACAAGGGACCCGATCTCTTGTGGAGGAAGGAAAGAAAGCCAAGGAAATGGTGTTCCCTGTGTATCCTTAACATTTCTTTCCTTCAAATGTGGCAAAAAAGGAGGATATAGAAAATCATTTGATTAAGTTCTCTGAGTTTCCATTTTTATATACAAACACCAGCAGTAGAACAAGTAATAAAACCGTTAACATGGTAAAACTTTATGAAACTCTTTCTTTCCCTTCCTATCATATTACTATCCAAACAAAAGATTCTATTCTATCCCGCTCCTTATAGGCTCTTTTAATAATTTTTCTTTCCATGATGTTCAGTACATGGTCCATTAAAATCAACATAGTCAAGCTCTAAAGGCCATCTCATTATTTAGAGTCCCATGATAACAACTTAACATACCCTCTTCTGAAGCAAGCTGCTTCCACGCATTCCATCTAACAGCTCGAGTATCAGCCTGAAACACATCACATACAGTTATCATGGAGAAAATATAACTCAGTTGCATGATATCATGTGTGGTCGTGCTCTTCTTATCTCAAGAAATATAGTGATAGCCCCCAAAAGCAGTTAATAACTGAGGCAATACAAGTCTCCGCAATTGCAACAAATACCACAATCTTTTTTCGTCACTTAAACATTTACAAAGCATGCCTAGCGTGATAAATCTCAAGAACATTCCTAAAAGCTTAAAACTAACCAGAACGTTGTCCCAAGAAAAGATAAGACCATAAGCTTCATCAGGCTTCATAGCATAGCGTATTCGCTGAAGAAATCCATCTTGCAACTTCTCATTCAAATAGTCCTGTTTTCAAAAGAAAATAATAAATAATATTAAAATTATCCATTCATAGACTAAGCAATTCAACTTAATTTTAGGGGAACGGCAACCAAAGTTCATTACCACATCAACTTTTAATGGCCCATCAGCTCTAAAAGTCTCAAAGCCCTCCCCATATTCAGCTCCTATTGCCTGGCAGAGAACATAGAGAAGAATTATGGCAGTAAGAAACCTTGGAGTCCTGGATTTCTAATAAGTTAACATCACTAAAGTCACTGTTCCAATAAGATTGCATAACGATGACCCAGGCCGATAAAAGATAAACCTTCAGCGTTGGTTACGCCGAGAAATAAAAAAGAATTAGTAAAAACGAAAAAGATAAAGTAGGAATCCAAAAACTCGACAACCAGCATATTGAATCAAGAAAACGGGAAGACTCCGTACCTCCTGCATGAAAAGTTTATTGGGGGTAAATGGCAACCCATTACCATTCACAGAGCCATCGCCTTCGGACCCAATAGAACACCGAACGACCAGACGATTCCTGTCCACACCCGATCGCTTCAATTTCTGGGAAAAAGCACATATTATAAAAAATGATAAAATCACAATTAAATGAAGAAAAGAAACAAAGGCATGCATAAAGAGAAGAAATTGCGCACCAAAATGTTGAGCTGGAGGGTGGGAGAAGAAGGTTGAAGACGAGACGAGAGGGAGGGAGAAATCAAACGAGAAGAGGCTTTGAAATTGTGAAAAGCGACGCAGTCCATGGCAAGAAAGCACGGCGTTAATGGTGGGGAAGAAGCTGACAGCTGAACAAACAAGACGAAGAAGAAGCTAGAGCCTTTAGCTGCTGCTTAATTTTTCCCGGCTCATTCGGTGCCAGTTTCAGAGTTTTTGATGACCAAGGCGTGTTGCCACTCACGTGACGAGCTCCCTCCTTCACTGTGCTTGTGGATAAGAATTTCTTATTCTTTTTATTTTTTTCCTCTTATCCCCTCTTTAGTAATATTTAAATATAAATATAAATGCATGCATGACAGACTTTTGTGGTTTTTCAGTCTTATGCTAAAAAAAAACATAATTGTCATCCCATACTTATTGGAAAAATCAAAATTTTAAGTAATTGTAAATGGTTGTATGTATATGGGTATTATATGACCTCCAATCTTAAATGTAAGAACTAATTGACTAATTTAAGTAGATTAGGAAAATAAGTTAAGTTAGTTATTTGTAATAAATAGATGTTGTCTTTTTTAAAATATTCTTACTAATCAAATTTATTGGTTAGAATTACTATTATTAAAAAAACTATCTTGAGAAAAAATAAATAAACATGAGAGATAAAGTGATTTGGGATCTTATATTTAGGATCAAAATAAAAATCAAACAAGGTTTATATTAAGGACCGGAGGTGTCATTATGTTATTAATTTATGATAATAAATTTCACAAAAACATATGATAATACTAATATTAACTGCTGATAATAAATTAATAATGCATCCTTCAGTCATTCATTAGCAAAATTGATCAAATCAAATATGATAAATTTCAATTCATTATTTTAAACATTCAACAACACAAAAACAAAATTTAATATAATCATATTTTGTTTTAACTCTTAAAGAGAAAACGAAAGGGTCTTAATTCTAAGATACTGATCGATAAGCCCATTAACTTTTTCTTTATAAATCAATATTACTAAATTTCATAAGGTGAGAAAGGATAACGTGGAAAACATAATGTGAGGAAGGACAAGCATGGTATAAATTATGATTAGGTTTTTTTTTATAACAAATATCCATTATATATGTTTATTACTGTTTAATAGTGTGGCAAAAAAATTTGTTGAATTGTAATTTTTATTTTTTATTTTAAATCAGGATTAAAAAAAAAAACTAGTTGTCAATTCTTATCCATATGTATTGTTTAATTTTTCATTTCACTTCCATTGCATACCTTATATTCTTATGCACCAAACATTGTCTTAATTCCGTGCACAAGCTTCCTTTGTTAATTTCAGGTTCACTAAAAACCATGAAAAACAGATGGAGTGGGGCGCAGATGAAGCCAAGTATTATGCATCGCTTTCACATAGAATATCAGTCAGTTGACCAGTTTCCATAAAAGATGTAATTCTATAGCAAAACGCAATCTCTACACTGACAAACAAAATAACGCTGGAGGAACATCTCACCAAAACATAAAACTCCTGTGTTAATCAGCATCTTCTCATTCCAAGATCACATTCACATGTCTGCAAGGAGCCTCAAAACAAAAACTCCTCCAGCTTCAAAATGTAAAAGCTAGCTCCTCGCTGGAAAGAAAAGAGAAGTAGAAATTGTTGACTGTAACTGTACAATAACCAACAGACTCGCTTTTGAGAAACTTCCTGCAGCTGAACTTTCCAACTGTGCATATTTGATGATGGTCCCAATACACAGAATGTTTAACGTAAAATGTTGTCTCCGAGTTTACTGAGATATCTCCTCGAAAATCCATGATCCCTTATTCCTAGTTCAAAGTAATAAAGTGGTCAGGTTCAGGAAACAGTGACGACACTTTAAACAGGAAGAATTCAGATTCAAAGAGAATGGAGGACGGCATATACCTCCAATGTAAAGCAGACATCTGAGTCTTCTGAGTAGTATTCGGAGTAATCTGATGGTTCGTCACAACAGAACTGGTAAAACTGTGAACAAACCCATAAACAACAGTTAGGACTGGAAAAATGAATAAACAAGTAGAAAATGAGAATCTAAAGTGTTCTAGCTTTGGAAACAGTCAAACCTTATCAATCTTCCCAACCATCGCTGAATCAGCCTCATCATCCACCTGAAACCAGCCACTTGTCATATATATGGTAGGAATCTCAAATTTTGAAAGAATAAGAAACATATGATTAGTAAATGGCTTTACTTAGTCCATTTCAGCTTGATATTCAGAAGGGAAAGTTTTACTGCTATCATTAGTAAATGAGAAGCTTGACTCCAAGTCATTGCCTTCTCTCTCTCTGTTTTTCTTTTTATTGCAAGAAACAATGACGCATAATTCGGCGAACAAAAAGGGAGGAAATTAAAGCCTCTGTCAAACGAAGTTACAAAAACAAGTTGGCCAAGAAGTACTAAACAAAATGACTACTCGGTTACCTAGATTGATTGATGTACCAAGGCCCTTGCATAAGTGTCTCAAAAACCCATAAATGATATTTTTCCAAAACCTCATTTCAGAGTTTCGAAGGACCCTCATGTCAACAAGATACAACAAGGTTTCAATGGGAGAAAGGGGAAAAAAACCTTGAATAATAACAGTGTCCATTTACCTGTATCATATCATTAGCCTCTTTATCCAAAGCTTGTTGGTATGCAGATTCTAGTTTTGCAGCTTGAAGAACATACGGTTTCCTTTCCTGATGAGAACGGAAAATTAAGTCCCAAAAGAATTATATTTTCCAACTTACAAAACGAGAATGGACTGGGCTTACCTCCTTGGACATGTTTTTCCAGATCTCAAACCCTTTCCTATCAATTTCAATCATATTTCCACCATTGCAGGTCTTGAAAAAGCTCTCGCTGAAAAGGAAACCTCATTAGCATCCGACCACTATTACCATATTCCAAACAGAACTCCAATCAAACATTTAAGTTCACTAATAAAAACTTCAGGGGGTGAGATTCTACATAAACAAGCGGAAAGGTGATACTGGTTGGTTCTCAAAACGTTTATCTGTCGCATGTTGGTTCACATCTTCAGAACTTCTATTCATGGCATGTTGGTTCACATCTCCAGAACTTGTATTCGTCACATGTTGGCTCCCATCTTCAGAGATTGTAATCGCCACATGTTGGTTCACATCTTCAGAACATTTATTCAATAGCTGGTTCACATTTGTTCCCCTAAACCTCTTTACGCCCTTCTTCGGTTCACATTCGTGCATGTCAGCCAACGCAATAGCCACCGATCTCCCACAGCCCTCACTGAAATGTACAAACATTGAAACTAAGAATGTGATAGGAACGGTGATCAATGATCCTTGAATTAGTTAATAAGATGAAAGAAATCACGAAAAGGAAATAACAATGCTATATAGTATATACCACTTGTCAAAAGCGCTACCATCGGGAGCACGGCGAAAGGCGCAGACCCTTTTCCTGTTTCTATGCACAGTCGCCATTAAACCGCTGCGTCAAGCTTTTCGACTCGACTCTGCAAATTTGTCATTTTGAGTGAAAGTTTCTTTGGTTCGGATATCCCCAAGCTGCAAATGGCGCCGAAGCCTGCAAAATTTCACCACCGCGAGATTGCGAATTTGCAAATTTGTTTTTCCGCCCAAAAAGTTGCATTTTTTAGCATGGAAAGTTTGTAACAGTGGGGGAAAAAAAAAGTTGAGCAGCTTTTCGTGCTGTAATCCAATAGTTGGCTCAAAACCCGCTGGTGGCACATTCCACGTAATAGTGGGTTCTGCTTTTTCGAGGAAAAAAAATAAAAAAAAAACTAAAGTGGTGATGGAACCCATCATTAATAAGAGATCGACACGTTGCTAGAAGGAAGCTCATGCAGGAACAGATGAGATCCAATGGCTAAAAATGCGCAGGAGTTCTTATACGGGATGCTAAGGATTTTCAGGGATTTGGGGTGCACAAACATTTTTAATGATATACTTTTATATTTTTTAGTTATAGACTCATTTTGCAGAATAAATTACACTATAAAGCAAATTTTATATCTAAAATTAGAGGAGTAATAAATTATTATTTTTTTGCAATAAGTTGCAATTAAATGTTCAAAAAAAATGTATTGTAAGAAATCCAAATTTCATAGAGTTTTGTTTTAAAAGTCTGTGTGATTAAAAGAAAGGAAATTGTATTAAAAAGGAAATGATGCCAAAGGAATATACAATTTTTGATTGGGGTGTTTGATTAAACTTATTTAAGATAATTTTATATTATATAAAATAAACATGTAAGAACACGTCTATTCCACGAAACGTGAAAATGATATTTTTGGGAATGATCCAAACACACAATGTTTGGTCCGCAATATATGCGGTGTTTTTATACCGTAAAAAAGAAAAACAGTAAGGCGGCATGACTCTGAAATCTGGAATTTCTATTCTTTTTCTCCTGTAGAAAAATTGAGATCCACGTATAATTACGAGTTGACATAATGTTTGATCTGTAAATTTATTTTTATTTTGATTTTAAGCTCTCAGGTTTCAAGTCATATGTTTTGATTTTTTTAATGAGTAAAATGATTTAAGTTTTTATTATATTATAAAAATTAATATTTTAAATAAAAAGAAATTTAAAGAATCACAAATCTCTAGTTTAAAATTTTAGGAACCAAAATCAAAATAAGAATAAATTTGAAGGACTAAAAATAATATCAATTATATAATTATATATCATTTTTATATATACTCCATCTCATTCTTATTATAAGTGTCAAATAATTAGTTCATAGATAAGAAACAATTAGTTAAAATTAATAAAAAAACAACAAATATGTTACAAATATATTTTTATTTCTAAATATATTTTTATAATGAATAAGAAAAGATAAAAAAAATGAAGGAATGTGATAAAAAAATTAAGAATAATATTATAAAAAGTACATTAAACACTAAGAAAAATTCAAATTAAAACTTTTAAAATAGATTACACACTTTTTAAAATTTGAAGTTTTCTAAATTTAAAGTTTATAAATGGGCAGGAAGTAATTAACAAGTTCGAAAAATCCGCAGTTTCTTTGGTTTAAATCAAGATATTCAAATTCCTAGGTCAAAAAAAAAAAACAAGATATTCAAATTCACGAGCCATCTCAATTTCCCGTGCTTATTTCCTGTCAGGATTATGCTCCACGTGGCATTGAAATGGGCAAATGGCTCCTTCGTACTGGCTGCGTGGAGTCGTAGGGAGTTGGTTCGCTTTCTGCGTCACGTAAAAGAAAGGACAATTTTTTCCCCCAAAAACAAAACTAATTTTACCAACATTTGACTCAAGTCAAATTCAAATGATGCCAAGCTCTCTAGTCACAAGTATATGATTAAAAAATTTAACATAATAAACATTAAAAACTTGATATATTTTTCTTATTTAAAAAAAATTTATCGATAAACAATTTTCAATATAAATGATTAAAAAGATACATAAAAAATCAACAGAAATAAAATAACAAGCTAAACTCATTTTCTAATATTTATAAATCAATTATGTAAGTCCTATATTTAGAATCCGAGCAACTTTCGAATTAGTTTGCAAAGCAAGCAAATATATGAAAAGAGGTTCTTCTCATTACATCAAAGCATTTTTTTTTCTTGGTAAAAAAAAAAAGCACTTTTTCCCCCCCAAGTGCTATGGGTTTCCCAACAAGCACTAATCAAATATTCCTCCAAGAATACTACGGTAGATTATAGACCGCCATCAAGCAAGCAAATCGCAACCGTTCGTTAGGCGGAAGCGACATGTACATCGACAAGTAAGCTGATACGGATAGCAAGGTCTGCATACCCATAATCGTTTCATTCCAAACCAACTGCTCAAGCACAAAATCCTTTACAAAATCAAACGCCAACACAAAACAGAATTAACATATCCAACACAAGAATCTAGTTATAAGGGACATCATTGAGTGATAAGCAGCAAGAGATTTTGAATTCAAACATCTTCTATATCATGTACTGCCCAAAAAAAAACGCGGGAGTCGGTACACATCAGCACACTAATGGTGGTCATTCATGCATGCATATGTATAGAGCTTAAAAGTTCATGTCCTTTTCTTACTTGGCCTTGTCAATGGGAGTGATATTTGAATGAATCCAAACTTCTTCCTCTGGCCTATGAACTGTTTCTGATCGCTATCATCTTTCTCAGATTTTGGAGGAAGAGCAACATCTTCCCTTAGTGCACGCAGCATTTGGCTCAAAGCAACCTTTTGTCTTTCAGGATTCTCTTCCATATCCTTTCTTGTGGCATATTCTTCAGGAACTTGCTTTCTGCTAAGCACATCTCTCATTGAAACTGTTGGCCTTAAAGCAGGCTTTGGATTGTTGTTCAACGGGTTTGATCTTGTTACATCTGGTAGAGGAGAATCTTGACAATTTCCAGCTAAATCGAATTTGTCACACTTAATAGAGTTATACATTGCTTGTCCCTTGAGATCATTCTCTGGAATCAGTCTCCTCAGAGCCTCTTGAGCAGCGTGTTGCTTCCTGTTTGCAGTGTCAACTCTGTTCAGAGCTTCTGTCAAGATCTGCTTGCTATGTCGAACTTCTTCTGTTGCTTCCTCCATCCGCCTCAGAATAGTCAATTTAGAAATACTCACATCATCAATTTGAAACTTGGAATCTGCGACCTTCTTTGCCATAGACTCCTCGGGTATTTTAGTTTCAGGGGTTAGAGATCGCTCCCTCAAAGGCAAAGTCACTTTTTCAGGCTTTGGTAGGACAAAGCCTGATGATCTCGCAGTACTGGATAGAGCCTTGATTTCGGCAAGAGCAATAGCTTCTGCTGCCATTGCAGCTTCTTCCATCTTCTTAGCAGCCAACCACCTCATCTCTGCAGTCTTAATACCAAATACATTCTCTTCACACAAATTGAAGGGAGTTGAAAATCTTGTTTCAACCATTCTATTGTACTGCCCAGCATCAGAATTGAAGCTCTTCATTATATCCATGGGATCATAAAAAATGCTACTTGTTTCTAGAGGAGCTACAGGCGGATTTAATCTAGTTTTTTCTTGAGCTCTGTCTTGAATAGAAACAGCAGCATATTTTGGTGCTTGCATTTCGAGTGTCCTCTCGAGAAAAATATTCTCCTTCTTCATCTTCTTAGTCAAAGATTCAACAGAAGATTGTATCATCTCAAGATCATTCATGGTCTTACCAAGATTAACTTTAGCTTGTTTTAACTCCATTAAGATCAGATCAGGTGATGAGATAGAGCAGGGAGTTGAACCATGCAATATCTGTTCTTGGTTATTGACAATATTTCCACATTTTTCCTTATTCATCTCCTTAATAACAGGAGGTCCACCCGGTTCATAGGCATGAACTTCATGAGTTGCAAAACATTTCAAGGATTCTTTCTGCAGCTGCTGCTTTAATTCCTCCACTATCCTTTTAGTGGCTCCCAGTTCTTCAAGCACGTCAAGTGTTTCGAGCTCTTTCACTATCAAATCTTTCTCCAACTCAGCTGCTTGTTCCTCCACTTTCTTTATGTCAAAACCATCAATGCCATTCTGTAAATGATCATCTTCTTCAACATCAGAAAGTAAGCCAAAGAAGTACATAGATGTCAAGAATGCATAAGGAACAATGCAACGTAAGATTAGACGAGTGATGCATCGGAAGTATAACCTGATCACAGAAATTACAAATTAATGATATAAATGGCTTCCTACAGATGATAACTTTGGCAATTTAAAGTTACTCATTTGGCTACAAGTTTAAACCTCAAAAGTACTCATGCAAAATGTGTACAACAAAGTGTCAGCATCTGGCACGAAAATTCTGAAAGGTGCATGTGATCATCGAATCTCGAAATCATATGTATTCCACTGCTTCTCCATCTAGTCTGAGATATCAAAATCAGACATATAGTTTTGTGCAAAGACATATAGTTTTGCTGCAAATCCGCTCTTATTAATATCGTATCAGATAACAATCATATAGTAAACTAATACCCAGCTTTGCAATGACTGGATTTGAACTATAAGTGGTAAAAAACAATTCCGCAATTGCTCGTTTGCTCTGATAACCGAGTACACTAATGAGATGAAAAGAACAATTAGAACATTACAGCTCGTAAGCATGAATTCCGTCCTGAAATTGTCTAAATGCAACAGATAGAAATTACAAATTACTAATGTAAATGGCTTCCTACATATGATAACTTTGGCATTTAAGGTACTCATTTGGTTGCAAGTTTAAACCTCAAATACTTATGCAAAATGTGTACAACAAAGTGTCAGCATCTGGCATGAAAATTCTGAAAGGTGCATGTGATTAGCGAATCTCAAAATTATATGTATTCCACTACGTGTTCATCTAGTCTGAGATATCAAAATCAGACATATGCTTTTGTAGCAAATTATCAAAGTGAAACTCTACCAGAAAAATTAAAAATCTGTCTCTGAAAATGACAGACGAGGAAAAGGACCGAAAAGAAATCTAAATTGAGGATACGATATCCGTACCAGATAAACATCATATAGTAAAACTAATACCTAGATTTGCAATGACTAGATTTGCAATGACTGGATTTGAACTATAAGTGGTAAAACAATTCGGCAATTGCTCGTTTGCTCTAATAACCGAGTACACTAATGACTGAAAGAACAATTAGAACATTACAGCTCGTAAGCATGAATTCCGTCCTGAAATTGTCTAAATGTCTAAATGCAACAGAGTATTTCAGTTAACTTCACGATATGATTTGCCACTTGGACTTCATCCATTGAATCTGATGGAAAAATTTTGCTAAAAAAACACTAGCAAATAAATGTGCTATCACCAATAGTTAGCCCCAAAAAAATAATGTTTATAGCTGAAAAACAATAAATGGAAAAGTAGCAATGTGAATTTTGAATCAAGCGAACTTACAATGGCCTCCCCAAGCTTGTAAAGAGGTGGCCAAGGTCCACTACCTCCAAAACGGGTCACTACTGCCTCCTTAACAGACCCAATGGCGGCGATGTGTCAATCTCAGCTCTCAAATTAACTCTTTTTGACGCCAAAACTGGGGTTCCCACTTGACCCGTTTCCAGCATTGAGCTTTTCGGAACCCTTATCGGGTCTCACCTCCCTTATGGCAGGCGTTCCCGGAACCCCCTCGACAGTTAATTCCTGGGTTTCGGCCATCTCACCGACTAGTACAAAAGCGAGACTCAGAGAAACACCCACAGCTAAAAAGGCCAAGAGGCCTGAGCTTGGACTTCCGGGACGGATCCATTCTCCAATTTATGCAATTCCAAGGAAAATGATGATGTCTCATAGGCGAGTCACAGCTCAGGTGAAAGGATGGTGAGTCAGGACGAGTGAGTAACAGGGTCCACACACTCCATAGCCCACTCGGCGGATAAAAGTGATCGCAGAACGGGAAAGCAGGAAAGGCAAAAAGAAGGCTTTGCGCTTTTGGGAAGCCTTTCTCCGGCAATAATATTATGGGGCTGAAGTATTGGATTGCGAGTAGCCTTCGATGTGGTTGGTCCCTGAAATCAAAAGTCAAAGTCGGTAGGAATAAGATCCAATGACAAAGTAGCACGTAAGCGGGTGTAGATTGGGCCAGCTTGCAAGGAAGATGAGTTTGCGTTAATTAAGGGCGTAATATTCGGTTTCCGGCGAAGCTTTGACAAAGTCGCCGTAATGATGACCTTTCGGACGGGGAAAGACGGAAAAGTATACAGTCGCACTCGCACAACGACGACGTCTTGCATTGCTGCTCCCTTGCACGCCTCTCTCATTTTCATTTTTCGGTTTCAGCCTTTCAGGCTGCCTGTTAGGATGAGCCATTTAATAAAAATTTACCTAGTTGGAATAAATTTTCATCACATATTTACCTCTTATTTCATAAATCATCAATTATTCATTTAATTATATTTTTAAAACTTGTAATACCTGATTCATTTAAAAATGAGTCGAGTATAATATTATTAGATTTGAATATATTCAATTAATGATATTTCAATCACATATTGATTGAAATTTGAATATATTAAATTAAATAAAAAATTATTAAAATAAATCAAATTTAATTGGAGGTTCAAATGGCAAAATTAATAATTAATTTTGATTTTGAATAATATCTTAATTAGGGTTTGAATATATTGCATTAAATGTGAAGCGTCATAATTAAATAGTATATCAAGTGGAGGCTTAAATGGAGAAATAAATCATTACTTTTAAATTTTTATCTATTCTTCCTAAATTTCATATCTCTAATTCAAGTTCTATTTGAATAGATAAAAAAATCATACTCCTATAAAAAGTAAATATTGAGTTACAGTAGATAATGTGATTTATTAAAATTTTAAATCTAATCAAATATGCTAATCCGTGCATTGCAGGAAAGAAATTTCTAATTATTATTAAAAACTACTTATAAGTCATTTTAAGCAAGTCTTCAATGAATCCGCTGATATTAAAATAAATGGTTAATAAATTTTAGTCAGGTTTTGGTCTTTTAAGGGATGTTTCGATAGAAACCAAATAATAATTTTAAAAATACTTTTACGGTATATGAAATAAATATGTGAAGAAATTTTTTTTGTTTTGTAGAAAGTATTTTTTAAAAGCACTTATTCACATTACCAAACACCCCTTAAATTTCTATTCATTTAAAATATTAGTTCCTATAGTTTGATAAAAAACTAAACCATTCTACCTTAAATGGATCAAAACTTATGGTTTAAGACTTTAGAGACCATCTCCGGTCAAAAAAAAAAAAGACTTTAGAGACAAGGCCAAGATAGAACAACTTAAATGACCAAAAATTATTTAACTCTAAAATATAAATAAATAAAAATAAATGTGGTTAAGTTTATGAGAATCTGTTATTATCGATTATTTTTACGAAATCAATCCTTTTTAAAATTTTAAATTCTTAATCTAAAAATTATTTTAAAAAATCTGACAATGAAGAAACATTAATTGTGATTTTAATGACTGTGAATAATATCCTTAAAAATTACTCAAAATAAATAATCATTGTGCAGTTTTTAGTTTCAGACTCTATACGATAGCCAAATTTAATATATCTAATTTCTTACCATTTTAAAAGAATAAAATTCTAAATATTAGTTATATTCACTCTTATAAGTTCTGAGTCTTTTAAAAACATTATTTATAAGAAATAAAATAAAATGTTTTCATCATGTTTGTTGATTCCAAAACAAATTAAATGTACATTCTGATTCTAATATAATATTTTATGTTAAATATTTCAAATTCGGCTGAGAGAGTTGTCACCTGTCTCAAGTGATGAATGATCCAGTGGCAAACTTCCACCTTAATTAACTAGGGCATGGGGGGAATTTCTTTTCCAAGTCATATAAAGTTTCTTGACAATCATAACTAAGTGAATAACTGTGTGCTTGAACAAAATTAACTGCAATATTAGTCTAAACAATCACCTTCTTAGTTGTGTCTCTACGCGTTATCCTTCATGCCTCTTGTCCGTTGTTAAATAAATAAATAAATGTACTTGTGTTAGAAAATGAATTTACTTTACCTGTCACAATGATTTATATTATTACGCAGATGAGAAATTATCACATGCAAGAAACGTATCCCTTCAAATTTAATTTCCTTATATATATATAGTATTAATCCATTAATCTACTGGTTAAATGAGATGATATAATTATGTTTTTAGAGACAAAATGTTATAAGTGGAAAGGGGTAAAACGTGCATACCAAAATGATGAAGACGAGTATTATTATTATTGTAATTTGTTAGGAGTTGTAAATCATGATTTGTAATTATTAACCCTTTTCAGAAGCAAGAGGAAAAAGGCATGCACTGTTGGAGGCTGGCATGGCCAGCAAATTATCTCCTTTAATACTTTTTGATTATATATGAAGTCAATATATATGCTTCTTTCCCCAGTAATATTTCACATACTTTCTGAGGTTTAATTTAAAATCATACTAGTATTTTTTTGTGCTTACATATTGACTGAATAGGGTCATATCTAACATAAGGATTGAACCCTTGTCGACAGTGTAAATATATACTCTTTTGATTTTTAATGTAATCTAATTTGAGAATTAATATTAATCTTATGGGTTAAGAAAAATACTATAAAATAAAGCGTTGCATTTATAAAGCCGTTGTTAGAGATTAATAGGTCAGCTTGGTCATTAGCTTTTTTTTTCTCCCTGTTTTAAAGAATGAAAGAAAGAAATTCTGGCTCTTCCTTTATACTGTCAGCTCTTTTTTACCACTTGAACTATTGTTATAGCGCCTGATGGCCTGATTATTGATTAGTGATATCAGGCTCAGTCTTCAGCCCAAAAAAATTATCCGCCCACTTATTCTTTTTTTGTTGTTGTTGTTTGGGTGTTAAATATTCACCGCACTTAAATGATTATGACGTTCTAGAATCATTAGGTTGATTATTAGATGCAATGATATAATTCATCAGGCCCCCTCCATTACGGGAAAAAAAAATTAAAAAACAATACCTCCAGTACATGGAGTTAACTAATGTAATTAGATTAAAAAAATTAATTAAATTAACTATTTTTTTAATAAATGTGTGTTGATTTTTGAAAATATGTTTTTTAATCATGTGTATTGTAGCTACTCTTAGAAACCTGGTTACTATGCATAATCAATAAGAGAGGAAAGTTATAAATTTCAGAAATAAAATAAATTAAAGTATTATACTTAGAATCAAAATAAATGTGTATAGCTCTTATATTTAGTACGGGGATAGTAATAATTATGAAATTCCACACAAACAATCTAATTACTGCAAATTAGGAATTATGCTTACTTAGAACTGTGCAGTAACTTCTTTTTTTTTTAAAAAAAAAAGCATAGATTGTCTATTTAAACCTCAAGTAAAATACAAGAGCATTTTGAATTTGTTTGAAATAATTTATAAATAATTTTTTAATTATGATTTAAAATACGAAATAAATATGTAAAAAATTATTTTAAACTACATAAACGTGTTTATTGTGTATGTGAATTTTCTTCTTCCTTAGTAATAATTATGAAATTCCACAAAAAAAAACATCTAATTACTGCAAATTAGGAATTATGCTTACTTAGAACTGTGCAGTAACTTTTTTTTTTAAAAAAAAAAACATAGATTGTCTATTTTAAACCTCAAGTAAAATACAAGAGCATTTTCAATTTGTTTGAAATAATTATAAATAATTTTTTAATTATGATTTAGAAAATACAAAATAAATATGTAAAAAATTATTTTAAACTACATAAACGTGTTTATTGTGTATGTGAATTTTCTTCTTCCTCCACAAGGAGTGAGGACAGGTGTGAAAAAAAAAAAGACGATCATATATTATTGGACGCAAATTATGAATCCAACGACATTTATTTGTTAAGGGGCCTATAATGACCTTTCAAATATCTTTCTTTCATTTATATAAAATTAAATTTTTAGATGATGGGACGATATGAGGCATTTGAAGCTCCACTGCCCTTTGCTACGCCGTTGTCCCTGGGTCTGTTTGTGGTTTTTATTACATAAATAAGGTGAAAATCATCACGATCGAAGTGTCTCTTAGTATGTATCTAAATCCATGCTACAATTACGTGGGCACGTGACTGCATGCAATCAAACCTGAGAAGGTATTATATCCATACGTAAATTATAATTACAGCGAATAGCTATTTAATGTTTACAAGTCGTGGAGCAGTGGCTTATTTCCCACCGATAAAACATGCGACATGCCTAATTTAAATGTTAGATCAAGGTTTTTAATTTTTTTAATAAATACTCCTCCGGTCCTTAATATAAGACCCATTTAACTAATTTGATTAATTAAGGAAGTTAGGTAAGTTAGTTAATTATAAAAAAAAGTGACATATTTTTCCTAAAACATCATAATCATCTTTTTTAATATCCATCTCCTTCTTCTACTTGATTATGGTTGAGAGAGTATCCATAGGGGTAATTTAGAGAAAATTGATGAATATGAAAAAGGGGTCTTATATTTAGGACCAAAATCAACACAAGAATTGGGTCTATATTAAAGACCGGAGGAGTACTACTTCCGGGCTTAATTATAAAACTTATTTTGTAGTCTATAAATGAAATTTTATTATTAGAATTTGAGGTACATGTATTTTTGGTATTTTCTGGTAGTCATTAATAATTACCCTCAACTAACGAAGTTCCAAAAATATTTATAATTGGCTTTAACGCCAACACCGATGCGAGAAGACGCTGTTTGGTTTTTTTTTGGTTTTGGGGTGGGGGGGGGGGATTTCCCTTGCACGTGGAATTGGGCCAACGTAATAAATGGGGAATCTTTATTTATTTATTTATTTATTTTTTTGGGGGGACAATGGGTGAAAGGGGTCATGATTTGAGGGAAGGAATGTGTATTTCAAGGACTGATCACGTGATTTTTGGGCGCTACATGCCGCAGATGCTGCATTGTATCACGCTTTCGCCATAGATTGAGAAACTCGTGCTCCAAAACTTCACATCTAACCAACAACAAAAATTTGCCAGGGTCATGTCACCCAAAAAAAAACGAAGAGAAAGTTAGCTAGAGTCATATTGATCTCTCTCTCTTTTTTTTTTTTGACCAGAGATATTGATATCTCACAACTTCTTCAAATTCGTGATAAACAATTTGTAAGCAAAGCATATTATGATCCTAATAAATTCGTGAGACCCAACTCATATAGATTTCGATCCTAAATATGAGAGATAGTTAGAGATTTAATTTAACCCTAAATATAAGAACTCAACACATTTTGTGTCCTAAATTTATAATTTTTTTTAAAAAATACTCTTATTGATTATGAAGAGTTTTTACCAAAGAGTAATTTTAAATTATACGATTAAAAAGAGTAAATTAAAAAAATCAACACACATTTATTACAAATAATCGGTTTAACTTGTTTTCTTCATCTCTTCATACTAATTATTTAACTGTTATATTAAGAAGTGGAGATAGTATTTCACTAGAATATTTTAGAGAAATCAAATTATATTTATTAGAATTAAGTGATTTATTTAAATGCTTCAATTTATTTAGGTTAGCTAAATAGCTTTTAGACAGGAAAAGTATTTATCAATAAAATCTTCAAGCATTTAGATTTATGTCCTTATTGCGGACAAAAAAAATATTCTTATTAGATATAAGCCACGTTCTCAACAACTTGATCAACTTTCCTCGATCAGCAACAATCACCAATAACTATCTACCAAATGGTTTTCCTTAACGCTTTGTTTGGTTCGACAGAAGGGAGGGAAACGGAGGTTAATTAAAAGAAAGGGAAGAGAGGTCATGGTTTTGTTTGGTTGAAGGAGAGAGGAAGAGAGGGAAAATTTCTTGTTTGGTTCATAAGATGATGGGAGGGGAGGTAATGATAAATTGACAAATATGCCCTTATCTCTATATTTAGACTGATTTATTTTTTATTACGATATTTATGTCAAAATTATTATTTCTTAATTTATCAATTAAAAAAAACCAATTACCTCACTTACATGTGATAAAAAAATGATAAAACTATAAAAAATTAGAAAATATGATAAAAAATTTAATATTCTATCTCATTAATTTTATAAATATATGTATTAATATATATGATATGTATATATTATATAATTACAACACGTAGGTTATGATATGTATATATTAATATATATGCATGTTATCTGAGATTATAATACACACAAGCTATAGTATATAATTATAATACGCACATGCTATGATATGAATACATTAATATATATGATATGTGTATATTATAATATTATAATCATCAAATATTATTAGTGGCTAAAAAGAGAAAGAAGTGAAAAAAAGGTTTTTAATAAGATGGACAAATTTGTAATATTAAAAAGTTAGTATAGGTAGTTTAGTCAATGTTAGACATAATATTTCTCTCCCCTCCAAAAAACCCCAAATTTGGAGGGGAGCATGCAGAGAGGAGGGGAGCACTAAAAGGTAAATTTCTTCCTCCCTCTCCCCTCTATTTTTTCCAACCAAACATACTTATCTTCTCTCCTCCCCTCTCCTCAAAAACCCTCCAACCAAACAGAGCCTTGATCTCACTCCAATGCAAAGCAATTAGCTTCCTTGTCGGGTATGGCCTTCTCAAATCTCTAAATCCAGTTAAAAAGAGAACACACCCATATTTATTAATAATTTAAACTATAAAGAGTATTTTTTTAAGAAAATAAAAAGTTAGTTGTCAAAGGATATAAAACAAGAATAAATTTTATTTTACCTCAAAATGATTAAGCGTGTATCTTAAATCACTGACATAAATTACGGTTGAATTCTACATTATTTGAGGTTGCCTTTGAATTCTCCATTATTGAAATTACAAAAAAGTTTACTTGAAACAGATGTTTGCAGTATCAAATTTTTTTATTGAAAACATTAAATTATTTTTAACAAATTCGAATCGCTCAGATTATTCAAAGGATAGAAATTGGTTTTAAGAAATAAAAAAAGATTAATGCGGACGACAACAACGCATTGTTTGATAGATACCACATAACGGAAAATACGCATGCATCAGTATATCATCGCACCGAAAAAGTTGTGCAGAGAGCTTAATGATCGTCCATTAATGACTCCCAAGCATGTGGCTCAGACCTCAGACCTCAGAGATCGGAAAGAAAAAGAAGAAGTTCAGACCTGGGCCACTAGCCAGCTACCTCTGGTCCTTACTTTCTACACTACACGTACTGTTCAAGAAGATCACAGATTGCAATAAATTACGATCCTTTAATAGCAGGGGGCCACGTTACAGGCTGCATCTAATAAAACCAGTAGCAATGTGAGGGATTTAGCACTTATTTTAATGCACAGATCAATCATACGTATTATCTTCAGCACTAGTAGTAGCTTCATATTTGGATCCAAACAGAAAAATATTTAAAGCTATCTCATTGTGGGGTACTTTCAAATCTGATCGATCACTTGCTTCACATTTGGAAACGTGTATATATATGAAGGTTTAGAATTGACACAACCAACAATTGCAACCAAAATCGCTCGCGGAAAGGAAAAGCACAGAGAGAGAGAGTTAGTTTGTTGCTGTGTTTTATATGCGTATATGAATATACGTGTCATTCAATTGCCGCTCTCGTTAATGTCTCTGTCTGAATATATGTATATATATATATAAATATATATGAAGACTGAAATTGCAGTTCTGCAATTTAATGAGGCTGAATTGTTAGCATCAGGCTCGTCCCATATCATCAAGAACCAACCAATATTAATAATATTAGCTAGCTAGGTGGGAGGATAACGTGATGCCAAAAGCACAGGAAACTTCAATTTATCTAGCCATATATATCTAGACCAGAAGTAGTTCTCTGGTTTGTTTCTTATCTTTTTATGCTCAGAACAAGATATGTACAGAATTGAATTCTCTCGTGATTCATCAATATGAATCAACCTCTTGCTTCAGACTGTGCCTGTACATAGTATATAACGACTCAATCATCTTCATATGACAGATGAGACACCGTACCACATCCATGACTGTGATTAACTAATCATTAGGCTTACCGCTTAACCCCGTTCTTATATAGGATTTAGTATTCTATATGCTTTTCGTCACCACTTCAAATGGCAGTGATGGGATTGATTACTTTAATCCAAGATGTGTGTATTACTCCTCTGGTCCTTAATATAAGACCCATTTAACTAATTTGATTAGATTAAGAAAGTTAGGTAAGTTAGTTAATTATAAGAAATATGACACATTTTTCCTAAAATATCATAATCATCTTTCTTTCTTAATACTCTATCTTCCTCTTCTACTTGATTATGGTTGAGGGAATATTCCTAGGAGTAATTTAGAGAAAATTGATAAATATGAGAAATGGGTCTTATATTCAGGACTCAAACCAGCTCAACAATTGGGTCATATATCAAGAATCGGAGGAGTATTATATATATTGATATATAATATTAACAAACTGTTGAATTTAATTTAGTGTAGAGCGAGGAAGTGGTCTATATTTGCATGTTCATCTACCAATATTTCTAACGAAGTTCCTTCTTTTCATCCACGAAGCATGGACCACAGCAAGTCCTCATTTATTATCGTTCATCCGTGACCAAAATCTTCATTTGCCCTTCTCATTAACTCTAGTTTAATTTACTTTCTTATATCCCAAGAACACTGTCTATGAATTACTATCTAATGGCAATGAGGCCTTTGGTCTGCCATGAGATAGCAATAATAATTCTACACCAAGACTCCAAGATTTATCACAAAATAAATTTATAAACTTTCTCGTGTGGGACCAGCCTGCTCATTTCTCAAACAGATGCTTCCAAAAACAATAGGGGAACACCCCATGGAATTTTATAGTTATATCTACCACAAAGCAGGGCATTAAATGTGGCCACAATTAAATAGGTGTGCGTAATTAATAATTCATATATTTTTATTAAATTGAAAAGAAGCCCACCCATATATTGCTTCTCTTTCCTTGACTTTTACATGTTACATATAGAGTTCAGTAAAACATAGTGTTGTTTTGAGGTCCATTTGGGGATCTTGAGAGAGAGAGAGAGAGAGAGAGAGAATTGAAGAAGATGCCAAGTGATGTCTCATCAGCTGAGCAGTCATTCAGAATCAAGGAAGATGGAGGGTTCTTCTCGAGGCTGGTGGCGAAGGAAGCGTCCGTGGGTAACTCATCTTCAAGAGTATTATACTATGGAGAAGCTTCTGTGGGAGTTCCTTTCATGTGGGAATCAAAACCAGGAACTCCTAAGCATCCTCTGAGCGAGACCTCTCTTCTTCCTCCATTAACACCCCCACCTTCCTACACTTCCAAGTCCAAGCCAAACCCTAGAAATCCAAATAAGAAAACTACCCATAGGATTATCTCAGGCATCTTGAGGGCACTACTTGCAGGCTCTGGAGGGAAGGTTCATGCGTCTTCTTCATCTTACTCGTCGTCGTCGTCCTCATCTTCGCTTTCGCTGGGATACTATTCATCATCTCCTTCATTTTCTGTGAGGTCTGCGACTTCAAAACTGGGCATTGCTTTAAGGTACAAACATAGAATCTCTCCAGGCTGCACTCCTTTTGGGAATATAAAGAATGTGATTCTGAAAATCGTGCGACATGGTGGAGCGGCCTAGCTAAGCTAGCCAGTTAATCTTTCTACGTGGTTTTAGTTATTGTAGAAGTCTGATGAGGAGTTACGTTGTTGTTGATGAAGATAGTTGTTGAAAACTATGAACGTGTGTGGGCTCAGTGGGTCAAACATATTGATGTGGATCATAGCTCATGATCAATATATTCACAATGTATATGCAGCAGGAGATCTGGAATCCGTCATTTCCCCCAATTATTGTGTCTTTAATTAATTTATATATATAGCCTGTATCATTGAGGAAACAGATTTTAATCATTTGTGTTATCGATGGAGTTATTTTAGTTTATCAGAATCGATCATTTGAATAGTCTTAGTTTTTGCAGCAAAGCACACATTTCAATACTCTCTATCTGTGCCAAGAAATGCGGGCTTCCATGTGCAGCAAAATGGCTACTAAGAAGTAAGAACCAACTCCATCTCTCTTCAGCAGAGAAAAATGGATGCAAACTAGGTGGTTCTGGTCGTTTTATTATCGCTAACTTGCAGATAAGTATCGTTTAACATGAAATAATGTTGGTCGATCACTCCTTGGCTATGAAATTTCCAGTTGCTTCCTTTTTGTGTGGGTTCTGATGAGTTCATGTGATTGAATCTCTCGATAGTGTCATCTTCTCCAGAGATGGCTGGAGCTGGAAGTCTGGAACCCGAAGGCGCAAGATTTCTTTAAAAAGAATAAAAAAGGGCAAATTGCTGTTTGATAACCGACTTCATTATTGCGGAGCATTTAAGCTTGTCCCCTACGTGATTATAAAATGTTTTAATTACAAGGCAACAAATAGTAGATAGGAAAAATATTGGATGCTCTTCTTTGCCATATTTTAGTCATCGAATGAAATATTAATTATTTTTTAAATATGGCCCCTATTTAAAGTTATTATTTATGAGAAAGAATGTATTATTCTTTTTTAATGCATGTGTTTAAATATGGGTGAATTGAATTTTTTTTTCCATTTCAAACGAAGTCAATAATTTAACCACTTTTTTATTTTTGATAATTAAATGTGCCTTATAATAAAAACTAGACAAATTACGTGTAAATAATCTAATTATAAACTAGAAACAAAAATAGAAAAAGCTCTTGCTGGGGGAAAAAACTGTAACTGATGGAATGTGTCCTCGGGACAAATGAGTATGACGGCTTGGTAAAGTAATTAATCAGAGCATCTTTGAAGCGATGAAACAGTGGATCCCTACCTGAATGAAGAATTTTCAATTTTCCAGTAATTGTTCACTTTGAATACTAAAAAGTTTAAGCTAATTGGATATTGCATTAGGACATACTTCTACGTTTAAAAAACGTTTACAAAAGAATTTATAAATTGTCTATCAATAAGATCTCCAAATCACTAATAAGATTCAAACTCACAATTTTGCTAGTTATGAGCTAACTACTCTTCAACGGAACAAACTCTTGTTGGCTTTCTCTGTTTTCTGTCTTTTTTTTTTTTTCCTGTTCTGCCGTGAAAGAGCCGTTTGTTTTCCCAGACAATGGACCACATACTTCCCTTTGTCTGTTCGGGATCCAGAAGACACACAGGCCCAAAACAGTCTCAATATATTCCATGGTGCCTCTGGGACCAGTATTAAAAAAATAAATCTCACTATTCATAATTTATACATATTATTGTGTGATTTGTTATGTTTCCTGTTCTTGTGATTATGAAATTTATTAGCTCACCTTTTGAAGTTATAGATTCCAGACTTAAAATTTCGGGCATGTAATGTAACTCATCATTTCATTGAAAAGTACCTTAACTAATTCTTAATGTTGGCTGCAATTAAGTGCCTGTTTGGGATTATAGTGGAAATTCTCTATAAGCACGTTTCACGTAAGCTGAGACCAAATTCTTTTAACATATTTGTCTCGTATTCTGTAAATCACTGTTAAAAAGCTACTTATAAACTGTTCCAAATAGGCTCTAAAAATGTCTTCTTAGGATGACATGCCACTACACTTATATGTACTATTGACTTGTCCTGTTTCAAAGTGCACGACCAAGTTTTTGAAATTAATTTTGAACAAACGCATAAGAGTTACGTAAACATATTACTTCTCTGGTGTTTAATGTAATATATATTTAATTAGTTTGATTATATTAAGAAAATTATATAAGTTAGTCAATTATAAGATGATATTTTTGTTCTAAAATACCATAATCATTTTTCTTAATATCTTTTTTCATATTTTATTTAATTATAGTTGAGGAAGCATCAATAAGGATAATTTAAAAAAACTAATAAATATGAGAAATCGGTATTATATTTAGGACCAAGATCAACTCAATAATTAATTCCTATATTAAGGACCGGAGGAGTATATTATTAAAAAAAAAACTCTTGGTCAAACGAGGTCTATATTGCACTTATTATATACTCTATTATAGGAGAGAAAAACAAACCACATTATTGTTCGATCACAAGCTATTAATAATACGATTTATTTATAAATTTTGCATTAAACCACATAATTTAGTTAAAATAAATTTATGTTTAAGGCAGTGGAAGAAAAATTTGAGAGACTGTTAAAATAAAGTCAAAGGTACGTAGCTAGCTAAAGTAGTTAAATCCCATCTTAAGAAGAGGAAAAATCAATTTATAGCCTAGATGATATTTTTTCTTCAACCTGATGAAAAACTCTCTCTTGTAAAGAAATCTTTCAATTTTTTTTAGGCAATTTTCACAATCTACATAATGCAATGTTATTGAAATTCTTAAATTGACACACATAATTATTTTGAGACACGAATTTTTTTATCATCAAATACCAACTGTGTAAAGATACTCTCTCTGTCTAGCTATTTCTTTTGAGCGAGATAATATTTTATTTCTGCGGAACTGCTTCACCCAAATGCTAACTGTATTGAGGTTTATACTCTGTTTACTTCTCTCCGATATATAAACAAATACGATTTCAGAACACAAAACACACCACGATTTTTTTGGATTGAACTTAAGATATTAAAAATCAAAGCTTTTTTGGGTAAATGCACCTTGTATATATATAGTTGACCAGAGCCATCTCCTTCTGCAATCCTTCAATGGCATGGAGAGAAGAGGGAGAGGAAAAGAATAAGAGCCAGCCAGATAGTGACAATAGGGTAAGACCATATGTGCATATGTGTGTGTGTGTGTGTGTTGTCGAAGGTTCAAGTCTAGTATTCATCATGACAAGACTTTCAGCTATGATACGTATAATTGACCCTATAGAAGACTTGATGTATTTTCAACCGAATGTTTGTTTTGCGTTTAAAAAAATCGAAAACGATCCAAGGGAAGAAGAAATATCAGTTTTTATTAAGGTTTATGTATTTTCAAACACCGTTAAAGAATCAAGAGATTCTCTCAGGTCCGATGATCACCTGGCATTTATCAATAGGCCAACCAGCAGAAAGGGTGATGGCCCTGGCGGGTTCTGGATTCGGGTGCAGTAATGCAGAAAACTGATCATATAATATATATATATATATATATATATATATTGAAGTTAGGTTTGGGAAGCTGAGAGGAGAAATATAAGGCGGCTTGTAAGGCTCAAAATACGGGTCAAACAAGAATGGATGGTGCCACCTTGCTTAGAGTCTAAGCATTGCTTTTACGTAATTTACTTATATAATACCAACCCTTTCCATTTCAATTTCCAAATACACTCCTTCTCTCTTTCACCACCCACTTTGATAGATCACTGCTCCTCAATTAATATCATCCTTCCCCCACAAATTAAGTGAAACTCTCGTTTTCGTAATCCGTAGTAATTAGGGTTTATGGGTCAGTGAGCCAACTTTGATTACTCTCTTTTCTTTTACCTGTGATAAATCACTGCTAGGTGGAGTAACTATATTGATTCTGAATGATACATCAAATAAAAGGAGCCGATGCTTTTGGTTCCTTTGTATTATGTTAAGGTGTGCTTCAAGGGAAAACTACTCATGAGAGTGTGAGTATAGAGGACAAATAGTTAAGCAGTTAAGCGTCGTAGTCATATTACAGTATTGGGATTTTGATCGATTACTGCAAAAGAAATTAATTGGAGGTTTTGAAATGAAAATCACTGTGCTAGATTCTTATTATTACATGTGTCTAATGATTTCTCTAACATGAAAAACTTGCTGGGTGAGATGTCCCGAATTAGCATACCTCTATCCATCAATATAACCATCCATCACGCTACAGAAGTCATTTTCTATCTCTAAGATTATCAACTTATCTTGAAAGGTGTCCAATCTTTTCCCTCAACCCTTAATTAAATTCATATGCTTGTATATTAATGAAGTGATGATCATTTAAAAGATGAATGGCTCTTTATGAAATATTTTAAGCAGTTTTATGTAATCATGAACTGCAAGTCAAAAATACGAGTATCTATAACCATGGAATTGGTGGAAACTCTAAACTTCTGCAAATTAAGAACATATAAATATACATGAAGTTAAACAAAAAGAGGAGAAATGCTTGTTTTCTTTGTTGATATCCAAATAACCGTAAGATTTTATGCCAAAGTTATCGATCAGGGAATTTATGATGTATTCGAAATCAAAGTAAGAAATTACTTTGCTTTGAAGACTTTAATTCCTAAATCAATTACTCAACTACTAATCCCTATGTCCTAAGCAGAATCCTAAATATGTTAGCATATCATTCGTGAGTAAGAATATGAGGATTCCAAATATTACTGATCTAAAGGAGTCACTAAAAGTCGTAATAAAGATAAAACCTTGAGATCAACGTTGGTACATCTATGGATTGAGAATATAGATAGAATTCGTGATCTGCAGTTGATTAATGATTGTTTAATAGAGAATCACTTGAACATATGACATATGAGGTCTGAGTGGAAGGCAATATATCAACACAGAAACATGCTCAGCTTCTTCATAATATATCGTTTATAAAAAGACTAGCAAGTTGGTAAGGTTTGGCCACAGTAGGAAGCAAGTACCACATGCATGGCGGCAATCGAATCAGAAAGTTTATTAAGAAAGTCAAACACATTTAAGAACTCACACGTGAGCAACCAGTAATAGAGCTGGCACAAATTCTATATATATATATATATATATATATATATGAGAAACTCTTCTTCCCCCTCTCTTCCTCTCTCCTGCTCTTCCTCTTCCTCTTTCATGAAATTCTTCACAAGAGTACCCAACTTAATCTCCTGATAGTTAAAAGTCTCTATAATTCCTGAAATTCTATTACACTCATTTGCTTCTCACTCTCTTTCAGCTTCTGTAGATATAGATGTCTAGCTAACTATATCTATTATTATCTATATCTTTATGCAACTGAGATATAATATATATTCCTTTT